CCCCTGCAACCTCACCCCTGCACAGCCCACACCCTCCCCTGCAACCTCACCCCTGCACAGCCCACACCCTCCCCTGCAACCTCACCCCTGCACAGCCCACACCCTCATCCCGCAACCTCACCCCTGCACAGCCCACACCCTCCCCTGCAACCTCACCCCTGCACAGCCCACACCCTCCCCTGCAACCTCACCCCTGCACAGCCCACACCCTCCCCTGCAACCTCACCCCTGCACAGCCCACACCCTCATCCCGCAACCTCACCCCTGCACAGCTCACACCCTCCCCTGCAATCTCACCCCTGCACAGCCCACACCCTCATCCCGCAACCTCACCCCTGCACAGCCCACACCCTCCCCTGCAACCTCACCCCTGCACAGCCCACACCCTGCCCTGCAACCTCACCCCTGCACAGCCCACACCCTGCCCTGCAACCTCACCCCTGCACAGCCCACACCCTCATCCCGCAACCTCACCCCTGCACAGCTCACACCCTCCCCTGCAATCTCACCCCTGCACAGCCCACACCCTCATCCCGCAACCTCACCCCTGCACAGCCCACACCCTCCCCTGCAACCTCACCCCTGCACAGCCCACACCCTCCCCTGCAACCTCACCCCTGCACAGCCCACACCCTCATCCCGCAACCTCACCCCTGCACAGCCCACACCCTGCCCTGCAACCTCACCCCTGCACAGCCCACACCCTCCCCTGCAACCTCACCCCTGCACAGCCCACACCCTCCCCTGCAACCTCACCCCTGCACAGCCCACACCCTGCCCTGCAACCTCACCCCTGCACAGCCCACACCCTCCCCTGCAACCTCACCCCTGCACAGCCCACACCCTGCCCTGCAACCTCACCCCTGCACAGCCCACACCCTCCCCTGCAACCTCACCCCTGCACAGCCCACACCCTCCCCTGCAACCTCACCCCTGCACAGCCCACACCCTCCCCTGCAACCTCACCCCTGCACAGCCCACACCCTCCCCTGCAACCTCACCCCTGCACAGCCCACACCCTCATCCCGCAACCTCACCCCTGCACAGCCCACACCCTCATCCCGCAACCTCACCCCTGCACAGCCCACACCCTCCTCTGCAACCTCACCCCTGCACAGCCCACACCCTCATCCTGTAACCTCACCCCTGCACAGCCCACACCCTCATCCCGCAACCTCACCTCTGCACAGCCCACAAACTGTGCAATCACGAAGCGGCTAGGGAAAGCCCTGGCCACGCTCCCTCTTGCCTCCCACGTTCAGTGGACTTGGGCCGCCCTCCCCTACCCAGGATGTCCAATGCCAGGGGCAGACGAAGGAGGAAAGGAGGCCGCCAGGCTGGTTGGTGATCAGTTGCTGTTCATTCCATTCCCTCCCCGCGCAGTTCCAGTCTCTCTGAGGCCCCTATTCTAGTCTCATGCTGCCCCTCATTCCCGCCTCCTCCTGTCGCTCCCGCTACATCCCTCCGCGCTCCCTCTCGCAGCCGCTGCGTCTCTCGTCTCTCCACGCCCCTGCTCCTGCATTCTTCCCCTACACTCTTCTCCCTCTGTCCCCCTTGCTAGCCTCTCCGTGCTCCATCTTGCTGCCCTGGCCTCTCCCTAGTCTCTCACCAACTCCCTGCAATGCGAGCAGACACCACACCACACCCTGTCCCATAGCAAAATCAACACATGAAAGCCCTTCTTGTTTGTCCATCAGGCTCAAGGGCAGAAAGACCACCCAGGAGTGTTTCTCCTTTCCTTAGTCTCATAACTTAATTAAGATCATAATTAACATCTTAATTCTACTTCTTAATATTAGTTATTTTGTATGGACACAGTAAGAGATACATTAAGCTTGTAGGGTGGCTCTCCCGGGGACATCTCACTATAGATCTCAGACTACAGTGCTCAGGCCAGATGAATTTTGCCTACCCCTAGCAGGGTCCTATCTAATTATACTTTTTGGATCATGACAGAATTTGTCCATGACCGTGCCCTTAATTTACAGATAGCATTATGGAGCTTTGGCCTGGCCCATTTCGATGCCAGGGTAGCTCACAGCTTGTCCTGTGTCCATCCAGTCCCTTGTGGGGACACTGCTTTTGGGGTGCCAGGAAGTAAGGGCAACTGAGGCTTAAGCTGAGAGAACAGACACCAGGAGTGAATATCATTCAGGGTCAATGAACTCCCAAGTTACAAAAGCATAGCGTTAACTGTATCTACAGTGTCTATGCAAAAAGGGCATTGCTCTGAATTAACTATGCAAAGGACTTGAGGAGAAGAGAAAAGCAATATTTACAAGTTAATAGAGTCTGATTAGGAGATAAAGGTGATTGACTGGTCGGGGAAGCAGAGCACAGAGAAGAGGTTACAAATAAACACAGAGGATTGGGAGCACTCTGATGGGAGTAACCCAATAAACCTAAGCCCCCTGTGGCAAGGCAGAAAGGACAAACCAATGTTATCCTGCACACACCCTCCTCCCATAACCCCAGCCCCGGAACCTCACCCCTGCACAGCCCACACCCTTATCTCATGCACTCCAGATATCCACACCCTCACACATGCACATTCCCAAGCCCTAAACCCTCACTGCATCACACCTTCACTCCTGCAACCTGCACACCCTCACCCCTGCACGCTTCCACCCTCACACCTCACACCTGCCCACTCCACACCTGCCTGCGCACACCTTCCTACCTTCTCACCCTCAGCCCTGCATATCTTCGTACTTCACATACTCACCCCTGCAACACTCATCCTTGTGCATCCTCACTCCTGCATGCCCTCGTACCTCACATCCTCACCCCTCCACACCCTCATCCCTGCAACCCTCTTACCCTCACCCCTGCACGCCCCACCCCTGCACACTGTCACTCCTGCAATCCTCACAGACCCTGTACCCGCACGGTTGCACGCCCTCACAGCTCCAGAGCAGTGATTCGACTTGTTTCAGTGTGTTAACACCTCGCTGAGCCCTTCCCAGACTGCGAGGGCTGTGCGGGGACCTACCAGCATCAGAACTGGGTGCCTAGGTGTGGGGTGTCTGACTCAGCATATGGGGAGCTGGGCTCAAGACCAGGCACAATGGTGGGTGGAAATTGGACGTCACATCTGCCATAGGAGGATAAATGTATATCAGAACCTTTGCCGCCTTCCCAAGGGACGGGGTGTCTCTCCTACAACCCTTCTTTCCACAAGGGTCCCAGAGACCAGTGCCTCTGTTTTTCTGGGCTGGCTCTCCTCTCCCACAGGCTGGCATCCAGACTGGCTGCACCGGCTACGCTCAGACCTGAAGGCACCCTGGAGCAGAATTCCACCTGCCACCCAACCCCCTTATGCCCCAGAGTCTCTGAAAAAATAAACTAAACCGAACATCATCACAGGGGACATCCAAGGGGCTCACGAAAACCATCAGCCATGAGTGTAGACAGGAGGAGTCAGAGAACCTCCGAAAGTTTCCAGAACCAGAAAAGCCACCCACAGAAGGTCTGGGACGCTGACCATCGTTATGGGACCTTCGAGTGTGCCGGCCCACAGCCCTGGGGAGCCTTGAAGTTGGACCGGCCTCGCAGGACCTTGCTCAGATATCACCGACCACAGATGCCCAGGGCAAACCAGTGTCTTGCTTCTGTGATGATGTTTGGTTTAGTTTCATTTTCCAGAGACTCTGGGGCCACCAGGCCCACACCCAGTGATGCCAGGGATCCAACTCAGGGCCTTGTGCACTCCAGGTCAGTGCTCTACTGGGCAGTCCCCAGACAGGAACTTTAGGTTCCTGCCAGGAAGTCTGTGGTATCTGGGGAGCCCAGAGAGCCCAGGGGACAGCCCTCAGGACCATGTGGCAGGACAGCTGACAGCTCCCACAGCCCTGCCTAGGAGACGGGTGCCCCAGCCTGCCAGGAGGGTAGTTCAGGTCCGGGCGTCACTGGGGGCTGGGAGCTGACACAGGATGAGGGTCCCTCCTGTCTGGGCCTGCTGAGTCCTCAGGCATGGCATGCTGCCTCCAGGAATCTTGTCTGCCCTCTGTCAGAGCACAGGGCTTCGTATCTGCACAGAACCTGCACCCTCGAGCATGGAGCAAGGGCCAGCGAGACAGACAGAGCACAGGGCAGGGAGCACCAGGCTGCTCTCATCCTTGGCAGCTGGGCCTGAGTGGGGTGATGGGTGGCTGAGTGCCCGCCTGGCTGCGCCTTTGTTCTGGCCCTGGTAAGTAATTTTTGCTGACTGTCATATCAGCATCCTGCAGTGGTTAGCAAATTTGAGAACATAATTACATAAATGGGGAATTCCCCCCCTTTTCAAATGGAATCACCGAGCTACACAGCTACAAAGTTGTTTGTTCGTGATTGTGTTTCAGTCGTACAATGTTCCAACACTCTCACCAGTGCACATTTCCCATCAGCATTTGATAGATCAAGGAGGCTAAAAGTCGGCAAGGAAATTTTGGCTTCCAAGGATGAAGTGGAAGCGAGGGAGTTAGATACTGACAGTTAGATACTGATACTTTTCATCCCCCAGAAAGGAACACACATTCTTCTCCAGAGCACATGGGACTTTCTCCTAGACTGTCCACACGCTGGGCCACAAAACTACCTCCATCAGGTCAAGAGGACAGAAATGGTTTCACTGTCTTCTCAGACCATAAGACACGGAAAATGGAAGTTAATCAGAGACAGAAAGGGAGACCCAAACCAAACACCCGGAAACCAAACAGCGCACCACATAATTGGGAAAACGTGGAAAACCTGTTCTTTTCACGGCAGTTTTGTCAGCTTTGTACTTAAGGTGTCGTCTGCAGTCGCACTGACGTGTATGGTGTCGCAGTTCCTGCCCCCTCCACCTCCAGAGTTGGCCCGGGGCTGCCCCTCCCGTCCCCAGACAACACTCCGCCCACCCGCCCAAGCCTGCCCCCAGCAACGCCCCCGTAGCCCAGCGCCGCAGCGTCCTCGTCGCTAGGCAACCGGCCGCCCGCGGAAGCCAACGGCCCCTTGCGAAGGAGGCCGGGGGCAGCGGCAGCATGGACCTGGTCCTCATGCAAGAGCTGACCCACGCCGAGAACCAGAACGGTGGGCGCCCCCGGAGGTCCCCAACCCCCGCGCCCCCTCCTGGGGTCTCAAACTCGCTCACCAGATGACCCGGGGCACCCCGACCCCGCAGACTCCCTAGTGCAACCTTGAGAAGCTGCCCCAGCGCTGGGGCCCACCCTGAGGACCCTTGACCTAGGCCCCAAGCCCTGAACCAGGGCAACCCCAGGCTGCTAGGACAACTGACCGCAGGGCCCCTGGTGCAGGGACACCGTCCCCATTCCTAGAGACGCCCGCCCCCAGATCGGGGTCCCAGTACCCAGCCCAGCCTTAAGAGGGACGGGCCCCACCACTGCTGTTTGAGGAGGCAGGGACCTCCACCCCAGTGAGAGGCCAGGACCCTCTGCAGCAGCCCTGAGCCAGGCTTATGCCGCGGCCGCAGCCTGAGGCTTTGGTGGCTGTGAAGGTCCTTGGGTCCTTCTGGTCTTTTCTCCCTGGGGGCCCCCCAACCAGTCCCCGGCTGCAGAGGGGCCTCTGGGCCCCTCTGTCCTGACAGCCTCCTTCCAGATGCGTCCGCGCTGCAGCGGGCCTACGACCTGATCAAGTCGTCCAACATGGGCAAGTCGGAGCTGGACCCCGTGGAGAGCTTCAGTCCCGACCTGCTGGTCCTGTGTGCAGAGCGGGCCCTGAAGGTGGGGGCCTGGCCGGGTGCGGGCAGGAGGGTGCCTCTCCGTGGCTCATGGCTCTCCCTGCAGATGGGGCGGCCAGAGCTGGCCGAGGACTGCATCCGGATGTACTTCAAGGTCAAGGGCCCCGTCACCCAGTTCCTGGGCCGAGCCCACCTGTGCCGGGCCCAGCTGAGCGCCCCCAAGTCCACAGAGAACCTGGTGAGAGGGCCCCTCCTCCCTGGCCTCAGTCCTCCTGGGACACACCCCTCCCTGAGACGCAGGGAAGACCCTTGCCTGGCCCCTCGGCTCAGGGCAGAGCTGGGTCAGGCGCAAGGTCTTCAACCTCTGAAGCCCAGTGGTGGTTCTACCATGACTGGCCTTGGTCACCAGCAGGGGAGGCTTCAGGCTACAATGGCATTTGAGTCCAAGCAGCATATGGGGTTTTGGGGTGCTGGGTCACAGGGCCTGGGTCACAGGGCTCTGGGGTGTGGGCTGCTGGGCAGGGCTGGGCTCAGCTGGGTGGCAGAGCTCGGTGGAGGGCAGTGACGTGCCACGGGGTGCCGTCTTCGTGCCGTTCCAGGAGGAGTTTGAGAACTGTGTCACCGAGTACATGAAGGTCATCAGCTTTGCCAAAGCCGAGCCCAGGTGGTGGTTCTAAGCATGGGGCGGGGGGGAGGGGGGTGAGCTTCCCAGGAGGGTGGCTGATGCCTCCAGGTTCGCTGCCCTTGGGACCCCGACCTGTGGGTGACCGGACCAGCTCCTGGTTTCCAACCTGGTCTGTGTCCACTGCCTGTGCTTGCTGCGGAGCTCGCGGAGCTGCCAGGGAGGCTGGGGCCGGCCTGTGCAAGACACCCGGGGCCTGGGGGCAAGAGTGGGAGGGAGGGCCCAGGACAGGCAGCGGGCAGAGCCCCGGCGGGCCTTCAGAGGGACCCAGGTGTCCCCGTTCCCCGTTCAGCTCCTCTGCTGCCTCCTCCCCGGCTCCCTCTCCCCCTCCCACCTCCGCTCTCCCACCACTCAGGGCGCCCTGGCCATCTGCGCCCAGAGCGGGCCCCAGGGCAAAGAGTCCTGTGGGCAGTTCCAGGGTCCTTGCGGGGCCAGGCCGCTCACAGGCTCCTGCGTGCAGGTACCACTTCCTGGTGTACAACGCCTCGGTCCTCTACTGGCAGATGGTCAGGCCCTTCCTCAAGCCGGGCTACCACCACTACCTCATCCCCAGCCTCTCCCACATCGTCAGCGTGTTGAACCAGACTGAGGAGGAGGACGTCGAGTGGCGGGCAGAGCTGATGCTGTGAGTGGCCCCGCGGGTGGGCCTGCCGCACTCTGCCCCCTCGGAACGGGGGTTGGGGGGCAGCTCTGACACTAGCGTTCCGGGACTGCTGCGGTTGCCGGCCATCTCAGGGCTTAGAAATCTCTGCCCACTGACCTTTCGTCTGGTCGCCAGGTGAGCACAAAGCCCAGCATGAGTGGGCATTGCCCAGGCAGGCAGAGGGCACGGAGCAGCCCCCGGGCGAGGCAGCTCCAGAGGGGTGAGAGGTGGTGGGACAGAGGCCAGCACTTGTGTGCTGGCCATACCGGGCCCTGCCTGGCGGCGGGGTTTGGACTGGGTGCCCCTCTCCCCCTCGTGGCTCTCTGGAGAGATGGACATGTGCCTGCTTGCTCTCTCGCTCTGTCCGCCCGTCTCGGGTCCGAAGATGCAGGTGCAGCATCCTGGCCATGTCGAGTCGCCTCCCTGTGTGCCGGCTGACCCAGGAATCTCTCTGTCGCTTGGGGTGTAGGAAGAGTGACAGCAATCTGCGTAGCAGAGAGTTGAGCAGAAACGGTTTCCACTGAGGCTTGACATCTAGCTTTCTGATGTTCCCCAGGGGGCTTCTTGAGTGTTATCTCCAGGCTGGGAAAACAGAGGAGGCCTCAAAATTCTGTTCCATCACAGCACCGTTCATTAAAGCTTCCGTGCCTCAGAAATATCGACAAATATTTGCTCTTATGGTCAGTATGCATATAAAATATAGATAGAGGTCATTTTCTTTTCTTTTTTTTTTTTTTTTGACTTTTTGGGTCACACCCGGCGATGCTCAGGGGTTACTCCTGGCTCATGCATTCAGGAATTACTCCTGGCGGTGCTCGGGGGACCATATGGGATGCTGGGAATTGAACCCGGTTGGCAGCAAGGCAAATGCCCTCCCCGCTGGACTGTCACTCACTCCAGCCCCTAGAGGTTATTTTCTTAACTACGAGGACATCAAACAAGTCCTTCCACTGAGAGATGCAAAGACACGTGTGCAAGGTACACTGGGAACAGATGCCGCCAGCCTCCTCTCTCCTGGCGTGAGTGTCCCAGAATGGCGTGACTGAGTTAAAAAATAAGTAAGACTTAGTGAATTTAAGATGAAGTGGTCACCTAAATTTATATAAAGAACAGTCATCATTGATGAAACTTTGTGTGTGGAAAATCAACTTAGTTACCCATGGAAAACTAGATCTACAGCATGAGAACAGATTTCTCGTTTGTTAAAGGTGCTGGGTGCTAGGACGGGCACACGGGTGGCGTGGGCATCAGGGCCTTGCCTGGCAGAGCCTGAGTTTGAGCTCTGCTGCCACCCAGCCCTGGGTGTGGTTCATGGCATCCAGCACCCTCAGCATAAACCCGGAGGGTCTTCTGGGCCCCAGCACCACTGGCCTGAGCACCACACAGCCAGACCAGCGTCTCCAGGAGTGGCCCCCCCCCTTTTTTTTAATAAGCTTGACTGTTATCCAAATGGCAATTGCCACAGATTCTAGGTCTCTTCCCAATTGTTTGGGCTCAGGTTAGCATTCTGTTTCGCTCCTAACAGGTGCAGTACGAACTAATGGATGAGCAGCAGTTAAAGGAGGAGACAAAAGCTTCCATCAGTCTGTTCGCCACTTTCCACCTGAATCAGATAAAAGCGTGAGTGGTTTTGGGAGGGAGAGCAAGCCCATGGCACAGGCTGAGTCTGGGGAGCTGCCTTTCTCCCTGGGTTGTGGCTGTGGAGCTGGGAAGACACCTCAGGAGAGATTCTGGAGAGCAGGAGGGTGTCTGAGGAGAGCTCTGTGTGTGTGTGTGTGTGTGTGTGTGTGTGAGAGAGAGAGAGAGAGAGAGAGAGAGAGAGATTTCAGTGTGTGTGTGTGTATGTGGAGATGTCTTGTGTGTGTATGAAGAGATTTATTTGTGTGTGTGTGTGTATGTCTGAGGAGACATCATTGTGTGTATTTATGTGTTCAAGGAGACCTCAGTGTGTGTGTGTGTTTGTGTGTGTGTGAGTGAGAGAGAGACAGACAGAGTAAGAGAGAGCTCAGTATGTGCTTGAGGAGATATCAGTGTATGTGTGTGTGTGTGTGTGTGTGTGTGTGTATACAAGGAGATATGAGATACCTGTGTCTGAGGAGAGCTCAGTATGTTCTGTGTGTCTGAGGAGAGCTCAGTATGTATATGTATGTGTGTGTGTGTGCGCGCACGCGCGCGTGTGTGTGTGTGAGGATATCTTATTATGGGTGTGTCTGAAGAGATCTCAGAGTGTGTTTATGAGGAGATCTCAGCATGTGTGTATGAGATCTCCGTGTGTGTGAGGAAATCAGGAGATCTTAGTGCACGATGCTTAGATCTCAGAGTGTGTGGATAGTTGGCGTGTCACGCTTCACTATGCCTGTGAGGAGGTGGGACGCTGTGGTGAAGTGTGTTGCTTTATGTCGCCATACTCCTAGAGCCCAGGGTTTGGACACTGTTCAGTGACTAGAGTCTGTTCCTCCTGGTATTTTCATTTAGTGGGGGGAGGTGCAAGCAGGGTCTTGTGGGAATTATCTTGGAGAAGCTCGAGGAGGGAGGAGTGATTTCAGCTTCATCTTTGAGGAGGACAAGTCTCAGACTTAGTTCTAGCTGATTGGCATGGTTTTAAAAATGTCACCCTTGAATTAATTCTAGAAAATTGGAGAAAGGTGAAGTACCTGAAGATTTCGTCGAAACTCTGGAGCAGAGTCACAAGCAGCTGGGCCAGTATGATCACGAGAACTTTCCTTCAATCAAAGAGGAAAAGTAAGTGTGTTTTCCACAGCTACACAATCGTATAGATTCGTTAAGTACATGAAAATGTGAAAAGCCAGAAAAAGAAGCCCAGCTATCCCTCCAGTGCTCCAAGGCTAGTACTTTTGAGGTACTACCTGGGATACTTAATTCCATAACCCTTTTAAAAATAAATTTTAGCATGTACCTACCAGTGCTTTTGTTACTGCAGTAGCACACCTTTTCAAGTCGCTCAACAAACAGCCCTGGGTGAGTGAAGTGTGTGTGTGTGTGTGTGTGTGTGTGTGTGTGCGCGCGCGCTCCTGGGAAAGCCCTGGGTTGCCTGACAGCCTGTAGCTGAGTGTCAGAGGGGCTGGAATGTGCCTTTGGGTGACCCCACAGGGATGACAATTTGCTCCTGGACAAGGGGCTGTGCTGCGGTGGCATGCGGGCAGCTGGCCCTCTGAGGGCAGTCTCTGTCCTCTTAGCTTCCCTCACCCACTGCCCCAGTGAGGGGCAGGTTTGGGGCCTGGAGTTTCTCCTCCTCTTCCTCACTCATCTTTTGGGGTCTCAAAGACAGCCTCACTACTGATAAATGAAGCACTTTGCTGTCTTGACCGTAAAGCGTCTTTGCGGGCTTTGGGGGCTGTTTTCATCCTGACACTTGACAGATGCGGGGCCATAGTGTGCTTCCCCCAGGGAGAGATTCAAGCCCCAGGTCGGCTGTCTGTGCACGTGATTTATCTGGAAGGTCTTGGTTGGGCTCACGGTGGAGAGGAGGCAGGCTCTGCTGACCTTCGTCCTCAGGAGAGGGCTAGACAGGCAGGGACTCACGGCGAGGACAGGCAGGGCGGGAAGTAGGGATGCGGGCCGCTGGCAGCCGAGGCAGAGGAGGCAAAGGCGTCTCCTGAGGGGAACTCAGCCCTGAGGGAGGAACCCGCATTATCGCAGCCCTGGGAGCCTCGTACAAGGACCTTGTTGGTGGAAACACGGCGAACACAGCGAACGCCACCACAAGCACGTGCCTGGCTGGCCTAAGGGTCTGGGTCCTGCAGCCGAGGTTGGCGGGACGGGTCTCCTCCAGACTGAGTGTGAGTAAGGCTCCCCGCCTGGCCACCTGCAGTGTCTGAGCAGCCAAGGCCAGTGGGCTGGCCCGGGAAGCTGCTGCCTCAGTGTGCAGAGGTCTCTGGGAGAGAGCGTGGCCTGCAGCTGCCATTTAACGTGGGGGCTCAGAGATGTCCCCTGGCTCATCTCCCAGCTCCTACCTGTGAAGTGACCACAGAACCTCCAGCAAGAAGAAGCAAAGACACACTTTTTTTTTCTTTTTGGGTCACACCCAGTGATGCTCAGGGGTTCCTCCTGGCTCTGCACTCAGAAATTACTCCTGGCGGTGCTCCGGGGACCATATGGGATGCTGGGGATCGAACCTGGGTCAGCCACGTGCAAGGCAAACGCCCTACCCGCTGTGCTATTGCTCCACCCCAAAGACACACATTTTTGAAAGGACTTTCTTCACATTTCTCTCATTTTAAATTTCATATCTTGTTATAGAAAGTTTGAGAATGACATTGTACATTTTCAAAATTGCAATTTTTAACTTGCTGTTTCCTCCTAAATTGTGCTCTTTCTCAGGTCGGTTCTTCCCTTGTTTTTGGTGTTTGTGCCACACCTGGCGGGGCCTGGGATTGTCCTATGGTGCTGGGCGGCCCCTGGGTCCCCACAGAGCTCTCTGAGCTCTCACTGGCACTTTCCTTTCGTGACTTGCGATGTCTTGGCCACGTTCAATTATTGACTAACAGAAGCTTCTTCTGAGAGGTCCTGTGCCCTGGCCTCACATGTCTGTGCTCTGTCGCTCCCCAGGATGCTTTTGCTCTTTGAATTGGCTCATCTCGCTTTGACCTTGAAATGCCAGAAAATCGCTTCCGACTGCTTGTCAGACCTAAAGAAGATGTCCGACACAGTGAGTGACCCCTGCTGTGAGCCTGTTAGGGCTGGCGTGTCCCTGAGTCTCCTCAAGCCCCCTTGAGTGGTCTTCTGATCTCCCATCTGCACCCCAGAGTCCCCCTCTCTGCCTTGCGTGTCTGTGGGCTCCTTGTTCCCCTTCTGTGCGCCCGTCTGGGGGATGCAGTGCCCTCGGAAGGTGGAGGGCAGGTCCCAGGCTCGTCTGTGACTGAAGCAGCTTCAGAGGGTCCGCGGGAGCTTGTCAGTGTGTGCAGGTGGGCCACAGACAGTTCTGGAAGGTGTTGTATGGCAAAGGATCTGTGCACCCCACTTGGGACCCCCACCACAGGGGGAGCCCAGCCCTGACCACACCTGCACGTACTCACCCCTGCAGCTTCCGGGGTCTGCACCCACACCACTGCCCTTCGGGGCTAAGAATTAGCCAGAGCGACACCGTCCTTGGGGAGAGACGGGGAGATGGATGTGCTGACCCTCCACTGGGCAGTGCTGGAGCCCTGGAGCTGTGGCCGCCACTTTTGTTGCAGAAAGATGAGGGAAGAGCCTGGTGGTGGTGACAGAGACCTGGCAGGTGGCCCACTGGCCTCTCCCTCTCCAGATGAAGGCCACCCCCCAAACCAGATCTGGAAGCCACCTCACCCCACAGATGCTGTGAGGTGCACAGAGGGTGCAACCCGCAAAAGGTCCCCTGGCATCCCAGTGCCTGCCTGAAGGAGAACTCAAGAACCAAAAGGGTTGATTCTAGGCTGCAAATTGGTGAACACGATTTCCACAGAACAGAAAGGAGAGTGAGTGCCACGCCATCTAGAGCACCTGAGAAAAGTTCCGCAGATCCCATGTTGAAGGGACTCACCTCACAGCAGACACAAGGCATGTGGAGAAGGGACTCACCTCATCAGACACAGGGTGTGCGGAGAAGGGACTCACCTCATCAGACACAGGGTGTGCGGAGAAGGGACTCACCTCAGCATGACACAGGTCACATGGGAGAAGCACCATCCAGCTTCATCACAGACATAGGAAAGCTAGAACTTTCTCTATATCAGCAACAGAGCCAGAGTACTGCTTTCACCATTTCTGGTTAGTATAGTGCTAGAAGTTCTAGACAAAGCAGTTTTTCAAGAAAAAAAAAAACACCAAAAATTTCACCCAACATGTGAAAAAATAGTGAACAAATCTTGTAGAGCTGCAGCAGTCAAAATACACATCCAAGAATCAACACGTGTCAGTGTCTTCTTCCCAGTGATTCTCATTCCAACGTGTTTGCCGACAGGGTCTGAGAGGGCTCAGAAAGCAACTTCATGTACACAAGTTCTGGAAACCAGGAGAGAATGACAGGAGGACCTTTAGCCAAGGGAAGAAAAGACCTAGGTGGACACTAAAATGGGCATGTTGACGAGAGAGCCTGCAGGGGACAGGAGTAAATGGGAGGGGGAGGTTTGGGACTTGGATCCGAGGAACCAAGGTTCTTGAAATGTCCACAGAACCAAAATCGGATATCGACAGGTTCACTGTGACCCAGCGCAGTTTCCCAGCGCAGTTTCTCTCACCAGCGGAAAGAACAATTCTAAGACTTGCATGCGACCGCCACGAATCGTGACCACCGAGAGGAACCTTGAGAAAGGACAGAGCTGGAGTGCCACCCGTCCTGTCTCAGCCCTCAATGAGCTCGGTCTTCGGAATGACGGGTGCTGGCCCGTGGTGTGCCAGGTGCTAGGTTCTCTGGGATGCCCACGCAAACCACCCAGCACAGAAGGGTGGTCTGCGTGGACCCCCTCTGAGCACAGCCGGGTGCAGCTCCACGTGCAGCAGGAAATGACCCGGCTGTCCGGGGCTCTGGGCAAGAGAGCGGAAGCGCTGCTCCCAGAAAGCAACGGGCCGTGGCGTGAGAGAGACGGGTCGCAGCCACCTGACAAGGAGTGATCTCTGCCGTATCCTGCACCCCTCGGGAGGAGAGCCAGCACGCGTGTGAGGAAAACGGCGAAGGACCCGAGCAGGAATCTTTCCGGCTGGGGAGTTCAAGCGGCTGCTTGAGGGGAAGGGAAGGCGCATCAAGGCCGTCAGCCCGGAGCCTGCCTGCGTCGGGAAGGACGTGGTCAAGGAGCAGACGCGGGGCAGTCGGCTGAGGAGGCTGCGCGGCCCCTCCGTGACTCGAGCAAGGGCTGCCGCGTGGCCAGTGACCCCGCTGTGACGTCGGGCTCGGGAACAGCTGCTCTGCCGTGTCCGTGCCGCGGGCTCTGTGGCAGCCACATTGTGCAAACACATGGTCGGCCTGCGGGTGGAGGGATAAAGCTGCCCTCCCGCGTCGGGGAGAGAAGGTCTGCTCGGCAGGAAGGCCGCCTGCCCCTCGCCACACGCGAGGAGGCCAAGCTGTCTGTCCCCGGCGAAGCGCCACAGATGGGAGTGCGGGGTGGGGGGCGTGTCGGAGCTCCGGGCCACCAGGCGGGGGTCCTGAGCAGCCCAATGCGACGGGCGCCTCACGCTTTCTTTCATCTCGGGACAGACGCCAAGTCACGTTTACGCCTTAGAGCCTTACGATTTTGCCAATGATTCCTCAATAAAACGGGTCAAAGTTTTATATTGGATTTGCGGTTTGGGGGAGGTTTGGGCCGCATCTGGTGGTGCTCAGCAGCTCTTTCTGGTTCAGTGCTCAGGGGGAACCATCGGCAGTGCTCAGAGGACCGTGTGGTCCTCAGGTCCGATTGCATTTGGCGACACTCCCCAGCACTCGGGCCCGAACGCACACAAAGCAACAGACATCCACAGGGAAGCAAACAGACACGAAGGACACACTCTGTGTGTGTGTGTGTGTAGGGGGGGGTGATGTGTGTGTGTGTGGTGATGTGTGTGGGGAAGTCATGATCTGCGTGAGATCTTGGTGTGTGTGAGGAGAGATCTAGTGTGTGTGTGTGAGAAAATTGTGGTGTGTGAGGACATCGTGGTTAAGTGTGGGATCACTGTCGTGTGAGGATCTCGCGATGTGTGTGAGATGTTGGTGTGTGTGAGACTTGTTGTTACTGTTTTTGGCATGTTGGATATGTCACGAGGAGCTTGCCAGGCTTTGCTGTGCGGGCGGTGGCTTGCCGGGCTCTCTGAGAGGGGCGGAGGAATCAAACCTGGGTCCGTCGTGTGCAAGGCAAACACCCTACCTGCTGTGCTATCGCTCCAGCCCTCTTGGTGTGTGTGAGGCGAGCTCTGTGTGTGTGTGAGAAAATTGCGGTGTGTGAGGACATCATGGTGCGTGTGAGATCACCATAGTGTGAGGATCTCGCAGTGTGTGTGAGATCTGGTGTGAGTGAGGAGAACCCAGTTGAGGGCTCAGTGCCAGAGGCAAGGGGCTGGTTGCCGAGGACCCTTCACTGACCGGCGTCGGCGGCTCCCGCCTCTCCCTTGCTCTGGAACCTCCCACTCAGGAGGCGCAAACTGGTGCGCCTGCTTCCATGTTCGAAAGGACGTGAAGGGGAACCCGGAGGAGCAGCCCCGTGGGCACCTGTGGGCCCAGGCCCTCCGGGCGCTTCTGTGGGGCTGTGCCCTCCAGTGCTGTTGCAGTCCTGGAGGGGAGGTGGGAAGGTGGTTTCCAGCTGCTGCTCTGTGGTGTGCAGTGATGAGCCCGACCCCTGGCCCATGCAGTCTCCTTCCCGGCAGCTGCCCAGGGCCTGAGGGCGGGTGTGCATCGCTTGTGCCCGCTGGGGTCTCACCACCGCCTCTCAGCACGGGCCAAGGGAAACTTCCGGAGTGGAACTCCCCACAGTGCGGGTGCCAGCTGCCCCTGTCCCCACACTGACCCTCTTGGTGGGGAGAGCGCGAGGGGCCCTGGTCCCGTGGAACAGACCATCCCTCCCTCTGCGTTCCAAGTACTTCTTGCCCGTGTTTGTGCTCCAGTTTTCAGTTGTTGGATGTTCAGTGCGACGTGAACGGTGTTTGAGTCTGAGGGTGGCAGCCTGGATGTGCCCGGGCTCACACGGACCCTCTGCCCACAGGACCCCGGGAAGCTCATTGAGATCGAGTGCCTGGAGGGCGAGCTCGAAGCCCTGGGCCTGGAGAGCGCCATGACGTCCTACCTGCGCTCCGCTGTGGAGGTGAGCCCGCGCTCCTCAGCCTCCCCGCGCCACGGCAAGGGAGCAGCGTGGGGTCCCACGTGATGCTGACAGTGTGGCACGGGAGAGCTGAGACCCCCCCCCCCCCGGGCCCTGCCCCTCACACTCCCCACTGCCTGCCCCTGCGGGGAGCTGTGCTGGCAGGGGCAGCAGGCAGGGCTGGGGGTGTTCCAGGGGCCTGCGGGTGGGAGCTACGTGAATGGGGCTTGGCGTGAGTCCAGGGCCCTGCAGTAGGACAGGAGTCTCAGGAAGGGCCCCAGGTCAGGAGGGTCCCCTGGCGGGAAAGGCTGAGCTGAGAGCTGCCAGGCACAGTGCCGACCTTGCCAACTGAGCCCGGGGGCCCTCGTGGGGCACCGTGCTGTTTATGCAGCTTCGAGGTATGGGCGGGTGGGCCTGGACTGGGCCCCGTGGTCAGGAGCAGGTGAGGGCCCCAGGTCAGCATCGGAGGTCCTGGCTGCAGCTGACCCTGGAGGATCGCGGGTCCTGCTGGTCAGTGGCTACGCAGAGCAGGTCTGGGACCCCCCTCCCGCCCCAGCCTGTGAGGATGCTGTCATCAGTGGCCCTTGGTCCCCTCAGGGAAGAGCCTCAGCTGCCCCCTGCAGGCGGGCGGGGGTGGGGGGCGCGGCCTCACGGCGTGTCTGTGTGCAGACCCAGCTGAGCATCACCCAGCGACTGGACGTGGCCCTGCAGCAGGCCCTGCGCCTGGGCGACCCGCGGGTCATCCACGTGGTGTGCGCCACGCAGTGGAACCTGTGCCTGCCACTCCTGCAGCACAACCTCCGTGCCCGGCTGCGCGGACAGCTCAGCACCATCGCGCACGCGCTGGAGAGGATGGACAGGTAGCGGCCCCGGGGCACAGCCGATGGCCACACCCTGCAGCCAGTCCCCTGAGTTGGCAGCCCGCCCAGGCCGGGCACGGGGGTCAGCGTGGAACAGGCCCCTGTCAGGACCCGAACGTGATCCTCACTGGGCCAGCGCCCACCGTCAGCCAGGCCCTAGGCAGGCGGGGCTCGGCCAGAGTGCTCGCACACACAGCTCACTGACGTCCACTGACGTCCTGCCTGCACCCGTAGCGTGTCTGCACCTCCCCCCGTGTCTGAACTTAAACCTGGACTCACATCACTTCATGTGTGTGTCTACACCTGGCCCACACCCACGAGCACACTGTAGGTATCTCCTGTCTTCACATAAGGTGTTTAAGGCTGGCCTTGGTCAGGGCCAGGAGAACCAGCAGGACAGGGCCAGGAGGGCAGCGGGGCCACCCTGGAGAGAAGAGCATCTTCAGGATGATTCTAGACTGAGTTCGTGAGGGGATGGAGGAGACGTGGGAGCCGGGGGCGGGAGACACTCCTGGTGTTTGTGTGGGGGAGAATCCTGGAGCAGCCGGGTGGGCTCTGGGGCAGGCCCCCCTACAGGGTGGTCTCCAAGGAAGGGCTCCCCAGCTGGTCCCCAGGACCGCAGCCTCGTGCGGGGAGCTGGGGCCACTGCAGGGGCGGCGGGGGAGGCCGTGAGCCCGGGCACATCCACAGAGCAAGTAGACGACCTGCCCGCTGCCCCAGGGCTGGTCCCTGCAGGCCTGCAGGTGGCGTGGCGGGCGGCTTGGGTGGGGCTCACACATCCCTGCAGATTGCACATGTTAATCCACAGAAGGCTGTTTCCCCGGCGTCTGCCCAAATGCCTGGCAGAATTCACGCACCCCCGTGGGCCTCCACGTGTGGGCCCACAGCCACGTCCACAGTCTGATAGATCCCTGGGGCGTTGGTCCATCCTGCGTGGGCTGCGATGCAGCTGCCTCAAATGACTGACCAAGGGTGCACCAGGGACATAATGGACACGGTACCACCCGAGCCTGGGCTGCAGGCTGCGTGACGGTCAGAGAAGGTGACTGTGCGCCACTGCCCATGCAGGATACACACACGCACATGTATGCTCGATGCACACACACACGTGCGGGCTCCTGCCCTTGGGACACACACATGTGCTTGTGGCCCACGTGGACACACACGTGCTCGTGGCCCATGTGGACAGGCACACGTGCTTGTGGCCCATTTAGACACACATGCTCACGGCCCACATGGACACACACATACGTGCTTGTAGCCCATGTGGACACACATGTGCCCTTGGCCCATGTGGACACGTGCTGGTGGCCCACATGGACACACACGTGCTCGTGGCCCACGTGGACACACACGTGCTCGTGGCCCACGTGGACACAAACGTGCTCGTAGCCCACACGGACACACACGTGCTCGTGGCCCATGTGGACATACACATGCTCTTGGCCCATGTGGGTACACACACATGCTCACGGCCCACATGGACACACACATACGTGCTTGTAGCCCATGTGGACACACACGTGCTTGTGCCCCATGTGGATACACATGTGCTGGTGGCCCACGTGGACACACATGTGCTGGTGGCCCACATGGATACACACACATGCTTGTGGCCTATGTGGACACACACACATGCTTGTGGCTCATGTAGACACACACACACATGCTCACGGCCCACATGGACACACATATGTGCTTGTAGCCCATGTGGGCACACACACGTGCTCGTGCCCACATGGACACACATGCGCATGGCCACGCGGACACATGCGACCGAGGCCTGAGCTCTGGCCCTGAGGCCCAGGCGGTGCCTCACCAGTCAGGAGCTGCGGGCCAGCGGCCAGCGTCTCGTCGTCCCCTCGGGCTGGGCGGTGGCCTGTGTCTGTGCCCACACGTGGTCTGGAGGCTGGGAGACGCACCCCTGGGTGAACCTGGGCCGGGTTCTGGCCCCCCGTGGCCGGGGATGTCGGCTGAGCAGCGGCCTTGGCAGGGCCGAGCGTGAGCGTGGGTGCGGGCCGGGTCAGCGCCCTGCAGCCCGGCTGTCCCCCCCCCCCCCCCCAGCCTCATGCTGCAGCTGCGCTGCCAAGTGCACATGGAGCTGGCGCACATCGAGAAGGACGAGGACCGGCTGGAGCTCGCCATGGGCCACCTGCGGAAGGCCCTGCGGCTCGACAGCCTGGGCCTCCACCAGGAGAAGCTGCAGCTGTCCCTCAGCCAGCTGCGCCTCTACACCACGCTCTACCACAGCCCCGAGCGCGCCGAGGACAGGGCCGCCCTGGCCATCGAGCAGGTGTGGCAGGCGCCCCCGGGCTGGGCCTCGGCGCCCGCGCCCCCTCAGCCCTCGCTCCCCACAGGCCAAGAAAGCCACCCCCAAGGACAGCGTGCGCAAGAAGCGGGCGCTCCTGGTGAATGCCGGCCTGGCCCTCGCCCCGGACACCTTCCAGATCGTGCTGGACAGCGAGAACGAGGCCAAAGGTCAGGGCCGTGGCCGTCTCTCCCCTCAGGACCCTCTCACCGGGCCCGGCCATGGGGACGTCCCCTTGAACTTGGGAGTCATGGGGTCAGGGTCTGTCCTGTGTCCCCCAACCTCCACTGCCATCCAGCCGGTCTCCTGCTCACCCTGGCCTCCCAGCCTCATGCAGGGTGACTCTCCGGGACAGAGCTGGAGGCCGGCTTGGTCCGTCCCCGCCGCTCCCGCCCGAGCCAGCGTGACCCCAGCGTGGGCCTGCGGGGGTGGGGGGCAGGTCACGACTCTCCTTTGGCCCCAGGGTGCTGTCCCCAGCTTGTCCCCTGAATGTGAGCAGCCTCCTGCCCTTGGGGGTGTCCCGGGGGCTGCAGCTGCCCCAAGCCCTGTGGGGCTGTGCCTGCCAGGAGGGGCGGCCATGCCCGAGCCCTGCCCGTGTCCCGCTGTGGCAGGTTGGATGGGCAGCGTGGTCGGTCGGGGGGTGGGTCCAGGAATGAGGGCTCTGTCCCCCCAGTCTCCACCGGGAAGCACCGAGGCCGCTTCACCTACCTCTTCGCCAAGGCGCGTCACCACATCCTCTGCGTGGAAAAGGCCGCAGGGCACCTGAGACGCCTGGGGAACAAGAACAACCAGGAGAGGTGAGAGGAGAAGGCCACAGGCCTCAGCGCCTGCACCCGTGCCCACACCTGTGCCCACACCTGAGCCCACACCTGAGCCCGCACCTGCATCCACACCTGTACCACACCTGAACCCACATCTGTGCCCACACCTGAGCCCACACCTGCACCCACACCTGTAGCACACCTGCACCCACACTTGAGCCCACACCTGAGCCCACACCTGCACCCACACCTGTACCACACCTGAACCCACACCTGAGCCCACACCTGCTCCCACACCTGTCGCACACCTGCACCCACACTTGAGCCTACACCTGAGCCCACACCTGCACCCACACCTGTACCACACCTGAACCCACACCTGAGCCCACACCTGCACCCACACCTGTCGCACACCTGCACCCACACTTGAGCCCACACCTGAGCCCACACCTGCACCCACACCTGTCGCACACCTGCACCCACACTTGAGCCCACACCTGAGCCCACACCTGCACCCACACCTGTACCACACCAGCGCCCACACCTGCACCCACACCTGTAGCACACCTGCACCCACACTTGAGCCCACACCTGTAACACACCTGAGTACACACCTGCACCCACACCTGAGCCTACACCCGCGCCCACACCTGTAGCAACCTACACCCACACCTGAGCCCACACCTGAGTCCATACCCGCGCCCACACCTGTAGCACACCTGTACCCACACCTAAGCCTACACCTGAGCCCACACCTGAGCCCATACCTGTACCCATAGCTGAGCCCACACCTAAGCCCACAACTGTACCTCACCTGAGCCCATACCTGAGCACTATACCTGAGCCCACACCTGTGCCCACACCTGTAACACACCTGACTCCACACCCGCGCCCACACCTGTAGCATACCTGCACCCACACCCGAGCCCACACCTGCGCCCACACCTGTACCACACCTGAGCCTATACCTGTGCCCACACCTGAGCCCACACCTGAGCCCACACCTGAGCCCACACCTGAGTCCACACCTGAGCCCACACCTGCACCCACATCTGAACCCACACCTGAGTCCACACCTGAGCCCACACCTGAGCCCACACCTGAGCCTATACCTGTGCCCACACCTGAGTCCACACCTGAGCCCACACCTGAGCCCACACCTGAGTCCACACCTGAGTCCACACTGAGCCCACACCTGTACCCATACCTGAGCCCACACCTGAGCCCACGCCTGAGCCCCACCTGGGGCTGCCATCTTGGCACCGGGGCAGGGTCTGGATCTGGACGGAGCTGGTGAAGGTGGCCCGGAAGCAGGGTGTGTGGGACGTGTGCCGGACGGCGTGCCGCTTCTGCCTGCTCTACGACGGCGTCAACGCGAAGAAGCTGCTGAGGGCCACCCGCAAGGGGGCAGGTGTGCAGGGCCGGGCCTGTCACTCGGGGTGCCGGGGCTCGGAGGGGGCGGGCGGCGAGGGGTGGCCTCTGGGTGGGGACCGAGAAGGCTGGTCTAGTGGTCGCCTGGAGTCCACCCGCGACCCCCGGCTGGGCCAGGGGAGGCCCTCAGGGGACCCCAGTGCGGGGAACTCTGCCGGGCCGCCTCTGGGACAGTGCAGGCTCCTGCAGGGAGGAAGCGACGAGGCCAGGACAACCTCCTGCTGGAGGCGCAGACGCAGTCGGACCTGAGCGTGCTGCCCCCCGAGCTGAAGAGAAAGTTCGCGGAGGTGGGCTTCATCTGCGGCGAGGTAGGCATGTAGACCGAGGGACAGACGGGCTCCTGGCGTCCAGCAGTGCCTCCAAGCATGTCTGCAGGCAGGGCGGGTCTGCACACAGCCGGGAGCACCAGGCTCTGGGCTGGGAGGTGGGATTGGGGTGGGGCTGGTGGGGATGGGGTGGGTCGGGGACTGGGCTGGGCTCTGGGCTGGGCTCTGGGCTGGGCTCTGGGCTGGGCTGGGCTGGACTTTGGGCTGGGGTGGGCTGAACTCTGGGCTGGGGTTGGGCTGGGCTGGGCTGTGTTGGGCTGGGCTGGCTCTGGGCTGGGCTGGGCTCTGGGCTGGGCTCTGGGCTGGGCTGGACTGGGCTGGGCTCTGGGCTGGGCTCTGGGCTGGGCTGGGCTGGGCTGGCTCTGGGCTGGGCTGGGCTCTAGGCTGGGCTGGGCTGGGGACAGGCTGGCCGCCAGGTGTGAGGTGCCTGGAGAACTTTGGTTTCTCCCTTCTCCGTGGCTGAGGCGGGTTCTCCAGTGAGGGCAGATCTTGGGTGCCAGCAGGCCACTGTGTGCTGTGGAAGCAGAGCCGTGGACCCGTCGGCCTGTGCTGGGCGTGTGTGGGAGTGTGGGAGGACGTGGGGGCTCTCACCCGTCCCTGCCCCCTCTGCGGCCCCCTGCAGGCCACCATCCAGCTGCTCCAGGCAGAGGGGGTGAGACTGAATGACAGCCCCCGTCCCCCCGAGGACCTGAGCCAGCACGCGGCCGGCTTCGTGCTGGAGTCCCCGGAGGACAATGAGGAGTGGCTTCTGTACAGGTAGTGGCCAGGGGCCGGCCCAGAGCACTAGGGTGGGGGTGGGACGGGCCTGGCTGCATTGGAGTGCTGGGGCCGGGGGCCGGGCCACAGTGGGCAGTGGTGCAGCGTCCAGGGAGGCGAGCCCTGGGCCCTGAGATCTCCCCGCGGTCTCAGCTGTGGCCGCTTTGGTGTGGAACCTGCACGCAGCCTGGACAGGGCTCCTGCCGCCAGGACCCACCTGCTCCTGGCAGTGACTCTGAGCCCAGCTGGGCCAGCGCCTGCCCGGCTGTGGCCCACGGAGTCCAGGAGGTGGCCGGGAGCCGCGGGTGGAGGGGGAACAGGGAGCCTGAGCTCAGGGGCCCACCGGTGGCCGCCAAAGGGCATGTGGCGCCCGTCCTGAGTGCCGGTGCCTGCGGCAGCACGTGGATAGCGAGCCTGTCCCAGCTGGCCATGAGCAGCTGGCTGCGGGCCGCCGAGATTGGCCGTGAGCTGCAGGAGGCGTGGGTGGTGCAGAACGCCATGGCGTACGTGCTGAACCACAACTACCACCTCATCGTGGCCGGGCGGCAGAAGGAGCTGGTGGGCGCCTTGCAGCAGCTCCTGGGCATCATCAAGTCCATGGGCCACTGCGGGTAGGTCTGTGGAGTCGCAGCGCCCCCTGGAGGAGGGGAGGGAGGGAGCGGGGCTGGGAGGAGGCCCCCTCTCCCCGCCCCCACCCAAGACCCTGACCTGCGTCTGCGCAGCTGTGGCCTCAGCCGGGCCTGACTCAGACCCCCACCAGGCTCAGGGCGTGGGACCGGAGGTGGTCTCTGCACCTGTCAGCACTGGGGACCCCAACGGTCCTTGGGGAGGGCGTCCCGGGCGCTGCGAGGAGTGAGGGGCAGCTCGGGGAGACCCGCCCGCCCCACGCTGGACGCTCTGCCACTGACCACATACGTGAGGACGGCTTCCACGGTGGTGTGGGGCCTCCGGGGGGAGCACGAGGCCCCACAGAGCCCGTGGCCCCCGGGGCGTGGCCTGGACGGAGGTACTTCCCGCCTGCGCCTCCTTCCAGAGACCCCTTGATCGAGGCCTCCGTGTGCAACAACCTCGCCCGAGGCCTGATCCTCAGCTGGATCCCGGCCCACCCCCCGGAAAGGTCTAGAAAGGCCGTGCGCTCGAATCTCCAGCACGTGCCCCTGGACGCCAACGCCGCCTCGGAGATCGGGACCGCGGTGGAGGTGCGGCCACCAGGGGCGGGGCTGGGGCCACGGGGCCATGTGGCTCCTGCCCTCGCTTGCTCTGACCCCCTCGAGGGTGGGTGGTTGGCGTGTACACGGTTCCCGCCGGGAAAAGGACCGGCCTGTGGTCACTGCAGACCGGAGTGTCCGGGGTGGCCAGTGCAGGGCCTATCTGCAGAGCTGGCGCCGGGGCAGGAGCTGTGACCTGCGGCACCCAGGGAGCAGGGGTCAGGGTGGGAAGGCGGGAAGGCGGGAGGGCGGGAGGGACAGCGGCCAGCATGAGCCTGGGCCGTCAGCGGTGCGCCGCCCCCTCAGGTCTGCGAGCTGGCCCTGAGCCTGTCCGGGGGGGCCGTGCCCGGGGAGGACGTCCCTGTCCAGGTGCGCCAGCAGCTCATCGCCACCTGGGTGAAGGCCAAGCAGCTGTTGCAGCAGCAGATCGGGCCGCGGCTGGTCCCCGAGGAGGTGAGCGCCCACGGGGCTGCAAGCCGTCCGCATCCAGCCCTGGGGACTCTGTCCTGTGGGGGACACGGGCCGCAGCCCAGGGACTCGGGGAGCCCCGTGTGCCAGGGGCTGGGTTGCGGTGGCCCGAGTGCCGGCTCCCAGATCCTCCATCCTGTCCCCCTCCCCCCCCTCAGGGCACCAGCGAGAAGGTCAGCGCCGTGAGCAAGGTCCTCGTGGCTCTGGAGATGTTCTCATGCAACGGGCTGGGCCTCATGGACTTCACCGTGCCCCCGCTGGCCCAGGCAGGTGCCCGCCTCTCCCTCCCTTGCCTCCCCTCCCTCCCCCCCGCCTTCCTGTCCCAGGGCTTCCGTTCCTGTGTGAACCGCACCTGGGTATGGGCAGAGCCTCACCTCCTGCTCCGAGGCGCCAGGGGCACAGGGTGCCCGACAGGCAGGTCCCCAGGGCCCTGTCCCCCCCATAGGTCCCCAGGGCCCTGTCCCCCCAGGCTGTGTCCTCCCCAGTCAGTGTCCCCGCCGGCAGGTCCCCAGGCAGGTCCCCAGGGCCCTGTCCCCCCCATAGGTCCCCAGGGCCCTGTCCCCCCAGGCTGTGTCCCCCCCAGTCAGTGTCCCCCCCGGCAGGTCCCCAGGCAGGTCCCCAGGGCCCTGTCCCCCCTAGTTGGTGTCCACCCTCCCAGGCAGGTCCCCAGGCAGGTCCCCAGGGCCCTGTCCCCCCTAGTTGGTGTCCACCCTCCCAGGCAGGTCCCCAGGCAGGTCCCCAGGCACTGGGGTGCTGCCCTCGTTCGCCCATGTGGCACGGCCATGGGGCTGTGGCTGCCGAGGCCCGACCTGCTGCCCACAGTCCCAGCGTCCTCAGGCCCAGTAGGACAGCTGATGGCAGTTCCTTACTGCAGGTCGTGTCCATGGCGTCCGAGTGCAGGTGGACGGACCCCGTGGTGGAGCTTCAGGCCCACATGAGGCTGGCCCACTTTGCCTACGCAGCCCGCAACCACGAGCTGACCGTGGCCTGCGCGCAGAAGGCCGTCCAGATGGCCATCACGCTCCTGAGGGTCACCAACCCGTAAGCCACCCCGGGCGGCCGCTGGGGCCGGTGGGGAGGGTCAGGCTTGCGCCATCTGGGGTGCCCGTTGGTGAGACAGGGCCCGTCCCTGCCCCCGAGAACCCGTGATGGGCAGGAGTGTCCGGGTTGAGAGCCACAGCCGTGACGTGACCTTGCCGGGTGGGTGCCACCAGGGAACACGTCAGGAGGGGAGTGTGCGCTGACCGGACAGGGGCTTCTGGTCACGGGCAGAGACGAGGCAGCGAGGGAGAACCGGCCACACTCACGGTCAGAAGGTGGAGGCAGGCCTGAGCCTCAGTTCCTGGCAAGGCGGGGAGAGGCCGTGGGGGGCGTGGGGGCCGTGGGGGCAAGTGTCCGTGGGGGCGTGGGGGCGAGTGGCCAACTGCCCCCGTGGCAGGACGGGGACTGGGCACATCGCTCCTGGCCGTGTGCAGTGAGCTTTGGTGTCAGTCTTTCCGGCCTTCCTGAGGATGTGGCCTGCAGCTCCACAGTCCTCAGAGGGACAAGCGCTTCTGGAAGCAGGTCAGTGCCCAGGGGACCCAGGGCACCTCCAGGACGCGGCGGTCAGGGCCGGGTCGGCCCCCAGCCCCAGAGCACCCACATGCCTCACCCGCCTCCCGCCGCCGAGTCACGTCTTATTTTAAAGCAGTGAGTCTCAACTCTCTGGATCTTAATAGACTCATCCATTCACGGACACATACGTGCACCTCTGTCCACACACGCGCGCGCTCACACACACACATCCTGGCAGGGAGAGCCTGGCGGGCGGAGCCACACTGCGGGCCAGGGCGCCCTCTGGTGGCAGCCGGTGTGCCGCGTCGGCTTCCTACTGGCGGGCCCCTCTCTCCCGCCACACAGACCTCAGGCCGCCTCAGGAAGGCAGGACCCGGGGTCCAGCCCACAAGGGCTGCGGCTCTAGGTGATGCACCTTCAAAAAATGGTTACGCTTCTTTCCGAATGCCTGTGTTCATTTTTTCTATTTTACAAATTGTGTCAAAACTCTAATGGGGACTTGGTCAAGGTCATTTTTAGAGTAGAGGTGAAAATGATTCTTGCGATTTGTTAAAAAATATAGTACAGGGGCCAAAGTGACAGTTCAGTGGAGGGAAGGGTGCTGACCTGGCACATGTCTGACCCAGGTTCAACCCCTGGCACCCCTATGGCCCCCTGAGCACCACCAGGAGTAATTCTTGAGCACAGAATCAGGAGCGACCCCTGAGTATCATCAGGAATAATTTGTGAGCGCAGAATCAAGAGTGACCCCTGAGCACCACCGAGGGTGACCCAAAAGCAAAAGTGTAGTCACTAATAAATTTGTATTTTCAACTCTCAAGTGTGTAGTAACTAGACTCATCTTTATACAGATACTATTAATGTGAAAAAGAAATATTAACAAGAAAATTCTCATGGTTCACCAGAATTGTAAAGCAAGGATTAGGGGAATAGAGTCTAACGAGTTCCTTAATTCTGAGGAGAGCGAGAGTGACAGGTGCTCTTTGAGATGAGTGACAGATCAGTGCTGTCACTCTGAGCGGGTGACAGAACGAGGTCAGAGAAGCTCTCTGACTCTGAGGAGGTGACGCAGCAGGTGCTCTTGAAGGAGGTGTGTGGCAGAGAAAATGATCTCCCTCTGAGGAGGTGGGGGAGAGACACAAGCGCTCTCACTCTGAGGAGACTACAGAGAACTAACTCTCTCTCTCTGAGAAGGTGCATGCCAGAGACGAGCACTGTCACTCTGAGGAGGCGACAGGGAACAGACTCTCACTCCGAGATGCCTAACGGAACAAGCACTCTCATTCTGAGCAGGTGACAGAACTAGGGCTCTCCATCTGGAGAGACAAGTGACAGAGAGAAGTGCTCTCACACTCTGAGGAGATGAGTGACAGCGCAGGCACGCTAGGCCGAGGTGGCGATTGACAGAGAGCCACCAGTCTCCCCGTGCGAAGGCAGGCCGTGCAACACTGGTTTCTCAGTGCTCGGAGGCAGCCCTGGAATGTGGTTCTAAGCTTGAGAGAGATTTGAATTGCTCAGTAAGAGTCAGGATGATCTTTCTCGGGTCCCCAGACGTTCAGAAAAATCCACCTCAGGAATAGGGCCGACTTGTACTTTCTTACAAAGATTAACCCCCAAATCAACAGGACAAAGATGCTCACCGTTCAGTTGGCTGCCTGACACCTGACACCTGTCTTCCTTTAACTGAAGCCACGTCACTAACATTCTTGACAAAAGAACACCAGAGTCCAGAATAAAACATAATTCTAGCCATGGCAAAAACATCTACCTGACCCATACCAGGTGAAAGGACAGTCAGTAGGTCCAGACAGCACAAGAGCTGAAATCAGAGGACAGCCATTTCAAGCCGCTTTATAAATACATGAAAGGATATTTAATGGAGGATTTAGAATGCAGCTGGGAAGTTTCAACCAAGAAGTGGAGAGCACATAGAGAATCAGGAGAAATCTCAAGACCAGAAACACAGTGTCTGAAGTGGAAATGCCACCAGGAGAGCAGGACCTCTGGGCCTAGAGGGTGACAGATGGCTATGGGGGACCTCACAGGGCCAGGGCCAAACCTGGATTCCAGCTGCCCATACCCAGGCCTGACAAAGTAAGTCAACAGGCCACTGAAACAGACTCCCCAGGAGCAGAGGCCAAAATAAAGCAGAGTTTGGGACCAGGGAGGGAGAGCCCAGGTCGTAGCACACGCCGTGCACATGCGTGACCCCGCTTTGCAGGAGAGAGAGCCCGGGCCGTAGGACATGCCATGCACATGTATGACCCAGCTTTGCAGGAGGGAGAGCCCAGGCTGTAGGACACGCCGTACTCATGCATGACCTGGCTTTGCGAGAGGGAGAGAACAGGCCATAGCACACGCCGTGCAAGTGCCGTCCCCGGCTTTGCTCTCGAGCTCCATAGGCCTCCTGAGCATCCCTGGGGTAGGCCGGGGGCACGGGCCCCCCACACCCTGTCCTCGTGCCTTCACAGGCCGAGGTTGCCGGGAGGGCCACTGCTTGGAAGGGCCCCTACAGATACAGTGAGCAGGACGTGGCCGCTAGGGTCATCCCAGGATGACAGAGGCCAGGACACAGGACAGAGAACATAGATTTGAGAACGACACTGGAAAGTATTTTCAGTTGAATTTAAAATATTGATCCAGAGAACCAAGAATGTTGGTGAACTGTGCGCAGGACGAGCCAGAGGAACACGTGGGTTTTCACGGTGACCCACGTGGCGCACGGCGGAATCCAGGCGCTGACGCTGCAGTTCAGAGTTTGGAATGAGAAAGCTGTCAGAGGGGCCCACGTTGCCTGAACATCCGTCCCACACGAAGGCACAGCCCTGCCATTCTGGCCGACCAGGAGAATCCGACCGCGAAGAGCGCAGAGCAAGAAACGCAGGAGGGAAGTGCGGCTGAAAGAGGATCTGGGGTGGCCAGGGAAGTCCCGCTGAGCCCGAGTCTCGGATGTGGGTGGACCAAAGGCCTCTCACTCGACTCTGTCATTTAAAGGACACTTTTGTATTCAAAAGCGTGTGTGAGTGGCATCCAAACAAACTGGACCGAAGGACCTTGCCCACAGCGGGGGAATGTCAGCCCCTCAGGCAGCCGCGTGGAGACGCCCCAGAGAGGTCACGGCAGAGCTTGCTCCTGACCCCGGGTCCCACCTTCCCCCAAACCCAGCAGCACCGAGCTGGAAGGGGGTCAACACACCCTTTGGCCCAATGTCCAGGGAACGGAACACCCCGAATGTCAGCAACAGATGAATGGACAGAGACGCAGCAGGATGAAGGGAAGACTGAGCCCTGCCTGGGACGTGTGTGGGGGGCCGCGAAGTGAATCCAAGGGAGGAGGACGAGGACCCCCTGACATCCACAGAGAAATCAAGGAGGGCTCAGGCAGTCTGAGCGATGCCAGACCCTGCCCTGGAGCTGAGACCGCCCAGAGGTTGGGGAGGAGGAGGTGGACGGGAAGGGCACAGACACCACGGCGGAGAGTCTCTGGGGACGGTGAAGGGACAGGGTCTGTCCCCCAAGACCCTGACGAGTGACTCTATTATAACAAAAATCTACCGGGCCTCTTTGCAGGTGGACGCTTTTTTGGTTAATATTGTTAACTTCCTCTGTCCTTAACAGGTTTGCCAAGCTTTTCCTAGTAATACTTTATCTTTCTTGTACTTATATTACTTTTTGAGGCCCCATAACTTGCAAAGGTACTTATGAGTGAGTTTCAGACATGCAATATTCCCATCCCAATCCCGTTGGCAGTGCCCACTCCCTCCCCCGCCCCAGCCACCTCTGTGGTGGTCGTCCTTCTGCGGGTGCTCTGGGGTCCGGCGCTGATGCGCACAGGATGACTTCCGTGTGTGCTGCTGTACCCGCCTCCCACCGTTGGCTTGATTACCCTCTCCTGATGGTGTCCGGGGAGGCAAACATTGCGAGCCTCTAAGGCCGTGGCCAGGGGCCGTGACAGGGGCCTTGCAGGAGGGCGAGAGGTGCCTGGGGAAGCAGAGGCCACATGGGATGGCCTGGAGCACGGCAGCGGCCTCAGCAGTGTGAGACGAGCCAGTGGCCTCCGGACAGAGCAGAGTGGGAGGCGCTCGCCCTGCCCCCGGCTGGCGTGGGCTCCATCTCTGGCACCCCACAGGCCCCCGAGTGCACCAGAGCGGTCCCAAGTGCAGAGCCAGGGGGAACCCCTGGGCAGCGAGTGTGGCCCCCAAAACCAAGGTCCTGAAGGGTCCACTCAGCCCATGTGCCCCTGTCGAGCTGGGGCAGGGGGTCCTGGTGACGCTGCCCCCTGTACCCCCAGGTCCTGGACACCGTCCCCCCAGCAGCCGGGCGAGCACCTGCTCACAGAACAGGCGGCGGGGGGCCCATCGAGCTTGGTCGGTCAGCAGAGGTCTAGGGGGGAGGAGCCGGGCCAAAGAAGACTAAGTTTTGGGGGTCAGTTCCTGGAGGCCTCTGAGAGAACCGTAATCTGGGGCACATAAGTGGGACCCCACATTTCCCTTGGACGGGTCAGCTGTGCTGGAGGTCACTCACCCCCCCCCCCCGAGCCTGTTCTCCCCAAGCTGCTGTGCGTGGGCTGACCTCCACAGTGAGTTCTGGTTGGGGGTGTCCCGGGCTTCCTGCGGAGTCAAGCCCAGCACTGTCCCCGGGCCCGTGTCCACCGAGCTCTCGTCCCTTCGCAGGGCCGAGGTCCCTCTGCTGGCCGAGATGCTGAGCAGCACCTGCTACGTCCAGGGCCGCAGCATCATAGAGAACATGAAGGGCCAGAAGAGGCTGCGGCACGTGGCGGCCAGGGCCTTCCTGGAGGGCGTAAGGTGCGCCCACGGGCTGTGCGGGTGTGCCCCGTTGGGGCTGCCTCAGCGTGTGTTGGCTGTGTCCTGTGTGGGTGTGTCCTGTGTATCTGGGCCCTGTGTGGCTCTGTCCTGTGTGACTGTGCCCTATATGGGTGGGTCCTGTGTGGTGTGTACCCTGTGTGGGTGCATCCTGTGTGGGTGTATCTTATGTGACTATGTCCTGTGTGGGAGTTTCCTGTGTGGCATGTGTCCTGTGTGTTCTTATGGAGGTTTCCTGCTTGTGCTGTGTCATGTTCTGGGCTGTATTGTATGTGTGTGTGTGTGTGTGTGTGTGTGTGTGTGTCCTGTGGTGTATGACGTGGCAGCTTCTGTACAAGACTGGCCATCCCCGGTGGCCCCTTGGTGGCCAGGCTTGCTTGCTGTGTGGAAGCTACTTCTCTGGGCAGCTGACTGCGTGCGCAGCGCCTGTGAAGGGCACCCGGCAACGTGTGCAGAGAGGCAGGTCCTGGACTCCCGGGTCCTGCCCTCTTTGTTCGCCCTCAGCTCCGTGGTCGGTGTCCCAGGAGTGACACTGTCTTGTGGACTTGTCTCCGTGGCTGGCGCTCTGGGCATGACGTCACTGGACTTAGCCCCGGTCTCCTCCCCAGGTTCGCTGGCATTGCCGAGAACAGCGCCCTGGTGCTGCTGGGCGCGCGGCACTTCTGGAACTCGTGGCTCCCCATGCTGGGCTCGGCGGCCAGCAGGAAGATGTGCCGGAGCAGCCTGCAAAAGGTCATCCACATCATCAACAAGACGGAGGCCAAGAAGCCGGTACTGTGGCCACAAGCGCAGGCCCCGGGACGGGCGGGGCAGACAGCGGCCCCGGTGGACCCTGAGGCGGGCACCGTGGTCAGAAGCCCTGCAGGGCAGCGGCTTGAGCCCTCCACCTGCTGAGACTCAGCACGTCTGGGGCAGGGACGAGCGGCTGGCAATGGAGCAGTGCCGAGTGTGGGCACCCTGTGCCCCCCCACCCCCAGGAAGCTTCCTCAGGGCCTGACGGCTCTGTGAGGTCTATGTGGGGCCGCCCTGGGTGGCTGGCACCCCCTTAGCCCAGCAGCCTCGGCCTCTGGAGCTGCTGCTGGGCTCCGCATCACCAGTGCACGCCCACCCTGCAGGAGTCTCTCGGGGACCAGCCTCCGCTCCAGACTCCACAGGGCTCCCGAGGCCGTCGGGGTGCAGTCACGGTGGCTTCATGTGAGCCCACCCCCTCCACCATGTGGCAGGACCTGTGACCTGTTCACACCACTGCAGCCTGCATGGGTGTCTGCCTGTCTCACCAAGGCACTGCTAGGACTGTGGCTTTCGGTGGTTTGGGGTCTCCACCTCCGAGGAGAATTGCTGTGACCTGCAGGTTCACTGTCCAAGTGCACAAGGCCCACCACTGTTTCCACAGCAGGGCCTCTGGGGTGCCATGCCTCTCCTCGCCGTGAAGAACAGCCACTCCTGGTCTGACTGACTATGAGGTGCTGAGGGAGAGCTGCTCAGTCTGTGAGACACTGAGGGACAGCCACTCCATGCATGACTGAGACATTGAGGGTCAGTCGCCCTATGTCTAACTGACTGAGACATTGAAGAGAGCCAGCCCATACTTGACTGACTGAGACACTGAGGACAGCACTCTATGTCTAACTGACTGAGACATTAACAATAGCCACTCCACGTCCGACTGACTGAGACACTGAGTAACAGCCACTCCATGCTTGACGGAGACTCTGAGAGACAGTCACTCCATGTCTGACTGATTCAGACATTGAGGGTCAGCCACTCCATGTCCAACTGAATGAGACACTGAGGGACAGCCACTCCATGTCTGACTGACCGAAACACCGAGGGACAGCCACTTCATGTCCGACTGACTGAGATACTGAGGGTCAGTCACCCTATGTCTAACTGACTGAGACATTGAAAAGAGCCATCCCATACTCGACTGACTGAGACACTGAGGGACAGCCACTCCATGTTCGACTGACTGGCACACAGAGGACAGCCACTCCATGCTTGACTGAGACTCTGAGAGACAGTCACTCCATGTCCGACTGGTTCAGACACTGAGGGTCAGCCACTCCACGTCCGACTGAATGAGACAACTGAGGACAGCTGTTCTGAGTTGGCTGGTTGCATGTGGTAGCTAAATTTGTGGTGAGAACCTTTTCTTTTGGGTGAAAACAGCTTTTTGTAACTCAGTATTTCAGAAACTGTGCTCCAACTTTTGCAATTCGTTATGGAGCCTGATGTAAACTTGCCCGTGAAGTTTAGTAGATCGTGATTTCCTACTGTGCGTTTGCTCTCTTTGCTTTTACCTCAGAAAAAGAGAAAGATACTGCTTCTGCATCAGTGGCCGACGGCAGACTTCCAAAGCGGAGGGATCAGTGAAGGCTACTTCCTCCCAGGTGGGTAGTGCCAGCTGTCGTGCTAGGGCTGGGCGGCCCCAGAGAGAGCCAGCTCTGTTCTCACAGGAGGCCCACGGAGCCCCACAGAAGCCCCTGAGGTACACACAGGGAGGCCACGCCCACAGGCTCACACCATGCCCGGTCAGCGGGACGTGGCCTGTTACTCCCAGCCGCACAGTGCTAGAAATCCAGCCTCTGGATCACTCTGAGGTGAACCCTGTTCTTCACGCCCCGTAGTTCGCTCGCCTAGTTTAGAACAATCAAGGCATAGCACCAAATCCTACTTAGAGAAAAAAAAAGAGCTTTTTTGCCAAAAAATGACACTCTGTGCCCCCACAAGGCTCTGAGGCAGGCTTGTGAGCCTGTGCTCACTGCACGAGGTGACACGCGTGTCCAGAGTATCAGAGCCGGGAATAAGAGATCACGGCACGGAGCGCGCACAGGGCCGCCCCCGAGTGCCCCTCTGCAGCTGGGCCAAGCTCTGCACCAGGGCAGATGCTGCCCTCAGGTGCCGCCCACAGGTGCTGAGGAAGACCTGACACTGCGGGCTGCCCTCTACGGCCTCCTGTTCCACAGCTATGCTGACAATGAGGACTGGGCGGGCGGCCTCAAGGTGCTGGGCGAGGCCGCCCAGGTGCTGCCGCGGACCCCACACCGGCTGTGAGTGCCAAGACCCCCCACGGCACCAGCCTGCTCCTGCCTGGCCTCTCTGCCCCCTTCAGAAGCTGCGGCCTGAGACCCAGCACTCCCCTGACCCCCCTCAGTGAGCGTGACCAGTGCTCCTCATGCATGCCCAGTGCTCCCGGTCCTCCCTCACTGCGCGTGGCCAGTGCTCCCCGTCCTCCCTCTGTGCATGCCCAGTGCTCCCCATCCTTCCTCACTGTGTGTGGCCAGTGCTCCCTGTCCTCCCTCTGCGCGTGGCCAATGCTCCCTGTTCTCCCTCACTGTGTGTGGCCAATGCTCCCTATTCTCCCTCTGCGCGTGGCTAGTGCTCCCCGTTCTTCCTCACTGCGTGTGCCCAGTGCTCCCCGTCCTCCCTCACTGTGCGTGGCCAGTGCTCCCTCTTCCGTCCTCGCCACTCCAGCCTGATCTTCAAGCATATGATCATCGTCAAGGCCAAGCTGGGGCAGACGTTCCTGATGGAGATCCAGAAGTTCAAGGACGAGAGCGAGGACTACCTGGCGCACATGTGGTACCGCCTGGCCCTGAACTCCAAGAGCATCCACGGCCAGATGATGTGCTACCAGAACGCCATCCAGGCCTTGCAGGTGCGGCGGGAGGGGCCCAGCCTGGCCCTGCCCGTGTGGGGGCCTCGTGGGCGGCACCCACCACCTGCCGCTAGGGAGCTTGGACATGTCCCAGCCAGCCCCCGGCCCCCGCCAAGAGCCCAGGGCACACCCTCCTCGGTGGGCTTCGGGGGCTGCCCTGGCTTATCCGAAGGGACCGTGGGGCTTACCAAGGGACAGAGACGTCCCGAGGACAAGGACGGTGCTGCCAGTGCAGTCCCCACCCAAGCAGAGGCCGGGTGCAGCCATGCCCCCCTCTGGAGCCCAGGCAGGGCTGTGCCCATTGGGGACCAGGGACTGGCTGGCTCAACTCACTGTGTGGTCAGTGGAACCAAAGCCCATCCCCCTGGGCCAGAACGGGAAGGGTCACAGCGGGGCAGCCACTTCCCTCTTGTCCCCCTTCTGTGGGGAACCAGGTGCTTCTAGCGAGTTCTCGAAGGGATCAGCCGTTGTCACTTTGGACTTCAGGACATTTCGTCTCCCCGAGCCCCAGGCCCACGGGCCTCTCTCGCACATGCACGCTCCTGGCCCAGCCCCTCCAATCACTCAGCCTCACTCCCCTTCCTCCTCAGCCCACAGCCCAGGGCGTCTTGGTGTCCGAGAGGCGTCCTGCGGGCAGGGTGGGCTCTGGGGACATTCCACCCTGAGCAGGGGCCAGCAGAGGTGCGTTAGTTACGACGCAGAGCGGACGCGCCCTCTGGGAGGGGTGAGCTCCGGGACCCCTGCGGGGTTCGTTTCCCTGGGGCTGGGGCTGACGGTCGGTCGGGTGGCATCTGCAGAGGCCGGAGAGCAGGTGGCAGAAGGTGGACTACATCCTGGAGTTCAGCAAGTGGCTGTACTACAGACAGTTCCCACTGAACAACGTGGTCTTCCTGCTCCAGTGGGCCATCCACATCCTGCTGCGGATGGGGGCCCCCAGGGAGGCGCCCGAGCCGGCAGGTGGGTTCCTGGGGGTGGGGGGCCTGAGGCCCGTGAGGGCACAGGGCAGCCGGGTCCGGCTCACGCCCGGCTGACCCCGTGCCACAGAGGAGCCCCCGGAGAAGGCCGAGAGCCCGAAGCCGAGCCCGGGCGGCTGGGAGAGGCTGCGCAGTGTGCGGCAGCTGGAGGCGCTGGCCCGGGCCCACACGCTGCTGGCGCTGGTGACCGCGGCCTCCTCGCCTCGCTACGATGACCACTGCCTGCTGGCCTGCGCCTTCTTTCAGCACATCTGGAAGGTGGGAGGGTGCCTCTGCCCGGGATGCTGGGCTGCGCTGGCCAGGGGCCTCGGGGGCAGCTGCAGCCCCTCGTCCTCCTGAGCCCACGGTGGGGGGGGGGATTTACGCCCCCCGCCCCGAGCTACCCCTGCCCGGGCCGCCACCTCTCTGATGTGGCGTGGGCGGTTGCCTGCATCCCTGGTGCTGGTGGGCAGGAGGGCCAGGCAGTGCCCCTCTGCAGATACCTGGCTGCAAGGAGGCCGCGGGGGACCAGGCTGGTGTCTGGGCGTGAGCAGGGGTGGGGGGCACACGCGTGTCGGCAAACCTGGAGAACGTGTCCCCCCCCCCACTAGGTTTCTTTTCAAGCGGTACAACAAGCCATTTCTGAGAATAAAATCAGAGTAGCAGGCAGCACGCACACAGTCGTAGGCAGTACCCACTCGTTGCTGAACAAAAAAGAGAGGGACAAGAAGAAGGAGAGGGAGAGAGGGAAGGAGGAGAAGACCAAGGAGCCGAGCAAGGAGCTGAAGCCGGTGAGCCCGGCCCTCCTGGCGGCCGTGCGGGGCCCAGCCTGGGCGGGCTGTCTGGGCACAAGCAGCGTGGCTGGGGCTGCCCTCAGGGCTGGCCGCGGAGCTGCCGTCTCCAGCTGCACTTTTTAGAGCCAACCCCAGGCCCCTGCTTCTCACTCTCAGCCCGTGACTCCTGCCAAGCATCTGGAAGATCTCCCGGCGAGCATCACCGAGTGGGCGTCCTACTTCTGCCCTGTGGAGATGGTGTCCGTGCTCCAGATGGACAGGAGCGACTTCACGGTCAACGCCGTCAGCATCCCAAAGCCCGTGAGTCCATGTCAGGTCGCCCGAGGCCGCAGCCTCCCTCTGCCTCTCTGAGAAGCGCGTTCACCCCGGGAGGCCAGGCCGTGAGGCTGTTGTGCTTTCCCGCCCGCGGCCGTCCTCCTTCACGACGAGGAGTGGCCGCCTCAGCCAGCCTCACTCCTCTGGCCCTGCTCCGGTACCCAGCACTTGTGTGGGTGCCTAAGGAGATTCTGTCTCGCGAGGGCATGTGGTGCGCGTGGAGGGCGGGGGGTGCAGGCCCTGCAGTCCAGGGAGGGGGCTGCCGCGTGCCGCAGGGCAGACCCTCTCGCTGGGTGTTTCCCAGACGTACACGCTGTACTACGTGGACCAGCTGGTGAAGGCCCTGCAGAAACTGTCTCTGCACCAGCTCACCGTCCCACTCCTGCAGCTCGGGGTGCTGATCGCCGACTCCGTTCTAGAGAACCAGAGCATCAAGGATCTCTACCACCTCCGGTCAGTGGCCCCGGCCTCCCCGGAGTGGGCTGCCTCTCCCCGAAGAACACAAGAATGATCACCATGAGTGCATGAAGTCCTTGGCTGCACCTGGTGCAAATCAAACCCCCAGATTTCTTTGCTTCTTTCTTTCTTTCTTTCTTTCTTTCTTTCTTTCTTTCTTTCTCCCTTTCATCCCTCCCTCCTTCCTTTCTTTCCTTCTTTATTTCTTTCTTTTTCTTTCTTCCTTTCTTCTCTCCTTCCCACTTTTCCTTCTTTCTTTCTTCCTTTCTTCCCTCCTTCTCTCCTTTCTTTCTTTCTTTCTTTCTTCCTTTCTTTCTCTCCCTTCCTTCTTCCTTCCTTCATTTATTTCCTTCCTTTCTCATTTCTTTCTTTCTTCCCTTCTTTCTTTCTTTATTTTTTTCTTTCTTCCTTTCTTCTTTCCTTCCCACTTTTCCTTCTTTCTTCCTTCCTTTCTTCCCTCCTTCTCTCCTTTCTTTCTCTTTCTTTCTTTCTTCCTTCCTTTCTCTCCCTTCTTCCTTCCTTCATTTTCTTTCTTTCTTTCTTTCGTTCTTTCTTTCTTTCGTCCTTTCTTTTTTTTTAATTGAATCCCTGTGAGATACAGTGACAAAGCTTTCATGTTTGTCGTACAATGATCACTCCCCCATCCCTCCACCGGTGCACATCCCCCTCCACCAACGTCCCCAGTATCCCCCTTTCCCACTCTCTCCTGCCTCTATGGCAGACAGTTTCTCTCTCTCTCTCTCTCTCTCTCTCTCTCTCTCTCTCTCTCTCTCTCTCTCTCTCTCTCTCCCCCTCCCTCTCTCTTTTCGGGCATTATAGACCCCAGGTTTCTAAAGGTGCAAACACCAGGTGTGCTTGACCTGATGTAGGGGAGGGCGAGGGAGGGAACCAAGCCTGGCGGTTCAGGCCCCAGAACGGCTAAACGGTCCTGGGGGCATGTGTGTCTCCCTGAGGTGGGTTCAGAAGAGCCCCCTGCAGGGCTGGAGCATGGCCTGGACGCAGTGTCCTTGCCCCAAGTGACCAAGCCCCTAAGTCTCTCTTGAACGAGACATAAGAAACTCAGCCTTTCTGCCCTGACTGTGAGGGCCCAGGCACCTCTCCAGGGCCTGCTCACCGTGGGGTCTGACCTACCGGCCCCAGGCCAGCAGCACTGATTCCTCTCACTGCCCCAGGCTCGCCCTGGTCTGCACAGAGCTGGGCCTGAAGGAGGCCGCGGCCCAGCACGAGGACGTGGTCGGCCAGGTGTACATCACTGAGGCAGAGCAGGCGAGGTGTGTGCATGGGCGGGCACAGGCGTGGGGCGTCCCGGGAGGGGCAGGAAGCCGGGACCAGTGGGGGTCCTGCCTGTCAGGGGTCAGTGGGCCCGCCGAGCACCTGTGGCCCAGAGCCCAGGGGAGGGCTGGGTGTGCCTGGGTGTGCCTGGCCGGGCTGCTACCCTGCACGGGTCTGGAGTGAGGCTCAGGCTGCTGCCGGGGGTGTGGGTGGAGGCGGCCCACATGGTCCTGACGGCTGCCCTGGAATCAGGGTCTGCGGCGTGGGGTCAGCATTTCTCTGCCAGTGAGCTGGGCAGTTCCTGAGCTGCCCAGCCCGTGTCTGACCACCCCAGCTGTAGGAAAGAGATGGCTCTGCTGAAGGAAAAGAACAAGGACGTCCTGCTGGACAGCGAGCCCCAGCCCCAGCGCCCGGACACCGTCCAGCATGAGCTCCCCAAGCCCCTGGTGGCCAAGGACAAGGTGCGGCTGGAGCTGCTTCCTGCAGCCCCGGGCTGGGGCGGAGCTGGGCATGTCCTCCCCTCCTTGTCTCCCTGCAGAGGGCCGTGCCTGCGCGTGGGCAAAACACCCCAGGCGGGAGGGCGGGGGTGGGACAGGAGGAGCCCCAGGTACAGGGTCAACCCAGGACGCTGCATGTCCGGCAGATTCTGAAGATGAAGGAGGAGAACAGGAAAGTCCTGGAAGGCACATCCTTCCCCCACCTGTGGACGCTCAAAGCAGAGGTCCTGCTGGAGATGGAGCTTTACCAGCCCGCGAGGCTGCTCCTCTCTGAGGCCCACCTGGCTTTCCAGGTGAGGAGCCCAGCTCAAACCCCGTCCTGTCTGCAGCCCCCAGGCCCGCCCACAGCCACAGCCGCACCCATAGGCCCTAGCCCCACCCACGGCTCCCTAAGCCCCGCCTATATCTCCCTAAGGCCCGCCCACAAGCCCTAAAGCCCCAACCCACGGCCCCTCAGCCCCACCCACATCTTCCTAAGTCCCGCCCACGCACCCAACCCCACCCACAGATCCCAAAGCCCCGCCCACAGCCCTTAGCCCCACCCACGGCCCCTTTGCCCCACCCACGGCTCCAGTCCCACCCATAGTCCCCTCCAGCCCCTCCCACGGCCCCTCAGCCCCACCCACGGCCCCACCCATAGTCCCCCTCCAGCCCCTCCCACGGCCCCTCAGCCCCACCCACACACCCCTAAGCCCCTCCCACAAACCAGAATCCCCGCCCACAAATCAAAAACCCCACCCACGGTTCCCTAAGCCCCGCCCATGGTCCCAGCCCCGCCCATGGCCCCACCCCCCACCCATAGTCCCCCTCCAGCCCCTCCCACGGTCCCTAGCCCGACCCACACCCCATAAGCCCCGCCCACAAACCAGAATCCCCGCCCACAAATAAAACCCCACCCACGGTTCCCTAAGCCCCGCCCATGGCCCCACTCCCACCCATAGTCCCCCTCCAGCCCCTCCCACAGTCCCTAGCCCCACCCACACCCCCATAAGCCCCGCCCACAAGCCAGAATCCCCGCCCACAAATAAAACCCCACCCACGGTTCCCTAAGCCCCGCCCATGGCCCCACCCCCCACCCATAGTCCCCCTCCAGCCCCTCCCACAGTCCCTAGCCCCACCCACACCCCCATAAGCCCCGTCCACAAGCCAGAATTCCCGCCCACAAATAAAACCCCACCCACGGTTCCCTCAGCCCCGCCCACGGCCCCAGCCCCGCCCACGGCCCCAGCTCTGCACATGGACCTGATGAAAGGCCCCGAGGACGTGGTCTGGCCAGGGCTGCCCTCCCTGTGCTGTGCTCAGGGCCGGCCGGGAGCCTGGCAGAGCTGCCGGTGTGGGAGCCACGTGAGCCCTCCCCGCCAGGCCCCCACGCCTCCCCCCAGCTCGCATGGGCCCTGGGCTGCCCCCTCCCCCCGACCCCCCCCCCCTCCCGCGGCCTGGCGCCCGGCTCCGTGCACAGCCCCCTGCCGGCCCGTGTCCCCCCAGGAGCTGGGGGACCCCTTCGCCCAGTCCCGGTGCCTGTGTCTGCTGGCGCAGCTGGCGAACAAGGAGCGAGATTTCAGGGGCGCCAGGCGGATGGTGGAGGAGGCCCAGCGGCTGGGGGGGTGGCGAGGAGTTCTGGCTCCGCTCCACGCTGACCCTGGCCGAGGCCATCCTGTCCATGGGCCCGAGACGCCAGAACATGGAGGTGAGGCGGGGCCTGGGCGGGGCCCCCGGGCAGGGGTGGCCGAGGGCTGCAGCCTGCACCCCTGCACCCCTGCACCCCGCAGGTCCCCCGGCTGCTACAGAGACTCATCGGCGCCTTCGAGGTGCTCAAGAAGGAGCGGCCCAACCGGGCCCCTGTCCTGGAGCGCATGATGGTAGAGCTAGAGTCCAGGTACGGTCAGGCAGGCCGCGAGGAGCCCCCGCCCCGCCCCAGGGCCCTGCCCCCTTGCCGATGGCCTGTGCTTGGGGTGGGCATCCGGGTCCTGGGTGCGTCGGGGGCCCGGCCGGCTGCAGGGTGCTCAGGGGAGCTCTCTCCATGGCTGCAGCTCAGAGTCCTGGTCTCTGCCGGACCCTGGGGATGCGCCCACCCGTTGGGGCAGGAAGCACATCCTTCAGCCTCCCTCCCCAGCCGGCCTGTCCTGAGCCTCAGCCTCCAGGCAGAGGACGCCGGGCGGCCTGTTCGCGCACCTGGGCCGGCCCGAGGCTCCTTCCTCCCACCCTGTCTGGTCTGCACGCACTGGGCTTGGTCCTGTTGGGCCGTCCCTGTGCCTGGCATCCCCCCCCCCCGTCCTGGCCTGGCTCCCCGGGGCCCCCCTCCCACTGTCCGGCATGGCCTCCTCGGCGGGGCCCCCGGGCGAGACCGTGTGTGCCCATAGGTTTCTGAGCATGCAGGTCCGGAGCGCCCGGGAGCAGCTGGGCCTGGGCCTGCAGCTGCTGTGCCAGCTGGACGCGTCGCTGGTGGACCTGGAGAAGAGGCTGCGCGGAGGCGGCGGAGGCGGCGAGAAGTGCGTGGACGTCATGCTGGAGCGCGTGGAGATCAAGAAGTGGGTGGGATGGGGCTGGAGCAGTAGCACAGGGGGTAGGGCGTTTGCCTTCCACGCAGCCAACATGGCCGACCCTGGTTCGATTCCCAGCATCCCATAAGGTCCCCCAAGCACCGCCAGGGGTGATTCCTGAGTGCCTGAGCCAGGAGTAACCCCTGAGCATTGCTGGGTGTGACCCATAAAGCAAAAAAAAACAAAAAAAAAAACAAGAAGTGGGTGGGCACGGGGTGGGGGGCACGGAGGGCGCAGGGACGGGTCCGGCATGGGGGCAGGGGTCTGTGCAGGGCCGAGGGCGGCTGCAGGGCACGGGGCGGCTCCCGTCCCCTCCCCTGAGCAGTCAGGGCCCCTGGCCTCCATCTCGGAGACCAGCCCCGGGCCTGCCTGTCCTCGCAGCCTGCTCCCCAGGGCCACGGGCATTCCCTCAGGGCATTATCACGGGGCCTGGCACCCTCAGGGCCACTCAGCTGTCCCACGTCACCATGCGTCCCTCCGCACCCACGGCCTCCCCTCTCCTCAGCCGCCGTCTCCTTCACACAGGCACACCGTCACGGGACAGGGCTGGGGGCGGGTGATGCCGGGTGGCCCACGGCCTTTCGTTATATATTTGCTTTTGTTTCAGGGCAATCATATGGGGGTTCCGGGGGGGACCCTGTGGTGCCAGGGATTAAAGCCTGTGCTCCCTGGTCTGTGTGTGTGTGTGTGTGTGTGTGTGTGTGTGTGTGTGTGTTCTGTGAAACACAATAGTTTTCATAGTTTTTATTGAAACTTATTTAGAGAGATGTGAGGGGAGAGAAAGGGAGAAGGGCGCGTTCTTCTCCGCAGTGGGAATCGGGGGGAAAGAGACAGAGGGAAGCTAGAGAGAGCATGTTCCCGGGAGCCCGGCTGAAGAGCGAGCTGTCTGTCTTCAGGCCTGCCTGTGCCCAGGGCAGTGCTGCCCGTCAGCCCGGGTGGCTGTGTGCAAGGCTCCCGCCCTTGGTCTCGGCCCTTTCCTTGAGAGGTTTCTCGTCCCCAGTGGCCGCGTGCAGGGGCGCTCCCGTGGATGGGCCCGTCCTGCTCTGAGCTCCTCCTGCCTCGCTCTCTGCCGCAGGCTGTGCGCCCAGCGGGAGGAGAGCGAGGAGGCGAGAGCCGCGTACTACCTGGAGGCCTTCGGCTTGGCTTCCGAAGCCGTGGCCAGAGGGGAGGCACGCTACCACACCATCCGCTTCCTGCTGGCCCACCACGAGGTGAGCACGTGGTCTCCGCCGCGTTCCCCGGGCCACGGGCTGCAAGGCCTGGCCTTGCACAGACACACGCTCCGTCCGTCCCAGAGGCAGGCTGTGCCGGCCGTGCTCCGTGGCCGCCCCCAGGCTGAGACGCGGCTGGGGCTTCCCTGTGGCCCCAGTGCAGAGTGGGGGCAGCGGGGGCTCGGGGACCAGAGAAGGAGCCCAGCAGAGCCCACCGGCCGACAGCGTGAGAGTGGGAGGGTGCAGATGTGAGACCACCGTGTAGGAAGTTGAGCTGTGTCGCCCGGTGGGGACACAGAGACTCAGTTACATGGCTCTGTGGGCGGTGGGGGTCCGTGTGACATCCGAGACCATGTGACCTAAGAGACACTGTGACCCTCAGCCCCGAGTCAGGGGGCCTGCGTGGAGGGCGGGGGAGGCCGGGAGGGCAGATGAGGGTGCGGAGAAGGGGCAGAGGCGAGCCTGGTTCCCCCCATGGTGGCAGACCCCCTCCACTCTGTGCATGTGAGTAGAGTGGACGGGTGAAAGGCAATGGCTGAGCCCCACGGCTGCCTGGAGCTGGGGACAGTGTCCCGGGGAGGGGCCATGCCCTCTGCCACGGCCCCGCTGGCCCCGAGCACAGAGTCCAGCAGCCGCACGCTCACCGTGACTCCAGCTGGGGGAGCGCAGGGGCGAGTGGGTCTGCGGCATCGACGCAGGTGGCAGCCCGAGCCGTCCTGTCAGGCACTGGGTGTGTGCCATGGCGGGAAATGGCACATGAGTCACGCGGCCTGGGCACTGCTACCACCAGGGCCATGAAGTGGAGCTGCAGAAGCAGGAAAGGGAGGAGAGACGGCCCCATGGCACGGGAGGGAGAACTCCAGCCAGACCCGGAGCACGGAGGAGGTACCTACTGCTGGCCAGTGGACAGCCGGGCTCAGAGGACGGAGCCCGGCCACGGCCGAGTGTGGCAGATGGCACAGAGCCAAGCCACCGTCCTGCCTGCACAGAGCGAGAAAAAGCAAGTGGAAATCAATGACGTACAAAGCAAAGAGGAAAGTCAATGACAGCCAAAGCCACCTCTTGGAGAAGATCGACAGACTGATAAAGTTGCCAGCCGGCCGGTCAGCCAGAAGAATAGCCCGAGCACGCAGTGTCGGACATCAGCGATGTGACCGCCCCGGCGCCGACACAGTCCCTCCACACAGGGCACCATGTGGTTGGCCGGGCCCGTGGGTCGGTGTCAGCTCACGGCAGACTCCGAGAGCAGCGGCCAGTCCGTCGACACACGATCCCGCAGGGCCCCGCTGGGCACTGACAGCTGCGTCCTGTCATTCGTGCAGAAGCTCCCGCAGACAGCCACGGACGAGGGCTGCGACTTTTCTGGGGCCGATATTACCCTGGCAGGGAAAGGAGCCAGGGACGGAACCAGCAGGCCAGTCGCTCCTCAAGAGCACGCGTGTAGATGTTGAACGTTTCGGGAAATGCATAAAAATGATGCATCAGTGCCAGCAGGGCTCCTCTCTCTCCCTTGAGTATACACGGTGACTGCAGGTAGCGGACTCGAGGCGGGGAGTTTTTTCACCCAATGCTTTGAGTCATCCCACTTCCCTGGCTTGTAATGGTCTTTTGGAAGGTCTGTTGTGATGCTTGCATTTGAGGGTTTTCCTCTCTCTGCTTGTTTTAAGCAGTCTGTCTGTCTGTCTGTCTGCCTGCCTGTGTCTGTCTGCCTGTCCCTGTCTGTCTGCCTGTCCCTGTCTGCCTGTCCCTGTCTGTCTGCCTGTGTCTGTCTGTCTGTCCCTGTCTGCCTGTCCCTATCAGCCTGTCCCTGTCTGACCCTGTCTTCCTGTGCCTGTCTGTCTGCCTGTTCCTGTCTGTCTGTCCGTCCCTGTCTGCCTGTTCCTGTCTGTCTGTCTGTCCCTGTCTTCCTGTGCCTGTCTGTCTGCCTGTGTCTGTCTGCCTGTGTCTGTCTGCCTGTGTCTGTCTGCCTGTCCCTGTCTGTCTGCCTGTGTCTGTCTGTCTGTCCCTGTCTGCCTGTCCCTATCAGCCTTCCCTATCAGCCTGTCCCTGTCTGACCCTGTCTTCTTGTGCCTGTCTGTCTGCCTGTGTCTGTCTGCCTGTCCCTGTCTGTCTGTCCATCCCTGTCTGCCTGTTCCTGTCTGTCTGTCTGTCCCTGTCTGCCTGTCCCTATCAGCCTTCCCTATCAGCCTGTCCCTGTCTGACCCTGTCTTCTTGTGCCTGTCTGTCTGCCTGTGTCTGTCTGCCTGTCCCTGTCTGTCTGTCCATCCCTGTCTGCCTGTTCCTGTCTGTCTGTCTGTCCCTGTCTGCCTGTCCCTATCAGCCTGTCCCTGTCAGCCTGTCCCTGTCTTCTTGTGCCTGTCTGTCTGCCTGTGTCTGTCTGCCTGTCCCTGTCTGTCTGTCCATCCCTGTCTGCCTGTTCCTGTCTGTCTGTCTGTCCCTGTCTGCCTGTCCCTATCAGCCTGTCCCTATCAGCCTGTCCCTATCAGCCTGTCCCTGTCTGACCCTGTCTGCCTGTGCCTGTCTGTCTGCCTGTGTCTGTCTGCCTGTCCCTATCTGTCTGTCTGTCCCTGTCTGTCTGTCCCTGTCTGCCTGTCCCTATCAGCCTGTCCCTATCAGCCTGTCCCTGTCTGACCCTGTCTTCCTGTGCCTGTCTGTCTGCCTGTGTCTGTCTGGCCTGTCCCTGTCTGTCTGTCCATCCCTGTCTGCCTGTTCCTGTCTGTCTGTCTGTCCCTGTCTGCCTGTCCCTATCAGCCTGTCCCTATCAGCCTGTCTCTGTCTGACCCTGTCTGCCTGTGCCTGTCTGTCTGCCTGTGTCTCTCTGCCTGTCCCTGTCTGTCTGTCCGACCCTGTCTGCCTGTTCCTGTCTGTCTGTCTGTCCCTGTCTGCCTGTCCCTGGCCGGCTGTCTATCCTTGTCTGTTTTTGTTTTTTACCTTTTTGATTACTGTGTGACTTGGTACTGTTTCAGTTTTCAGTCTACTTTAGTTGGTGTACTTTGGGCCTCGAGTCTGCAGAAGCTTCTCTCCGGAGCCCTGGGAGGTTCTCCGTTTTCTGTGCCACCACTAGTTCTCTCTTTCTCCTTTTTCTCTCCTTCCAGAGCATTCCTCTGGCTGTTATCTATCAGGAATCTTCTATTCTCTCCTGTTTCTTAATCTGTTCTTTTGCCACTTCATTGTTTTGCTATCTAGCGTTTTATCTTCAATATTGATGAAACGGTTTTCTGCATGCTGGATTCTGTTGCTGTGACTTGCTTGTACTCTTAAACTCCTTCAGGTCCACTTGTACGAACTCCTGGATACCTCAGTTCATGGTTTAGCTGGTTGGCGTTTTCTTCCAGGTATTTCTTTATTTTCATTGCCCTTGTATGACGTGTTGATTTGAGGTTCTCCTCAGTGAGGCTTGAGGCTTCTGTCCCTGTCTCCCAGAGAAGGTAAATTCCTTTACGTAAAGGAATTTAAAGGAACTACATATAAAGTTCCCAGCCGGCTGGTCAGCTGAAAGAATAGCCCGAGCATCCGGTGTAGGACACGAGCCATGTGACCACCTCCGGTGCCAACAGTCCCTCTACACATGGTACCAGGTGGTGAGCCGTTGTTCTCGAAGATTTGTGGGTGCTGTGATTTGAGCTTCAGAGTCCCAATTCCCTGAGGTCTGATTATTTTTCAGCAAGCGGTTCCTACTAATAATCGGTGACTCTGACAACTTCTGTGTCCTTAAGATGCTATGTTAGTGGGCGTGCAGGTGAATATTTACTCCTGTCTTCATACAAGGGCTGCTATGGAGACATTCAAGGACAATATCAGAACTTACGAGCCCTGGAGTTAGTGCGGTTGAAGGAGTAGACTTGGTTTCGGGTTTGCGAGCAGTGACAGGGCGGGGACAGAGCCACCGACACTTCAGCTGCTTCTGAGTTTGAGCAGCTCTTTCGTTAGCTCCCGGGGAAGGAACTCTGAAGCCGACCCAGCCCCGGCCGCTCGCTCAGTCACACTGATTCCCAGCTCGCTGGCAGAAGAGGAAATGAGAGCCGTCTGTCTCTGTGGAGGGGAAGATGGAGGTCGCGTGTGCTCGTGAAGAACAAGGTCCTTGTGTGAATAACCCCAGAAACTCAGTAAAGGAACACGCCGACAGACAGACAGACAGACAGACACACACACACACACACACACACACACACACACAAGCACTGGAGGACTAAACAACATTGGCCGACTGACACATGTTGACAGACTGACACTCAGACACATACACACACTGACAGACATACAGACACACCGACAGACTGACATGCACACTCACGTGCATCCCATGCACGCTTACGGGCACACATGTATACACATGTGTATGCATATCCTGGCATACATACATGCGCACATGCACATGTGCGTGCACATACGCACATGGACAAACGTGCACACACATTCACATACATGCACACACACCTGTATGTACACACATAGGCACACACTCAAATGTGCACACACTCCCACATGCACACCCATCACATATGCTAACATGCACACACGTGCTCACACACATGCCCACACATGCACGCATACTCACATGTGCTCACTTGCATGCACACACATGCACAACACTCACATGCACACACGTGCACACACTCACATGCACATGCATGTGCACACGTGCACACACTTGCATGCACACATGTGTTCACATGCACATACACATGCACGCATGTGCACATACATGCACACATGTGTGCACACACACAGAAGATGGACCCTCAGCATAACCCCAGAGGCAGGAGAGACTCAGCAGTGTTGGGGAAGCAAACCTGAAGCCTGAACACGCTCCCCGTGATCACAACCAACGTGTCAGAGCTAGACCTGCACCTGGCAGAGACCAAGGTGGCACCTTGGTGACCTAGGCCCCGAGCAGCCCCAAGCCTGTCTGCGGGGGACGCCGGCGCGCGGGGCTGGGAGGAGGGGCCCGCAAGCCACGTTTCCCACACGACAGCCGACCCCAGGTTGTCGAAAGAGTTCTTGGAATTGAGCAGGAAACAATCCGGGCAGACGTAGGCAGGATGCTTTTCCCAGAGCCCGTGGAGGCCGGGCTGGTGAGGCTGAGTGGGAGGACGGTCACCCGCAGAGGCCCACCGCAGGGGAGCTGGCGACTGCCGTCCCCACGGGCTGAGTCTGCCTCGGGCTGAGCTGCCTCCACGGCGTCTGCCCGCCAGAGAGGAACCCAAGCTGTCGGTAGGGCGGTCGGGCTCTGCAGGGCCACCCTCGGGGCCACCTGGGTCTGCCAGGGTTTGTGCTGGGCCTGCCCACTCGAGCCCGTGCTGGAGATGTGCCCCGCGGGCGGAGGAGGTGCCGCCGTGGGGGAGAGGGCAGCGGGCGACCTCCTCGAGGGCGCTGAGGGCACTGCTGGCCCTGCAGGTGCAGACGCCCAGCAGCCCCGTGGCGTGGAGCCTGGCGCACCTCAAGCTGGGCCTGGTGGAGCTCTCCCTGGAGCTGCTGCAGCTGCTGTGGCAGGAGGCGCGGGCGCGGCAGGCGGAGCAGAGCACCATGGGCAAGGTGCTGGCCGAGTACCTGCTCAGCGTCCGGGAGCTCAGCGCCAGCACTGTGGTGAGGCGGCCGGTGTGGCCGGGAGGCCCTGCCCGGGGACAGTCACTCCTGGTCTGGGGACCCGTCCGGGTCAGGCCGGAGTCGCGGTTCTAGACTATTGGGCGAGTCTTGGCTGCCCAGAACAGCAGCTCCCCTCAGAGGGTCTGAAGCCCCAGAGCTGCCTTAGGGGACAGTTGGGGGTGGAGCCGAGATTGGCTGGACACTGACCACCCTAACCCTGTCCAGCACCCAGGAAAGGGGCAGGCAGGGCCCTGAGCTCACAGGGGCAGCGAGCCCAGGCCGAGCTGCCGGCCTGCCTCAGCCCAACTTCTGTGCCCACAGAGGTGGCTGGCGCTGGGGCGGACCCTGGCGCACTCGATGCTGGCCCAGCTGGGCAGCCTGCAGCCCCTGGTGGCCCACTGCCCTCCACTCCGTGCCCGCTACCTGGGCCTGGCCGGGAAGGCCCTGCGCCTGCTGGCCGAACAGGCTGCCCCGCTGCACCCCGCCTTCCGCTGGGGGGACGGACCCTCGGTAGGTGCCAGAGGCTGGGGGCATCAGGGCTGCGGGGAGGTGGGCTCCCCCCGCAGAGCCGGGGACACCGGAGGCAGGTGGGTGGCAGGGGCCTCGGTGCCGGGAGGCCTCGACACAGTGGCCTGGGCCGTGCTGGCCCCTGGCCCTGCTGCTCCCCGGCCCACCATGGCCCCCGTGTCCATGCCCCGTCTCATTAAGCCCCTGGCTCTACTCGCCCACTCGGGATCTTCCCTGAAGCTCCAGGCGGGATTCGTGCAGGAGGCAGGGGACCCTGCGGGGAAGGGAGGGAGCAGAGACCCTCCGAGGTGCCTCTGAGCTGCCCCCTCAGTGGCTGAGACGTGGCTCCTCCAGGCCGCAGAGCCAAGCATCCTGCAGGGCCTCCGTCGGGACTGGGAAGCCGAGGAAAACAAGTCCTCCAGGGCCACCCTGACCAGCCCCAGGGAGGCGCCCTCCGAGCTGTTCACCCAGAAGAGCTGGGAACTGAAGGTGGGCCCCGCACCCTGTACCCCTGCGCTCCTCCAAGCCCTGGGGGCACCACACCCCTGCATCCCTGTACCCCTGAACCCCTCCACACCCAAGGAGGTCCTATATTCCTGCACCCCTGTGCCCCTCCATGCCCCAGGGGTCCCGTATCTCTGCATCCCTGCACCCCTCCACACCCTGGGGGCCCCGCACCCCTGCATCCCTGCACCCCTCCACGCCCTGGGGGCCCCGCATCCCAGTTCCCCTCCTGCCCCGTGGTGCCGCACCCCGGCCTGAGGCTGACCGGTGCCCGCAGAGGAGGCTGCTCCAGGCCCAGCGGTACCTGGCGCAGGCGTCCGAGGTGCTGCTGCAGGGCCTGCATGTGGCCCTGGGGCAGCGCCTGCTGGACGTGGCGGCAGCCGCCAGCCTGCAGATGGTGGAGTGTGTGGGCACCCTGGACCCCTTTGCCGCCTGCCAGTTCCTGGCTTTGTCTCAGGTAGGGCCCCAGGCTGCCCCGGGCCCTGGGTCTGGGCGTGGGCAGCAGGGACGCGGATCACCTGGCATGGACGCCTCCTCCTCCCAGAGTTGCTCGGCCTCTGGCTCCATGCGGGAGGTGCTGCTCGCGGCCACGGCCAACACGGGCAGCTCACAGCTGGCTGCGCTGCTGCACCTGGAGCAGAGGCTGCGGCAGCTGGGCCGGACGAACACCAGGCTCTTCGCCAGCGTGGAGCGGCGGCTGGACACCACCTTCAAGGCGAGCAGCCCCACTGCCCTGCCTTGGGCCAGACCTCAGGGCGGCGGCCCCAGCACGGCTCTGAGGCCGGACCTGCCCCCGCGGCCCCGAGTGGCCACTGAACGGCCCCTGCACGGTCCCCTGCGTGCCACCTGCACGGTCACTCACGCAAGTCGATACACTGTTCCCTAAACCCCGGCTTCTTTCCTTGGTTCACGGGGCACTTTCCTCTCTCGGGGGCTGTCCTGGGAGGGGGGACATGGAGCAGTGTCTGCCTGGATGCCCCATGCAGCACGAGTTGCCCAACGGAGCGAAGCCCCTGCCACAGGCAGCGAGGGGTCCCGAGAGACCCTCCCACCACACGGGCACTGTATGGCTGACGAGGGCGACAGGTGTGGGAGGTCAGGAAGCAAGTGTGAAGGTGTAGAAAGGAGACCCCGGGACATGGGGGCGTCCAGGAGATACCAGGGGACTCGGGAGCACCCAGGAGTCGATGTGCACAAGAGACACAGGGAAAGAACAACAGACGCGGGCCCTCGGGTAACACCTTATGTGAGGCCTGGAGTAGGCCTATGGGTGCCCCATGCTGCACCTGCAGCCCGTGCCCCCGTGCTCCTATGCAGATGGTGGGACCCCTGTGGTGTCAGAGGGCCCAGAGCCTGTGCGGGTGGGCTGCCAGCTGCCCTGGGTCACAGAAGAACGTGGCTCAGTGTGCCATGGACTGTGACTGTGCAGGCTGGGTGCTGGGTGCTGGGTACCGGGTCAGGGCAGGCCCCGCTGCCCTCAGGGGTGCTGAGGAGGCAGTGTTAGCTGCGGGGGCTGGGCCGGGGGGGAGAGTGTGCGGCGTCCTGCACGCCTCACTGCCACGGGGTGAGACTGCTGTGCTTGCAGGCGTGGCAGAGCCTGGGCGTCACGGAGCAGCACTTCAGCCTCCTGGGTGACCTGGCGCCCGCCTACCGCCTCCTGCTCCTGCACCACGGGCCGGACAGGTGAGGTCTGGGCGAACAGTGGCCACGAGCAGGCGGGTCCCCAGATGCCCTTGGCCCATCCTCACAGTGGGCTCTGGGCTTCTGGGGCCGTGGCTGTGCTCTGACCCCGTGTCCGTGACAGAGCCCATCTGTACGGGGCAGCCTACGAGCGGGCCCAGGTCACCCCCACGGCCCGAGGGAAGCAGACGCACACAGGGGGTGAGTGACACTGTGTCTGTGTAGGGGACACCGCACCTGCCCCAGGAACCAGCAGGGAGGCGAGTCCCAGGGAGGGGGACAGTCCCTGTATCAGTCTGGGGGGACGGTCCCAGTGTCTGGGGGACAGTCCCACATCTTTCCTGAGGCACTTGCACTTGGCTTATGGAAAGGGCCCTCCCAGCCCTGCAGCCCAGGGAAGCTCCATCCTGTGTCAGGCCCCCCTTGGTATCCACAGCCCCTGGGCCTTGGCCTTCCTCAGGAAGGGGAGGGCGTGTTCTGGGGGCTTCAGGCTGCCTGTTCAGCCCACGACCCCCGTGCAGGGAGGAAGGGCCGGGCAGTGGGCACCTCCTGGGGTGCCCTCCGAGGCGCCACCCAGCTGGCCTGGTCTGGTTCCTAGGTGCCTGCAGGGTGGCCCGGGCGGCCGTGAGCCCAGAAGCCTTCTCTGCCCTGCTGGCTGGCGTCCACCAGTTTCAGGAGCAGACCCAGGTAGCCGGTCAGGGCCCAGGGCAGCCGGGTGCGGAGGGCAGGTGGTGAGTGCGAGTGAGCCCTTGCTCCTGCCCCACAGGTGAAGAGAGACGGCGGCCTGCAGCTTGCTGACCTGCTGCGGCCCCTGGAGCAGTACCTGGCGCCCCTGAGTCCACTGCTGGCCTGGGCGCTGGACAACAGGTCGGGGCCTGGCTGGGCAGGGCAGGGTGTGGGCGGCCCGGGACTCGGGGTGGCACTGGGTGCTGCTGGGGGCAGCAGGACTCTGCCCGGCTCAGTGCTCCTCGCTGTGAACCACTCAGAAGGGGCGCGGGGGCCGGGCCCCCCCAGCTGGTCCCGGGGCCCACCGAGCTGGCCCGGCCACACAGCTCCAGCCTCGGGGCTCTGGTGTTGGGGAAGCAGCAGCGGCGGGGCCTTGGCACCCAGATGTGACCCCCGAGGTGTCCTGGGCACATGCCAGCCACGTTCCAGAGCTTTCTTCCAGCCCTGAGCGTTTCTGAGACCGCGGGTGCCTTGGCTCCAGGACTCAGAACCCCCAGGCGGTGCCGGACGTGGGGAAGGCCAAGGGCAGGGACAAGGACCGGCGGCCATCCACCGTCCAGGGTGAGCCGGGCCTCCCGGGGCGCCTGCAGGGTGAGCCGGGCCCCGCCCTGAGCGCTGCTTCCCGCAGTCCAGCCCGAGCCTGCGGACAGCATCGTCGTCATCGCGGACCAGCCGCTGCTCGAGCTGCCCCTGGAGGGGCTCACGGTGCTCGCCGAGGCGCCCGCCACGTCCCTGTCCCGGGACTTCTCCCTGCAGATGCTGAGCGAGCGGCTGCGCAAAGCCGAGACCGGTGCGCTCCAAGGACCCCCACGCCTCGCTCCCGCACCACGAGGCCCCGCCCCCTCCCGGGACCCACCCCTTCGCCCATGGCCCCGCCCTCCCGGCCCCGCCCCATCCCGGGCCCCGCCCCCACAAGCCACGCCCCATCCCAGGCCACGCCCTCACAAGCCGCGCCCCATCCCGGGCCACGCCCTCACAAGCCACGCCCCATCCCGGGCCACGCCCCTCACCTCAAGGCCGCGCCCCTCCCACGCCCCATCCCTCTTGGGCCCCATTCTCCCAGGCCCCGCCCCCTTCCTGGACTCGTCCCCCCCAGGGCCCCGCCCCTCCTCCCCACCCCTCCTCCTCCCTGACCCTCCTCCTCCTACCCGCCACCTCCTCTCAGGACGCCCCTCCCCCTCCTCGCTCCCCCCTCCTCCCCAATCCCTCCTCCTCCCAGGGCCTCCCCCCTCCCCTGGAACCCCTCAGGTCAGCCCCGCCAGGAACCCTACACTTCACCTGGGGCCCTCATGCTCCCTCCCTTCTGGGATCACGTGCTGGACCATGTTTGTGGGCCGTGCATGGGAGCATGTGTGGGTCCGTGTGGGCCCGAGTGTGGGTCCGTGTTTGTTCGTGTGTGTGTGTGTGTGACTGCATGAGACTTTGTGGGCAGGGTGTGGAGAGAGTGAGTCTGCGGCTTTCCTGGTGTCTCCTGCTCACGATGTCTGAGAAACGGCTCTGGGCGTCCCCCACGGGGTCACTGGGGCTGGGGGGGCAGGCACCCCACTCTCACGTGCCGCCTCGAAGCCCCCGAGGTGACGCCACGGTCTGTGCCCCCCAGACGGCAGCTTGAGGCTGGAGAGCAAAGCCCTGAGGAAGTCGGTGCCGTCCAAGAAGGGCAAGAAGGTAGGGCCAGCCCGGTGCTGCTCCTGGGGCGTGGCCGGGCCCACTCCAGCGCTGACCGGGTGCCCGTGTGTCCCGCAGGCGGCCATCCGCACTCTGCCCCCTGACTGTGCCATCGTGGACACCGACGGCATCAAGTGTATCCTTTAAGGCCCCGTGGGGCACCCCCCGCCCCCGTGCCCGTCGCTCCTTAACCCTGGGCCAGACATTGTGGACCCCAGCGAGGAGGACCAGGACTCGGGTGAGACCCAGAGCCCCAGGACCTGCCCGGGGCTCCTGCCCTCCCCCGTGGACCCTCAACTCGACCCCCACTGCCCGCCCGGGGACCCTCACGCCACATAGCTCCTTCCCACACCCTCACCCCATTCACCCCTCCCCAGCACCCCTCACCCACACACCCCTCATCTCACACCCTCACCCCACACCTCACCCTCCCCCAACACCCTCTCGCCCCCACCTCCTCTCCACTCTCTCTTCAGAGCCGCTGAGCCCCGTGTGTGTGGCCCAGGAGATCTTGGACAGGTTCCAGGAGTCCCTCACCACTCACTGGACAGGTCACCTGGGCAGAGCATCTTTCCCGAGGTGGGTCTGGCCGGGGTCTGTGTTGGGGACACGCAGCGGGTCTCTGCCGAGCCCCCCGTCCCAAGATGGCGCAGGCGGTCCCCGGCGCTCCGGGTCCTGCGCCTGCCCGCCCCGCCCCCGTCCCACCCTGGGCGCCCGCTGGCCGTGAGCCGCCCGAGCCCCCTCTCGCCCGCCCTCGCAGCCAGGCCGACTGGGAGCGCGCACTGGGCGGCTGCAGCGGCTTCTTCTTCTACGGGATGGACCCCTTCCTGTCCCACCTGCGGGCCGAGAGGCTGGTGGCCATGAACCTGGAAGGTGCCGTGCCCACGCAGGCAGGCGGGCGGGCGGGACGGGTGCTCCCCGGGGCTGGGGCCGGCACGCGTGACTGCGTCCCCCCGCAGACTGCCGGCTGATGGTCCTGCTGGACCTGACCAGCTCCCAGAGGACCACACGCAGATGCAGGCAGCTGGCAGAGAGTGGCAGGTGCCCATCCCCGCAGCCTGGCGCGCCCCGGGGCCGGGGCGGGGGCGGGGGGGGGCTGTCGCCCATGTGGGCGCTGCAGCGGAGGTGCCCCCTGCAGCCTGTCCTCGCAGCGGGCCCTGGAGAAGCCCGTGGAGACGGCCGTCCTGCTCAGCCTGGCCGGGGTGCGCAGCGTGCTAAGCAACCAGTGGCCCACGGAGCTGGCGGCCAACGTGCTACGGGCCGGGATGCTCTGGGAGAGTGAGCGCCCCCCACCCCTCACCCCTCCAGGCCCCAGCCCCCCTCTCCCCGCCTCATTCCTCTTCACCGCTCCCCTCCACGCCCTCCTCTCCTCCCTTCGCCTCCACGCCACTACCTCCACGCCTCACCCCTCCCTCTCTCCAACCTCAACCCCACCTCTCCCCTCTTCTTCTGTCCTCCGCCCTCCCCTCCTCACCCCTCCTCTCCCCTTCCCTCTGTCCCTCCCCTTCTTCCCTTTCCTCACTTCTCCCCTCCGCTCCCTCTCTCCCTCCTCCCTCTCACCTCTTCCCTCCACTCCTCACCCCTCCCCTCTTCTTCCCTCCCTTCTCCCCCGCTGTCCCCTCCACACCTCTTCCCTTCCCCCACCCCTTCCCTCTTCTCTCCCTCCACACTGCACCCTCCCCCGCATCCCCCTCACCCCTCTCTCCCACTCCTCACCCCTCCCGTAGTCTCCACACGTCTCTCCCCTTCTCTCCGCAGCTCCTCACCTCGCTCCTCCTCACCCCTCCCCTCCACCCCACTCCCCATACTTCCCAGCCTTCCCTCTGGACCACTCCTCTCCCTCCCACTTCTCTCCTCTTCACGTCTCACCTCACCCCTTCCCGCCCTTCCCCACCTCCCTTCCTCCTCTGTGCCCTCCCTCCCCATCTCTCCTCTCCCCTCCCCTCCTTCCTCCTTCCCCTCCCTTCTCCATCCATCCTCCCTCCCTCCCTGCCCCTCCCTCTCCTTCCCCTTCCCCTGCCACGGGGATGCGCCCACTCTCCACCCTCCTCCCTCTCCCCCAGACCTGCTGCAGTCTGCCAGGCCCATTGGGCGGGCTCTGAGGGCCCTTCAGAAGATGGGAGCTGATGACCTGATGAAGCCAGGTACCTGGGCTTGGCCGACCCCATTACGGTCCGGGATGGGGGTGGGGTGCTTGTCCTCCCGGGGTCCCAGCCACGAGGTCGGGGTCACAGACAGAGCACTGTGACAGCGAGCAAGTGCTCCGGAACGTGTGTGTGTGCGTGTGTGCAGGTGTGTGGCAGTGTGGAGGTGTGAGCGTGTGTGAGCATGGGCGTGGGTGTGGGTGTATGACAGTGCATGCGTGAGTGTGCGTGTGTAGGCCGCTGCTCTGTACATGTGGCCCAGGGCCGCCTCCCGTGCCGTCCACAGAGGAGTTGCCACCTGTGCTGAGAGCAAGGCTGTCCCTAGTCCAGGAGCAGCTCCCGGGCGCCGACTGGCCGGCCGTCACCCTCAACTCGGTGCTGTACGGGCTGCCGCGCCAGGTCATCGGCTGAAGCGGAGCTGCGCCACCTCCAGCGGCAGGGGACAGAAGGCCGGGTCTCGTGGGCAGGGCGGGCTGGTGAGGGACGTGGCGTGGCGGGGGCCCTGCTGCCTGGAAGCAGCCTGCCTGCCGGAGGTGGGGGCCCCGTTCCCTGGCTCTCGGGTTTCTCAGTAAACAGCTGGGCGGCCTCTGGCTTCTGGGGTCTGAGAAGTGGCCGTCACTGCCCCCCACCCGGGTGCCTGTGACTGCCCGTGTGGGGGTGTTTGTGTGTGTGTTGGAGGTGTATGTATCTGTGTGTGAGGGTGTCTGCATGCATGTGTGTACTCGTGTGCATGGGGGTGTCTGCGTGTGCGTGTGTATACTCGTGTGTGGGGGGATGCCTGTATGCCTGTGTGCATGTATGTACTTGTGTATGCCTGTGGGGGATGCCTGCATGTGTGTGTACTTGTGTGCAAGGGGGGGTGTCTATGCGTGTGTGTACTTGTGTGCATGGGGATGTTTGCATGCGTGTGTGTACTCATGTGCGTGTGTAGGGTGTCTGCATGTGTGTGTACTCGTGTGTGTGGGATGTCTGCAAGCGTGTCTGTATTTGTGTACATGCATAGGGTGTCTGCGTGTGTGTGTACTTGTGTGCATGGGGATGTCTGTGTGTGTGTACTCGTGTGTGTGAGGGATATCTGCAAGCATGTGTGTACTTGTGTGCGTGTGTAGAGTGTCTGCATGTGTGTGTGTATTCGTGTGTGTGGGAGGGGTCTGTGCATGTGTGTGGGTCGGTGGTGAGGAGTCCCGGAACTGTCGCTCTGGAAAATGGGGACCGTCCATTCTGGTGAGACTGCAGGGGCGGAAGCCAGCGTCCCCCTCACCCAGGGATGGGCTCTCCCCAACCCTCGCTGGAGGAAAGGACTCCTCCCTACACACATGTGCATGCGTGGTGGCCCGTGGCCACTTTATTTAGTACCCATCAGCGGCGACAGAGGCGTGATTCCCACGGGAGTCTGGCGTGGATGGAGGCCCGTGTTACAGGACTGGGGGAGTGTACGTGGAGGCTTGGTGGCTGACTCGATGGGCAGCAGCAGACACCGTGGGATGACATTCCACAGGGTGCCATGCATGAACATGAATGCGACATGCAGTCATATGTACAGCCATGGGATCAAGCCTGCAGCTATGGACACACATGGAGACATACAAATACGCACACACGTGTTGCCAGTTGGCGCCTGAACATCTCCCTGCGAGCACACACGTGCCACATAACCCCCCATGTGCACACGCATTCACACATCCAAAATACACAAGCGCAACACGCATTACCACACTCCCGTGCACACCTGCTCACACATGTTCGCTCACCCACGCATCTGACATACACATACAACATTCACACGACCACACATGTGCACAGGAATGCTCACACGCGTTCCTACACACACATCTGATATACACATACGTGTCCACCTTCCCATGTACATCTGATATACTTGACAGATCCCCCAGGTACACAGACACAAACAAGTGCCACGCCACGCCTGTACACACGGCTTCACCTGCGTCCTCGACCCCACATACACATACATGCATACCTGCACACGACACACAGATGCACACGGTGCCTGTGTCCAGCTCCCTCCTGACACACTGCCACACATACCTGCACACACCCACCTGTGCACTCACTGCCACAGGCACGCACTAGCAGTTGTGTAGCCTTCTCCGTGGACACACGTGCACACGCGCACACACAACAACACGTGTGTGCACGCGCACACTGCCATGCACCCAGGCACACGTGGCAGGCAGGCACGCACACACGCACCCTCCTTGCACACTTGCCGGTGGCTGTTGCCTGTCCCTGGCAGCTCTCTGGCGTCACGGAGGGAAGCACGGAGCCGCACACACTGCAGGACTTCCCATGAAGCTGCAGTTAATTCAAGATCAAAGTTTTTCCAGTTTCAGCTAGAAACCTTGCCCCCCTCCGATGACACTGATATTGTTTGGTTTTTCATCTCTTCAAATACATACACACACTTGTTCCAGTTTTTTAAAAAGCTAACTAATGATCAGGAAATCAATTCAAATCCGAGCGGCCCTGGAGAGATGAGCTTTCTTCTAGAAAGGTGCTGGCACCCACCCAAACAACAAGAATAAAAGCTTCTGGAGATATTTCATCGAAGCAGCACCACATTTTTTACCTTCCCGTGTGTCCACGCAGGCGAGGAATATTTAACAGAGAGTGTGATTCCATGCATCAAAGGCCTTACAATAACTTTCTGAATTATGTCCCAGCAACATAACAAATCACATTATCAATTAGCTTCTATAACAGAAGTGGCAATCTGTAATATATTCAAGCATGAAAAAATTGCCTAGGTGAAATTTATGTAACCCTAAAAACTATAAGGAGAGAAAAGATGGCTCGGAATTTATTGGTGATAAGAGGGGCCGGGATGTAATTCGCTCGGAGCGGCCCGAGCAGGGCAGGCTCTGGACGGGTTCCAGAAAGGACGCGGGTCGGGGTCGGAGGGCGCCCGTCTCCGGGCCCAGCCTCCCACTTCCCCGAGGCCACGTGACTGGCCGTGTGGGCAGGGGCAGGACGGCTGGGCTGCTGACTGTGGCCTCTGGAGCGCCATGCCCTTGAGCCCGTCGCCACTGAGACCAGCTTTGGGCCCCGGCCTAGGAGCAGAGGCACCTGGGAACGGGAAGAGCCCCCTCCCCGCCCCGCCCCGCCCCCTGCTGCTGCCGTGGATGCACCTGCCGTGGGCACCGTTGCCCTGGGACTGTCCCACGCGGCATGCAGGTGGCTCTGGGCAGGACTGTGTCCAGTGCGGGCCGCAGGACCAGGGGCAGGACACGCTGGGCCCTCGGGATCTGGAGGCAGCGTCAGTCCCAGATTCCGTTTCTCAGCTCAGGGCTTGAAAAAAATTTGCAGGACTCACAGGTGGGCCTGGGGCGGGGGGCTCTCAGGTGGGCAGGCGGCCGCAACCCACAGGCAGACAGGACAGAGGTGTCCGGGCTGACTTTGATGAGGTGCTTAATGAAACGCTTGTGTGTGATGTCCTCTGAGGCCCTACTCGACACTGATCCCTAATAGTTTGATTTCTGAATTAAATAATTAAAACTCTATTTTCAATTGCTGTGAACAATTGTTTTCCTTAATGATCTTCCTGCAGGAGCCAGTAATTTTCTACCTTGTAAAAGTGATTCACGGGCATCATTACACCATAGTTCTGGCGTCTGCTGCCAGCCGCGCCATTTGTATTCAATTAACGCTCCGGCCACAGCGGAAGGCTCGTGCAGCCGTCCCCATTTTATGATGATGATGATGAAGATAGAAACAACCCATTTAATTATCCCATTTCCCACCGAGAAATCAATTTTCACAGGTCTTCGCCCAGAGCAGGGGGCTGAGCGGACAGGCTTCTGGGAAGGGCGTGTGGGTCCAGCACTTCAGCACGCCCTCTGCGGGGCTGGCCTCGTCCCCCCGACCCCCACTGCCCGGGGCCAGGACATGGTGGACGCAGGGGCCCAGCTGGCTCCTCACCCAGCGCCCCCAGCCAGCCAGTCTGATCTAACTGATGCTTCCATCGTGGCCTCGACCAAGACCACCTGGTGTGACTGCGCGCCCCTCCTCATTCCGGTGAGCGACTCTCAGGGAGCAGCTCACCTTCCCCTTCTCTGGGCACTGTTACCAGGAACATCTGGATCGAGGCTGTGCAGACGGTAGGGCTGGCGCCGTGGCGGGCGGGCGACACACGCCCGCAGTCCTGCCCCCTGGGTGAGAAAGTGGAGAAGGGGCCCCGAAAGGCTGCTCAGGGGCAGCCTGTTCAGGGCTTCACACCCTCCTCACTCCGCAGGCGGCCCCTGCCCCGGGACCCACCGCCCAAGTGTGTGCCCTGGTCTCCTGACTCCTCTCTCCGCCAGCCCCCTCAGCGGTCAGCAGTGGCTGGGAGACGGGCCTGGGGGCTCGACCTGTCTGTCAGGACCCCGGCCCTCTGGCTGGGTGCCCACCCCCGGGCAGAGTCTGCAGCTGCATGGATGGGGCCACCACGAGGGGCACTGGCCGACCGCCCTCCTGGGCTGTGTCCCCGCTCGTTTGTTCCAGCACCCCCTCCCTCTGCACCCACCTGTCCGGGTGCCCCCAGGGAAGTGCAGGGCAGTTGCACCCCCCCTCCCGTGCCTGTGCTCCAGGGAGAAAGTGCTGGAATTGCCTGACCACGGGAGATGGTGCGGGAGGAGCTGGCACTGAGCACGCGAGGGGGTTCCACACAGAGGAAGCAGTCTGAGCCCCCCTGCCTACCCTTCCACTCACACAGCCACACCCATACATGCATGCTCACACACACAGGTGGACCTGAGGGGTCCTGTGGTCTGAAGCCTGCAGGGGCAGTGTGGGCTGAGCTGACCCAGAGGCCCCCAGCCACAGCCCCTGAGCTACCCTGTCACAAGAGTGACCCTGCTGTGTACACACCATGTTGCAGGGACATGTCCACCCTTCTCTGGGGAGCCCCAGGCTCCAGCACCCTGGGCCCCACCACGTGGCCCCAGGCAGGGAATCGGTGTGGACCTGCTCACACGGGGGCTTGGGCTAGTCCCGCCTGTGCACTGCTGGGAGAGCCTGTGGCCAAGGGGGGGAGGGTGGAAGTCGGTGGAAGCTCACCCGGACGGCACAGGCCCCTGGTCTGAAACCATGGACCCCCCAGCGCTTGCTGGTCTGAGACCATGGACCCCCCCCCCCCCCCTCCAGCGCTTGCCACAGGGCGGACACCGGTTTGCGGAGAAGAATGGCACAGAACGCGCACGAGGTTACTGGGCAGGTGGGATCAGCTCCTCCAGGCTCTTGGGGGCTCATTCAGAAATTCTCTGGCACTCGGACGGGACCTCAGGGTGCCAGAACAGGAGAGACGCTGCCCGGCGACCTCGGGGTGCGCACAGGGTTGCTGGGGGCAGGCAGGGACGCAGAGGCCACAAGGAGTGCCCAGGGAGCCGGGGTGAGCCACTGGGGACGCGTGACTGCTGGGAGCACCGAGCGCGCATCACAGCTGGAAAACCCAGGCGGGGTTTCCCCTGCCCCGCGTCAGGTGCGTCCCCTTCTGCCTTTCACCTGCCCCAGACAAAGCCCCGCCCGGTACCCACAGGGAAGGGCGCAGCCTGCCATGCGACCGCATGGCCGGCAGGGGGCGCTCAGGGGGCGGGGCGGCGGCAGCGGAGACCAAGGTGTGTGAGGGGGAGCGGCGGGGGCGGGGCTAGGCCTGCTCCGGAGCCGCTAGGAGGACCCGCGCGGACGGTCCCGGTGGTACCGGGTTTGCCGTGGCTGCCCAGTGAGCCAAGACCTAGAGAGCGTGGCCAGGCCCCGTGGGCCCCGCCACAGTCTTCGCTAGGTCTCCGCTGGCCCCAGAGAGACTCAGCAAGTCCGCAGGGGCCAATTCCCCAGCCGGCGTCTCAGCATCCAGGGCGCACCCCACCATCCGGGGCGCACCCCAGCATCCAGGGCGGGGCGCATCACGGCATCCAGGGTGCACTCCACCATCCAGGCGCACTCCAACATCCAGGGGGCAACCCACCATCCAGGGCACAGGTGGACCCCACCATCCAGGGCACACCCCGGCATCCAGGGCGCACCCCGGCATCCATCGCAGCTTGCTCCGCCTGAAGCCTCACCCGGGCCACGGAGCCAAAGTTCTGAACCCGGTCAATCAGGGTGGCAGTCGGAGTGGACACCGGGAGAAGCCGGAAGCTGCGTGGGGAGGCGTGCCTTGTCCCTCCACCTGCATCCTGGGGGCCAGGCAGTGGACACGGGAGCCCTGGCGGCTGGTGGTGGCCGGACTGGGTGTTCCAAGAGGCTTAGCCGAGGCCGCCCTTCCCCGCGCTGCGGTGCGCGGGCGACACCACGGGCGACCTCGCAGTTCTGGGCTCACCAGGCGCGGGCAGGTCTCGTTCCTCAACTGCGGGGGCCCCAGCTGCGGCCGGGAGCGGCGCCTTCCTTCTCCCCAGCACAGGGTGGGCCGGGGAGAGGAGTCTCCGTTGCGCACCAGACGGAGGGGCCGCGAGGGCCCCGGGCAGCGGCTCCTTGGAGGCAGCGACGCGGGAGCGCAGCAGCGGGGCGGGCGCGGCGGGGTTCGGCCCGGGCCGGAGGGCGGCCCCGCGGGCCGTGCGCCGGACGCCAGCGCCAGGACAGCGCGCCGCGAGCGCATTTTCGACCCGCGACCCGCGACCCGCGACCCGCGACCCGCGCGGGCGTCCGGGCGATACAAAACGAAAACGCCCGCCGTCCAGGTCCTGCCGCGCGCGGACGCTGAAGCTCTGCTGGGCGCGCGAGTCGCTCCAGCCCCAAGCCCCAGAAAAGCGACCGTCCAGGAGGCCGGTCGGCCCCGCCCGCGTGGGGTCTCGCTCGGGCGCGCAGCCCCACAGCGGCGCTGTCACCCGCGCTTAATGAATGGGGCGCCGCCCAGCCCGACGCGGCGCCGGCTCCCTCCCCGCCGGCCCCGGCCCCGGCCCTCTGCAGGTCGCCGCGCCCCGCCGTGCGCCCGGACCACAGCGGGGACGTGGCTCCGACGCTCCCTGGGCTTCGGCCCCGGCTCGGGCCGCGCGTCTCCAGTCCCAGCCGGGGAGGTCCCGGGTCCGGAGCAGCGCTCCGGGCTCGCGTTGTCACCGGGCGCCGGGCTGGAAGGCGCGGACGTCCTCGCGGGGACCGGCCGCGGCAGGGGTGGCCGTGCGACACCGGCCCCCTCCCCGGCCCTCCCCGCCCCGCTCGAGCCGAGCGCGGGCGGCCGAGCCCCAGGCCCGACGGCGCGCGGCGCTGCGCCCGCCCCGCGGGTCCCCAAATCTGCATGCTCGCGGGCAGCCCGGTGGGCGCGCGAGTTTCCCGACTCCCCATTAAAACCTTTGCCTAACTAAACTCCCATCCGCCGGGATTTATTTCGTCCCCGGGAGATAAATCAGGGGGCAAATTTACAACCGGGGGCACCTGCGGCGCTAATGGGCGCATCATGGAGTGCGGCCGGCGGGGGCGCGCGGCCGGCCGGGCGCTGGCCAATGGCCGGGCCGCGGGCGCCCGCAGCCAATCAGCGCGCGCGCCGCTCAGGGGCCCCGCGGTTATCAGCGCGCCCGGCCCGCGCCGCGCCGCTCCGACCGGCCCCGGAGCCGCCGCCGCCGCCCCGCGCCCGCGCCCCGGCCGCGCCCCGGCCGCGCCCGCGCCCCGCGCCCCGCGCCCCGCGCCCGCCCTCGGGGCCGTCGGCGCCGCGCCCCGCGCCCGCCCGGGCTGCGCGCGAACTTCCCGGGCCGGCGGGCGCGGCGGCGGCGGGGCCCGGATGGGCGCCCGGGCCGGCGGCGGCGGCGCCCATGGACGCTAACCGGCCGGGCGCGTTCGTGCTGGGCAGCGCGCCGCTGGCCGCGCTGCACAACATGGCCGAGATGAAGGCGTCGTTGTTCCCCTACGCGCTGCAGGGCCCCGCCGGCTTCAAGGCGCCCGCGCTGGGCGGCCTGGGCGCGCAGCTGCCGCTGGGCACCCCGCACGGCATCAGCGACATCCTGGGGCGGCCGGTGGGCGCGGCGGGCGGCGGCCTCCTGGGCGGGCTCCCGCGCCTCAACGGGCTCGCCTCGTCGGCCGGCGTCTACTTCGGGCCCGCGGCCGCCGTGGCGCGCGGCTACCCCAAGCCGCTGGCCGAGCTGCCCGGGCGCCCGCCCATCTTCTGGCCCGGCGTGGTGCAGGGCTCGCCCTGGAGGGACCCGCGCCTGGCCGGCCCGGGTAAGTGGCCCGCGGGGGGCGTGCGGTGCGCGGGGCGGGCGCGGCCCGCGGGGCCCGCGCGCTCACCGCCCTGCTTGCAGCCCCGGCCGGCGGCGCGCTGGACAAGGACGGCAAGAAGAAGCACTCGCGGCCGACCTTCTCGGGCCAGCAGATCTTCGCGCTGGAGAAGACCTTCGAGCAGACCAAGTACCTGGCGGGCCCCGAGCGCGCGCGCCTCGCCTACTCGCTGGGCATGACCGAGAGCCAGGTCAAGGTGAGCGCGGCGGCGGCGGCGGGCGGGCGGGCGGGCCGCGCCGGGGCCGCCTCTGACGACCCCGCCGCGCAGGTGTGGTTCCAGAACCGCCGGACCAAGTGGCGCAAGCGGCACGCGGCCGAGATGGCCTCGGCCAAGAAGAAGCAGGACTCGGACGCCGAGAAGCTGAAGGTGGGCGGCTCGGACGCCGAGGACGACGACGAGTACAACCGGCCCCTGGACCCCAACTCGGACGACGAGAAGATCACGCGGCTTCTGAAGAAGCACAAACCCTCGAACTTGGCGCTGGTCAGCCCGTGCGGCGGCGGCGCGGGGGACGCGTGAGCCGAGCGGGCGCGGCGGAGCGCGGGCGGGCGGGGCGATATTTTTTACAGAGGAGGTCGCGGAGGGGCGAGCGGGGCCCGCGCCGAGGCCGCTCGGTGCAGACACTTTGTACGATCAATAAATTATTTAACTCGTCCCTGTCGGGCCGCTCCCGAGGCCGCCCCGCCTGTTTCTTCGGCTGAACCCGCCGGGGCCCCTGGAGCGGCCGCGGGTCGGCGGGACGCGCGCCTGGGCGCGAGGCCCCGAACCCGCGCCAGGAGAGTCGCGGCTCCCGCCCGCCGCTGCCGAGGCCGCGGGGAAGAAGCCGCCGCGGGCCGGGGCCGGGCAGGTAAGCTCCTCGCCTCTCCACCGCGGGCGCCGCCGGGCACCTGCAAGCGGGTGAGTTCGGCAGCTCCTGCGGACCCAGAGTGGTCGGCCCCGGGGACGCCCCTGCCCCGGCGCCGCTCCCCTCTGCACTGCCCGTTTGTGTGCCGAGGCCGCTCACCAAACCGGCCTTGGAAGCGTGGCCCCTGGGATGTGGTTTAATTCCAGCGGCCGCTGCAGAGGAACCCCCAAGGCTCGGCGCCTGGGCAGGGTTGGATCTTTCCGTCTCCCTGGGGCTGGAGTCTCCGCACACCTGACCGCACTCCTCCCGGCGGCCCTCCCGGACGCCGCACAGCAGAGGGAGGGAGCGGAGCGCGGAACAATGCCCGGACCTCGCGGTCGATTAAAAGTCTAATTCCGGAGGAGGCGGGCAGGGGGCAAGCAGCACGGACCCCAGGACAGCCGGAAGGGGAGCGAGTGGCTGGCGGGTGGCTCCTCGGATTCTCTCCCGCCCGCCACTCAGTGAAGATTCCCGGCTGCAGAGCGCGCGCCCAGGCACCTCGGGAGGAGCCGGGGAAGGTCAGTGCTTCCGCAGGGTTCTGGGGAGCCGGGCAGGGCGCGAGGGAAGGAGACGAGGCAGAACTCTTGTCACCATGATCAGGTTTATTGCTTAGGAAACAAAAATGGCCACTTCTAAAGGCCTCCCAGGTGACCCGAAGGAAGCGGGGCCCCACCCCCAATAGTAGTGATTCGTCTAGGGCAGACGCCCGCCTCGCGGCCGGCCGGCCGGGGTCTGTAGTGTTCTGAAGCGGTCCCGGCCCAGGGCAGAGCTAGCGGGAGCAGCAGGCAGAGCCGTCTCTGGGCGGTTCCGCTGCCCATCCAGAGCGGGAGGGCTGCACGGGCACCCAGAGGCCCAGTGCTCCCGGGCCGGGCGGGGGCTGGCGGGGACACCCGCTGCCCGCCGCTATCCGCCTGGAAAGTCTATTTAGCCTAAGTTTGGGTAAGATTTATAAATTACTTTAAAAAGTATATATTTATATATATTTATAGATATAAAATGGGAAGCAGCCGCAGTGATTCAAAAACCATGGAGCATGGCAGTAGAGTGACGGACAGAGGGTCGCGAAGTGAGTGCGGGGACCCGGGTCTCCGGCTGTCCCCGGCCCGGCTGCGGAGGGCCCCCGCGCCTGTGTGCGCCTGCCGCGCGGGGCCGCAGCGGGAGCCTTGCTGTCTACGAGACTTTTGGCAACAGCACTGTGACTTATTGAAAACCCAGTATTTCTACTTGATGTCACATGAGCAGACAGGACAGTGAGGTATGTGAGGCTCGGAACAGTCCGGAACAGTCCGGAGCTGAAGCGGAGTGTGCGGCCAGCCGTGGCGGCGGCTCAGGGCTCGCGGACGGACGGACGACGGACAGACGGACGGATGGACGCTGCTCCTGCCGCCAGCTACAGGGGGTCACGAGGGGGCTTCTCGTGCCGCTGCCCTCTCCTGCCTGTGGGGGAGCGAGGGTCAGTCGCGGGCTCACACGCACCAGGAAAAGCTCAAAAGGAACTCGAGGGAAGGATATTTACTCACACGTCACTGCACTACACAACACTTGCGCACACGGGCGTGAGGTTTACCTGCCCCGGGCGCCAGGCGGAAGGCCAGGAACACGGGCTGCAGTGGGGAGAAGAGAGACGTCAGGACCCCGGCCCGGCCCCCCACCACCGTGACAGCACTGCCCGGCCCCCGCCATGGGCAGAGCGTCCACGTGGGACAGAAAAGCCAGCACTGCCACCGCCTGCAGCGTGGACGGGCCCAGCGCTGTCCCCGGGGCTGTCCAGAGCGGCTCCGTGCAGGTTAGAGGCCCAGGCCACAGCTGCGGCCACGTGTCCGGATGCCCGAGACCTCCCGTGCTGGACTCCCAGCCCCTGGCCCTTGGCTACAGGGCCGTCAGGATGGGTGCACGTCTGACCCCACGGTCAACACGCGGGTCCGGTTCTGGCCATTTCTGCGTCTCGTCCTCGCCCGCCAACAGCCCTCCCGTGTCACTCGGGCCGTCCGGCCGTCGGAGGGGCCCCGTCACCTTGTGGTCTCCCATGCAGACGCTGGGCCCCATGTGGTCGTAGGTGACGACCTTCTCCTCGCTCTCCGACTGGGGAAGCAAACAGAGGACAGAGGTCGGGGCTGGGGGCTCGCGGGAGCAGCATGGCCTCTGCTGCCCAAGCCCACTGCCAGGCCGGCTCAGCGCTGGTGCCACAGTGGCCAAGGGCTCTGGCAGGGGGCATGTGCGGGGTGCCAGGCCTCACTCCCACGGCTGGACCCCACTGCGGTGCTGACCACATCGTGGCCACGGGGAGCGGCACTGTCCCCCCGCCCCACTGTGGCGGAGACGGCCCTCCCAGCTGTCTCCGGCACGCCCCCGGCCGTGCAGGCAGCAGGCGCTGATCAGACGCGGCAGGAACGCAGGTTCCGGCTGCGTGATCCAGACACAAGCCAGCGGGCCGCCCGTCTCCCTCCCGTGGGACAGCCGCTGCCTCCGCTGCTTCCGGGCGGGCACAGACGTGGACGTGGGGACGCAGCCGAGCGTGGTGTGATGGATGAGCCTGAGCCTCCGGAGCTGCTGGCGTCTGCTGCGGGGCGGGGGCCGTCCCAGGAGTCGGGGCGGGGCCGGTGCGGGGGACGGGGCTGCCAGCGTGTGTCCAGCTGACCCTCGGCCGTGTCCACAGCTCACACTAGGGCCAGGGTGGGGTTCACGGGGGACAGGCAATCGGGGTGCCCGGGGGTGTGGGGTGGGCGAGGGCCGCGGACACTCCCTGCAGAGGCCCCGGCTGACCTCGCCTGGGCGGGGCTGTGGGGTGGGGGACTCAGGGGTGCCCTCCTGGCAAGGGGCACTGCAGAGGGGCGTGTCCCGACACTACCCTCAGGCTGCAGCCCGGGGCCAGGCCTGCTTGCAGCGCCTCCCCCTTCCACACAGGCCCCAAGGGCTGCGAGTGGTCAGCATCGCCCACTGCCCAGTGTCCACCCACAGCCCACAGCCCACCCCCCATCCGGCCTGCGGCATGAGTTCAGCCTGCCAGCGAGCTGGGGCCCTGCAGGTCACTCACCCTCAGGACCAGCTCCTTAGCGGTCGGGGACATGAGCACCCGGTCACACCAGGCTGGGCAGCGCGTGCTCATGTACAGCTGGCCCTGGCTGCTGTCCTCGCTGTAGGGGTAGCTGTGGGGACAGCGGGAGGCAAGTCACTCGCGGAAGCTTCTGCGACAAAGACCACCTGGGCGGCATCTGAGGGCCAGCACCCCACCCCGCCCCGCTGCCGCCCCCAGGGGGTGCTTCCCACAGGGGACCCCGCGGCTGGTGCCGGCCCCCTGCACCAGGCAGTCCTGTGGGCAGCAGGTCCTCCCGCAGCACTGCAGGGCCCGTGTTCCCTTCCAGGGGCTGGGAGCCCCCACCTCGGGGGCCTGGGGATGAGCCCCTGGGGACAGGATCAAGCGCTAAGCAGTGGGCCAGGTGCATGAGGGCCCCAGGGCCCCGCCTGAGGTGGGCCCCTTCGGGCCTGCACGTCTGAGTGGCTGATTCGTGGGATCTGAAGGTTCACTCGTAGCCTATGCAGGTGAGCTGGGGTCCCTGGTCTCCCCACGGGGGCTTTAGAATAGACAGCTGCCCCTCAGGGAACCCGGGGCGCTCAGCGGCTGCGTCCCGAACCAGCCCCGCCCAGCCCCACCCCCCAATTGGGAGACTGGCCTCTGCGGCACCCCAGGACCTCTCCTGATGGGCCGGACACTGCGAAGCCACGTTTCCCACAGGCCTCACGGACCCGGGCTCCAGGCCGGGCACCGAGGACAGAGGTCCTGCCGGACACAGGGAAAGGTTGGCTTAGGTGGGGCCAGCCTGCTGGGGCCAATGCTTTCACCTGGCACCCAGCAGCTGGGAGGGGGCAGCAAGAGGCAGGGTGCCCGCAGGTGGGCGCCGCCAGCCCTTCTCTGAAGGTGCCGCGGGGGGTCCTGCGGGCGACCCCTGCACGTGGCAGGCTGGCCCTGCACATCTACCTGCAAGCAGACCCGCGGGTGGGGGCGTGGGCAGCACCTGCCTGGGCCTGCAGGGGGAGGGCACGGTGATAAGGCAACAATCGCCCACCCATCCCGTCCGTCCTGCAGGGTGTGGGTGGCCGAGTCCTGGGGTGGTTGACTGACCAGGCTTAGCCCTGCGGGGTCAGCCTGGAAGGCGCAGGAAGAGGTCGGGGCCTCCCGAGAAGACCCGTGCAGGGGGGAGCAGGGGCCACGCCGGGAGGACATCCAGCAGCTCGGAGGGGCCCGGCGTGCTGACAGGGGACCCGCACGCTTGCTTCCCAAACATGGTCACTGAACTTCCTGAAGGAGCCCAGTCCAAGGGACACACTCGACTGGGCAGGGGTCCGAGGGTCACTGGGCTCAGCAGCTGAGGGGCTGGGCGCTGGAGGCTGGCTCCGTCTCCGGGGGCCTGCTCGGGGACCAGGACTCAGTCCTGCTCTGCAGCTGTGGTCATCCGCATGACCCCTGGATGCTCTTAGCCCGCCACAGCAGACACACGGGATGGGGGCAGGCTGGAGGGGAGGACTGAGGGGAGACCTGCAGGGGTGGTACCGTATCCAGGCATCAGCCAGCACCTCCACGAGGGTCCTCCCCGAGCGTGGGGTCCCGGGGGTGTCTCACTGCCAAGGACCAGACAAGAGCAGGACCCAGGAGTCCCAAGACCACAGCAGTGCCCCTGGAGCTGCCTCTCAGTCTGGGGTGGGTGGGGGCTCTGCGCGCGGGTCCTCCCGAGAGCAAGTGTGGGCCCGCGGGCGCGCCCACAACCCCTGCCACGCTCACTGGGCCCACGGGAGCAGGGTTGGGCACAGGCTAACTGGGGGCCCCAGAAAAGTGGCCCAGGTTGGGGTCTCCACTTCCAACAGCCAGGCTGTGTGCTGATGGCATACACCAGTCACATGACACACGGCGCACACACACTGAGACCACACGCAAGACTGGCACACGCAGGGCTCCGCACCCACAGTCCCATGATACACAGGTGCTACGGCATCAGCTCTGCACACGTGGCCCCTCAAATGCAAACTCTTACACACCTACACACATGCCTGAGCCCCCAGCGGCTCATGGCACCAGGGCCCCGCCCACCCCACCCCACAGCGCGGCACTCCTGGGGAGGAGAGCGTGACGGTGCGGGGCAGATGGCGGCGCCCCCTGAGCACCTGAGCCAGGACCCCTTCCTGCGAGGAGGGTCTCTCTTTGCTGGTGTCAGCCGGGTCACAGGGGCTGCTCACAGCATGATGATTCCACTTTGGCAGGGCAGGAGCACTGCACCAGTAACCACAGCTGCCAGACAGCCCCGCGCCCCAACCAGACCCACCCCCCAATCAGACCCGAGCCCCAGTCAGACCCACCCCCCAACCAGACCTGAGCCCTGGACCAGATGTGTCCAGAACTGCCTGCACCCCCGACCCAGGGCCCCTACCAGGCGGCGGGTTCCAGGGCTGCACACACCCCACAGTGTCCCAGATGGATGGGCAGGGAGGGGTGAGAGGACTTCACTGCCCGTGTGCTGGGCCCCCAGTGACCCACTGACGTCCCCTCTGTGCCAGGTGCTCTCCACCCAGCTCTGGGGGTGCACACTGCACCCTTGCTCCTCCTGGGCCCCTCGGCAGAGCCTGTGCTGTGTCCCGGGAGGGGTCACGCCAGCCCCGGGGCAGAGAGGGGTCAGTGTTCCCACTGTACAGTCCTGAAAACTGCCCACTGGTCTGAGTGCCGACTGCTGAGTGCCCAGCCCGGGTTCGGGAGCCGAGGGCCAGCCGGAAGTGATGCTGCTTGGCGACTGGGGTGTAGGGGCCGCGCGGACAGTGTCTGTGTCCATGGCGGGTACCACCACTCGCAGCCCAAGCCCCTGGCCGGCGAGAGGGGCCCAACCGCTTCAGTGCATGGAGCACAGCCGGAGCCCCCATGCCCGAGGGGTCAGCGAGCAGGAGAGAGGGGACCCCCTGCGCCAGGAGGCCCTTACCTGGGAGGGAAGCAGATGTCCAGCTCACACAGCCTGTCCTTAAACACGGACAGCTCTCTGTCGAACTCTAAGAGCTGCGGAGACATGGAGAAACAGGGAGTCACGCTGCGAGCCGCGGGCCCCACAGTCCTGGGGCTGCGGCCAGCAGAAGGACCCCCAACCAGGGTCTGTGCCCAGGGGCCTCCCTCGCCAGTCCTGCCCCATGGCTGTGGGCACCCCCCACGCATGCAACCAGCAATGCATGTCCCTGGGGATCTGCGGGCCAGGCTGCCCTGCCCTGCCTGAACCGATGGCGGCCACCTGGGCCGCTATCCTGGGGCGGCTGAGGGTGTCCCTCCCACGAGTGCGTTGTGGGGAACGACCACTGCAAGCACTTGGTGGAGTTGCCAAATTCTGGTGCCCCGCACACCCCTACAACTCAGGGAACATGAGGACAGTCACAGACCTCAGGCCCTGACAAGTGAGGCCCAGCGCCCAGGTGGGGCCCAGGGCACTGCTCAGTCACACAGTCACCTGGTTCCTAGGGAACAGTGACAGTTAAACACAGTCATTCCCAAAGTGACAGTTACACACTCAGAATCACGAGAAACAGGGACAGTTACATAGCCGCCAGAAACAGTGACGGTGATACACAGAGTTACTCAGAAACTGTGACAGAGCTACACGCAGTGACACTCAGAAATGGTGAGTTATCTATGCATTCAGAAATGACCAGTTATACTGTCCCTCCAAAACAGGGACAAAACTACACACAGCAGACACACTGAAAAATGATGACAGAATTAAACACAGTCATACACAGTTGCTCAGAAATGGTTACAAAGTTGCAGACAAAGCCAGTGACTCTTAGCTACACAGTTAAGTCCAATTAGTTACTCACAGCCATACAGTTACAGTTACTGGGTTATAAATGCCACAGTGACTTTCAATTCCTCTAGTGACAGCTACAGTGACACAGTTACTTGGAAATTGTCACCAGAACTTCAGTTACATTCACTTTAGAGTCATCTGAACTCACACCATGGCTGTTAGTGACACTTCCAGTTACACAGAACAGAATGCAGTCTGGTCACCCAGACACAGTTGTGCAATGATGCACACTCTGAGCCAGTCACCCCCAACGTGTCTGTATTTGCAGTGACTCAGCCACACACAGCTGCTCCCCTCAGGCACGCATAGCTCGAGGCGGGGCAGCCGCGTCAGCCACTCCAGGGGGGCATCCCAGCTTGCTCTGCAGTTTCCGCCAGCCACTGGCTTTCCTCATGCTGGGGCACTTGGGGCCAGCACCCACCTGAAGTCCCCAACCCACCTTCCACCTGCCCGACTTGGACGTCAGAGGTGTCCCCTGCTCTGCTATCCCCATTCCCTGTGTCCAGGGGACGCCTCCTGAGTGTCCTCGTGTCCGGAGCTGGCTGCTCAGGGCTCAGGGAGTGCCTGCTCTCCACCTGTCACCTCGTCCCTGGCTGTCCTACTTGCCGGCTGCTGGTTCCCAGGGTACGCACGAGGATGGACATGGCCACTGGACACTGGCCTGGCTGCTAGGGCCATGCTCCGGTTCCCAAGACGAGTTCTTGGGAGCTCCTGACCCAGTCGTGGCAGTGAGAATGCCCGGCTGCACAATGGCCTGTCCCCTGTGGCAGGGTCTCTGTGTGACACTCCGGGCTGTTTTCAAGCTCCTGAGTCTGGCGTGTTGTCACTGAGACTTGGCCCGACTGGGGTGTGGCGGCAGTGTCAGCAGCAGGGGTCTCCCCCAGAGGCTGTGCGGGCTGGCGGCGGAGGCTAGACTTCTCACAGTCCCCAGCACAAGTCTCCTTCTCTTGACCGTTGCCAACTCACGCTGCCTGAGGTCACAGGTCGACCATGCTCTGCACATGCCCGGGGTCACCATGTGCGCATCTTTCTCACGGGACGGAGCAACCCTGCTGGAGCACAGCCCTGGGCAGGGAGGTGTCCGGGCATTGCCCACAGTAGGGCCGTGTGCGTGGGCACAGGCACGGGATCGTGCCAGGGCTCGTCTGCTGCCCCCCACTTAGGCAGGTTCTGGGCCACCTGGGGACCCCAGCCCAGAGGGCTGCAGCGGCCCCGTCGGTGTGACCTCAGCGGGCTCTCGGGGTGCTGTGGGGCTCTGGGAAGGACTTCGCCGGGGCATCGCGTAGCTTCGATCAGGAGTCACACCGCGTCCGCTCCTGCCCAGCCTGCGTCTGTGCGGGGCTGCTCGCGACGTGCTGACGGATTTCGCGTCTCGCCGATGTTTCTTGATTACAGAGTGAAAAAGCGCCAGGCTGTGCCTGGGCGGGGCCGGAGCGGCCGGCTCGTCCGTATCTGTCAGCGCGCCCGGCGTGCAGCCCCTCGCCACCGGCACGGAGGTGAGCCGCAGCTGCACGCCGCTCGACACAGGACGTCTCCATCCACGCGCCGCGCCTGCCCTGGGACAGTCATGGGAAATTTAATCTCTCCAAATCCTCACCAGGGCACTCCATCCTGCCGCCTGACAGCCACACTTATAATTAATTATACAATTTCGATGAGAATATCGACTAAACAAAGCTATAAATCATAGAAAAAGTCAATAGGCATGGACACATTCAATCATGTCCCGGCCAATGATTACTACCCTTAAAATACAATAATTATTTTCAGGAGCCAGCTCGAATTAAATTTCTGTCAGTCGGGTACAAGACCGGTGGTTGATGAAGGGGGCGATGGGTCCGGGCTGCGCATCCATCCTGCGCCGAGGTGGGGCCACAAGGCCGGGAGGCGGCGGCCGCGTGGGCGGCACCTCCCAGAGCACGAGACGGCTGGGGTAGCAGAGGCAGGCGCGTGTCTGGGGGCCGAGGCGGGGGCCGGCCGCGCGTGTTCCGTTGCTGCCGCCGTGACGCACGAGCGCGGCCTGGAAACCTGCCCGTGGACCCTCCTGTCCCGAGTCCTCCTGGCACGCGCACGTGTCCTTCTCAGGGGACCGGCCCCAAGGGAAGACACGCTGTCCCCGGGGAGCGGTTCCTGCCCTCCCAGACGCCTTTTGGAAGGTCCCGGCCCTCCACCGCCCAGTGCCACCCTCCGCTGCCCACTGCGTCCCTCAAGGGGCCTCTGTCCTTCTCACACCCACCCGCTGGGCCCCCTGTGGGCTGACCCACAGGGCTAAGGCACAGACTGAGCGCCTCCCACCAGCACAGCCCCCCATGCGGGACAGGAGGCTCTGAGCCAGGGCCCGGGACCAACGGGGACGGCAGGGAGAGGGCCTGAGAGCAGTGAGGACGCCTGGCCTGTCCAGCGAGAGGAGTGGGTCTGTCTGGTGAGGAGACATGGCCTGGCTCAGAAGAGACCTCACTTCTGAGCACTGGACTCGTTCTGACCTGAAGAACCTTCGTCACCGCACGGGAAACTGAGGCACCGAGGACCAGGGCACTGCACGATGCGCCCCTGACTGCAAAGTGTGCGAACTGAGACAGGACTCAGGACCCCAAGGGGGTCTAAGGGCAGCCTGTGGGGAGGGGGGGTGGTGAAGGGTCCAGGGCAAACAGGTGCCACGGGGCTGAGGGTGCCCTGTGGAGGCCGGAGGGGCTGCATGTGCACACCCACGCACACGGGTGCACACAGAGGAACACAGGGACGCGCGCTTGGGTGCACACACAGGGATACACACACACAGTACACACAGGGACACACAGAGGGATACACACACACGGGTGCACACAGAGGGATATAGGGACACACACACAGGTGCACAGGCAGGGACAAACACGCACACAGTACACACACAGGAACATACACGCACACAGGTGCACACGCAGGGACACGTACATGGGTGTGCACACACAGGGACACAGAGACACACATGGGTGCACAGCAGGGACACACACGCAAACGGGTACACAAACAGAGATACAGACACACGCAGGCGCACACATACAGGGGTACGTGTGTGCATGCAGACATTCATGTAGTGATGTGTGCATTGCATGTACACGCAGAGATGTGCACGCTGACAGAAGAATATGCCTGTGTGCACAGGAGCACACGTGCAGATGAGGGTGACATTCACACATGAACCACCATGTACACATGCACACACAAGACAGACATGCGTGTGTGTATATGGCTACACATACAGCCATGAGACTCACATGCAAATGCAGGGACAAGGGAGGCTCTCTCTCTCTCTCTCTCTCTCTCTCTCACACACCGCACCAGGGCCTCAGTCTCAGGAGGGCCCCAGTCAGGCCGTCCTGCCCCCGCACAGCTGGGGCGAGCCAGGCCGGCTGCCGGTCTGTGGCAGGGCGCTCGCGGGCAGCAGGCAGGTCGGTCAGCCAAGGGCCCAGCCACAGTCCGGGGAGGCACTCACCGCGGTGCCGTTGCTGTCCCGGAAAACATCCTGGTTGAAGTACTCGAACAGCTTCTTCTCCAGCTGCAGCATCACCTGCAGAGCTGGTGTCAGCGCGGGGCGCCCGGACCCAGAGCGGGCCTCAGCCCGCCCCGCCCCGCCCCGCCCCGCCCCGCTCACCTTCCGGTCATTGTCCGACTCCCTGAAGATGAGCTTCACCACCTCGTTGGTGTCCGCTGCCCGCACAGTCTGCATGGTGGCCTTGGTACAGAGGGTCTGTGGAGAGAGGGCCGCATGGGGGCTCCGGCGCCCACCCTGACGCCAGACAGGTGGGGAAGGCAGCAGGGCTGGTGGCGGCCTGGAGACCCCCAGGTGGCCTCTGCCACTTGGGAGGGGTCGAGCCGGGAACAGTGCCGGTGGCTAACTGGGTCCCTCAGGCCGCGGCTGGGGCTGAGCTCAGGCAGGGGGGAGGGAACCGGGCGTGGCCTCGAGGTCGGTCGCGGGGGCCCTGCAGGGCCCGCTCCCCGGTGGGCCGTGAGTCTGCCCGGCCGTTGCTGCCACTCAGCACCGCAGGGTCAGGTCAGCCCAAAGCTGGTGTCGGGAGTTGGCCAGCTGCAGATGGAGATGAGGCAGCCCAACGACGGGCGCCAGCACCCCCACGCTGACAGCACGGCTGGGAGGCCCCCCTCCCCCGGGCGTCTGCAGGCTCAGGGCACTCAGGCAGAACCAGCGCCTCCCGCCACCCAGGGCGGGTCGGGCCCCTTTCAGAGAAACCCCCAAAGCCGCTCTACCGGGGAAGCCGGGCGGGTTCGGGCAGAGCCCGGGGGGGCGGGGCCTGGCGGCTGAGTGGCCTCCATGGCGGCGGGTCAGACCCGCAGTCATGCAGCACCCCTGGCCTGTTCCGAGTGTCCCCCAGGACCCTGCGGGCCGGACGGGCAGACCCAGGGCGCGGGCGGGGGCAGGAGGAGGGGAGCCCCCAGCAGCTCCAGGCCCGCCCCCTCGGGGCTGACGGGGCACAGAGGAGGGTCCCAGAGGTGCGGTGACGAAGTGAAGCTTCTTGGTAAGTGGAGCAAACTGAAGCCATCCGGGAGGAAGGCCAGGGCAGGGGACGGTGCGGGGTGGGGCTGGGGCCTGTCGAGGCCCTCAGAGGCCTCCTGGGGGGACCGTGCAGAGGTTCTGCATCACCCAGCTATGTCACACACAGAGGGGCCAGCAGGACCCCAAAGGGAACCTCCTCACAAGACCCACTTGGCCTTGGCGCAGACGGGCACCAGCCCTGGCTGCAAACTGGGGTTCGTGGGGACCCGACTGTCCCCCTCGGGCTAGGAGAGGAGCCGGGGCCAAGACCACGCAGCACCCACGGGCCCCGGAGACCCACCCACCGGCCTCCCTGACGTCTCTGCCAGGGCCACGCGAGCCCTGCAGGGATGTGGCTCCATGGAGGACACAGAGCTGACGGTAAAAGGCCAAAGATCAAGCAGGGCCTGCTGGTCCTGGGGCGGGTCCCCCGTCAGCCCCCAGCCCGCCCTGGTGGCCGCCAGCAGCTCAGAGGCCAGGAGAAGGCGGGGGGGGGGGCAGGCTGGCCTGCAGGAGCGTGGGGCCACTCCCCTGCCCCCGCAGGACGGTGCTCCCCTCCCCTCCACCCAATTCCTCAGGGTTCTGCACTGCCCTCTCCAGAGACCAGGCACCCTGGGGGACGTGCCCCTCACGGAGACGCACGCCCCAACTTCACTGAGGGGCACCAGCTGCCGTGTCCTTCTGTCCCCCGAGCTGAGGTGAGGACGGCTCTGACCACTCCAGGCAGGGAGGCGGTCCTCAGCAGACCACCCTTTCCTTAGACGCCAGCGTAACCACCACCTTTCACCACGGGCTGTTCCCTAGAGACCAACAGGACAGACGGGAAGGCCAAGGATGCTGGACGCGATGGCCAGGAGGCTGCACCCACGGCTCGCCCTACAGTGCACCCGTCCCCAACCTCAGCTGAGTCCTGCTCCGCCAGCCTTTATGAAGGCCCAGCACCAGGGCCTGCCGGGGTGGCCACGCAGGAGCCCAGAGGTGCCAGCCCGGGGCAGGGCACGGGCCTGGGTGGGCGCTGCCCGCAGCATTCGGGCACCAGCCTCCACTGAGCAAGGCCAGCCCCCGTGCATTGTCAACTGTTCGCCCAGAACAACAACGCACCATAAAGACCCTTTCATCCCTGCAGCACCCATGGCAACAGGCAAAGCCCTGGTGGCGCCAGCGCCAGAGACGGTTCCCGAAGGAAGCAGGAGTGGGCCCCCAGCCTGCGTCCAGGGAGGACGGCACTGCCGGGCCGGGGCTGCCCCGTCACAACACGAGGTGTCAGCAGAGGCCCCACACACGCCACCCCAGCCCCCAGGCAGCGCCACACAAGCCAGCGAAGCCAGAAGCCCAGCAGCTGGACCCTTGGGGGCCGTGTCCCGCTGACGCGCCCGCCCTTCCCCGCAGCCCGGGAATCCACCTGGTCAGAGTTTGAGTGCGCGTGAGGTAAAGGACGCTTGCCTTGCACGCCTGTTCCCAGCCCCCGACGGTCCCTTGAGCCCCGCAGGAGGGACCAGTGCGCCATCAGGTGCGGTCGAGAACAGAACAAGGAAATCGACCCGGTGACAGTGGTGACCACGCAGAAAACGCCCCCCACGGCCCCGGCACCCCACCCCTCAGACCCGGGGTGAGAAACTTCCCTGCTCTGCGGGGAGAAACTTCCCTGAAAAACTCCCTGAATGGGACACGCAGAGCAGCCCAGACCGGGAACGAGAGGGAGCTGACTGTACCGCTAATGTCACAGCCACGTGAGACCAGCATCACTGGTGGTTTGAGAGCAGTGATTGAGGACGCGAGCGGCACGCAAGGCACCGGCTGCAGTTTCACAATGACCCGAGACAGAGGGCAGAAGCCCAGGAGCCTGTGTGGGCCGGGGGAGAGGCGGGGGACGCACCACAGAGCTCTGGAGCTGCACCCCCGTCTGCAGGGTTAGAGGCTGAAGGACTGGGTCTGCAGGGCTCGGGGACGAGCCGGGAGCCAGGACGGGCCTGTGGGCAGCGGCAGGAGCCGCCGAGTGGTCACTGCAGCCTGCGGGGCAGCAAGCCCGTGTCCGCTGGGCTGTGGAAGCAGCAGGGACGTGCCCGGGTCCTGCGCGGGGTGTGTGGGGCGGCACCGGCACAGCTGTGACCCCGGGGCCCTCTCAAGCAGGGCTGGCTCCCGGGGGTGCAGGGACCTGGCAAATGCGGGACGGTCCCGGCGCCCACACCTGCCCTGCCCGGCCAGGGAGCGGGTTTGAACACGGCCGCGGCGCTCCACAGCCCATCCATCACGGTGAAGGACGGCAGGTGGGCGGGCCGGGCCGCGCGGGGACGAGCGCGCCTGGCACCACCGTCACTCGCTGTCACTGGGGCCAGCTGAGCGCCCAGCTGCCAGTTGTCACCGCGCAGAAAACACGCTCTGTGAGCATCGTGCCGGCGTTCCTCAGCTCCGCGCCCACGGCCCGGCAGACGCACAGGATGAGCACGTTTGATTTGCGTGTTTAATTATGGCTGAAGCAACGCCACTCAGAGCCGGGCGCCGCCCTCTGGTTCTGCTCCGGCGGCTCCGTATAAATTTGCATCTGAAATAGGAGCTGGAGCCAGACACAGCCTTCCCCACTCTCGGCGCCCACCCGCCTCTCCCACCCGCAGCCTCCCCGGAGCAGCCCGAGCAGCCCCTGCCGCCCCTTCACCTGCACCCGCACCAGCACCAGAACCTGCACCCACACCCGCACCCACAGCCACACCCGTACCCACACCCACACCAGAACCCGCACCCACACCCTGCACCCCACGCCATACACCCACACCCCAAGCACCTACACCCACACCCCGCATCCCCACACCCGACCCCTGTAACTGCACCCCAAAGCCCCATGCCTGCACCTACACCCCTGCACCCGCACTCCACACCCGTCTCCCCAGCACCACCATGACTGCCCACAGGGCAGCCAAGTCCTCCCGTCTCGAGTGCTGGAGGCTCGTGGCTCAGTGTCCGGCCACTGGTGACCTGCACGTTAGCCCTGTCAGCTCCCACCCAGCACCTGAGAGCCAACCCTGAGTGGACGGGGGCCCCGCCCCCAGGACAGCAGGTCAGGTCAGAGTGTAAAGGGCAGGTGGTTGAAAGAAGAGCCCCGGACACCTGGCAGCCCCCGGCGCCCGAGCAGCAGTGGGGTCCTGGCGGCTCGTCCTGCTCCAGGGACCTCTGTGGGCTTCTAAGAGCACAGACGTGGGCGACCCCTGAGCAGGGACCTGAGAGAGACCACAGATGAGTCCGCCCTTCTGGGGCTGGGGCCAGTGGCCAGTGCCCCCCGCAGCTTCCAGGGAGCAGCCCGACGGGCCTGGCGGTTCCCTCGGCAGTTTCCGCTTCTCTCTTCGGGTCAGGCTGGGTGGTGCTGCGGCCCCACCCACAGGGTTGCGGGGGCTTCTAGGCACGAGCACCTTCCTGTCCCCAGTCGGCTGCCCGGGACACTGGCTCGAGGCGGCGTTCACCCTGAAGCCAGCCTGCGGAGGTGCTGGGGACGGAGGTTGGCCCCTACTGACCCACGGGACCCCCTCTCTGCCTGCTCGCCCCCTCTGACAATATGCCGTGACCACCCCCCCAAGCAGCCCCTCTGCAGATGTGCTATCGTCCCAGAGGGGCTCGGTGAGGGTCCCCTGGCCTTTCAGGGCCTACTTCTCGGGGCTCCGGGGGGAATCCTGATAGCTGTGGAGACCCAGACCATCGCAGGAATGAGGGGGTCGCAAGGCTGCTGCCCTCTCCTGGGCCTCCCTCTACCCCATGGCCCCCCTCCCCTCTCCAGGCCATGGACCCTGATGCCCACCTGATGGCGGAGAGAGCTCTGGGGTGACCCTCAGCGTTTCCCCAGAACTGCGCCTGCCACACAGAGACACCTGCTCTGTCCAGGAGATATTCTAGAAGCCTCCTGATGTCCAAAGTGGGGCTTGTGAGGCCTGGTGTCCCCCTATCCTGACAGGACATGCCACAGGACGGACACAGGTGGGATAGTGTCTGTCGCTAGGGACAAAGCTGGCAGGGATGGCCACACTCGCCCGGCCAGTCCCAACACTGGGCCCGGTCGCCAGCACGGACTTTTCCATGTTCTGCCCAACAGGGACCCGCTCGGGAGCCCCAAGGGCGTCCGAGTGCCAGGGCACCTTCTCCACGGCACGCAGGTCGTCCCCATCAGGGCTGACCCGAGTGCAGACCGGACCAGAGCCCACGACACCCACCTCCACCACGGACTTGGAGTCCAGCCGGAAGTTGAAGTCTCCGAAGACGAAGTAGGCGGCCTTCTCGAACCTCTGGTCGACGATTCTGTGAGGGAAAGGGAGGCGTCACGAGGCTTGGGGGAGGGGGCAGCTCTGGTACTGCGCCCAGCCTGCGATGGGGCCACCAAGATGGGCACCAGGCGGCCAGGTGGCGGGGAAAGCCGGGGCTGTGCGGCCGCAGTGGCGGGAGAGGAGCCCCTCCCCACCCCGCCCGGTCATCACTCCTGAGACCACACAGCTCTCACCGCCCGGCACGGGGGCTCCTGAGGTCGCTGACCCGCCCCTCCAGCCTGCCCGGGGCAGGGAGGGCACCCTGTGGCGCCCATGGTGGTCAGTGCCCGAGCGCCCTGCACGCACACAGCTCCCTGTAGGGGCGGCCGACCAAGGCGCACGGCCAGGAGCACCAGCTTTCCTTATCAACTAATGGACCCGGGGAGCCAAGGGTCCGTGTGACTCCAGGGACACACGCAGGAAGAGGGAATTAGCAGGCGCCACCGGGACGGGCACGTGTGGGGCAGAGGGCAGGCGTCTGCAGCGGGCACCCAGGGCCCCGTTTTGATGCTCAGACGGGCCCGCAGGGTCATGCCAGTGCCCGTCACCCCCGGGGGGCTGGGCCGGCCGGCCTGAGGAAAGCCGCTGGCTGGTGCTGGGGCCGCCATGGCTGCTCACGCGGGTTCTGCTTTACTCTGGGGAGGATGACAGGGATCCCCGTCCGTGACAGACGTCACGGCGTCTCGGCAAACTCGGCCCCACAAGGCCCCTGGTCCTCAAGGCCGGCCCCTTCCTCTCTCAGCTGCCTTGACCCTGGATCCCCGTGTGGGGCACCTGTCCACTCAGGGTCACGAGGTTGTCCACAGCCTTTCCCCGGACCTCCTGGGGAGAGCCTCACGACCGGGGCCCCTCTTTGCTGGTTCTCACTTCCGTCCAGACCGGGCTCAGGTCACAGCCCAGACACGTCGCCTGAGATGCCGGTGCCCACAGGGGCTCATCTGCTCCCGAGGGGATCCCTCCTGGCCTCCTGCCAGCGCCAGGCCACGGTGTGAGAGCCGGGCTCCCGGGCTCCCTGTTCTGACACCCTCGGCAGGTGTGGCTCAGGCTCTGGGCTCCAGGCCGCAGGCTGGCCTCTGTGGCCACGCGGGTGGGGGCTGCCCTCCATGTCCCTTCTGGCTGGTGAGTGCCCAGCAGGATGAGAGTGTGGGGACAGGGGCAGGGACCCGGCACGTAGGCAGCGGGCGGTCCTGGCTGTGACTGCCCGGGACGTGCTGGTGGCTGGCTGGACACTCTGGGGCAGACTCTCAGCTGCCTGGCCTGTGAGTGAGGATACGGAAGACAGGAAGGAGCAGGCCGAGTGTGTGTGCGAGGGAGTCCTTGGATTCGTCCCCGTGTCGGCCACGGTGCTGGGAGCCTGTGTGCCGCCAGGCAGCCACAGGCGGTGGGACTCATGTCCGGGACGCAGGACCCCGCCGAGGCCATCAATAACACCGTCTCAAAGGTCGGCGGCGGCCACGGTGAAGAGCTGTCAGGCCGGCAATCGGCTGAGTGCCGGGCACTGCCCCCACGCGCCCACTTTTAATTCCGACATAGCGCCATTTAGCACGGGAGGAAAGGGCTGTTTGAGAATTAATTGCCCTGTCAGCGGCTATTATGATTAAACAGGCGGCCATCAATGCCGTGTCCGACTCAAAACGAGAATTACAAGAAGAGCCATAAAAATCCATTTTTAGGCCTTGAAAACGGTCTCTGTGGTGACAAGAAGGGCCATGTGACCGCCTGGGGGCTCTGGGACGGCCCGGGACAGGGGATGGCCTGAGACAGGGGACACGGCTTCGCTGGCCGGGGGCCGCGTTATTGCACCCCCAAAGGTTTCTGACTCTCATTCCAGGAACTTGGCCTGCCCGTGCTGAGGGGCCCACGTCCACCAAGCAAGGGGCACGAACGGGGTTGGTGCTACTGGGCCTCTGGGATGCCCCCTGCAGGGCATGGACCAGACCTGGGCACCACATGGGGTCAGTCAGCCCAGAGACCCAGGCCTGGTGGGTGGGTGGACAGCGGCCACCCCCCACCCTGGAGCCTGCGCCTCCTGGAAGCCACCCAGGCTCCGCCCACCTGCCCGCCCACCCGCACAAAGGTGAGGGCTGTGGGGACCAGTGCGGGGGACGCTCCCAGAGGGCGGGCCGGGCCCAGGAGGTGCCAGAGCATTTCTGATGGGGCTCGGAGCAGCTGAGGGGGAGCCGCCTTGGGGGCCACAGCACCACACCTTCTGGAAGCTCCTGGAAGCTCTCTTGGGGCATCTGGTAAGGCCCGTGAAGGTCAGGCCTCGTGGCCAGCAGCTGGCTGCCCTGGGAGAAAGGTGCCGTCTGCACCGCCGGCAGGCACGTGCACCACCACACGGGAGGGCTGCCACTCTGGGCACCAGGCGACACCCAGGCAGGCCCTGGTGACCAGGAGGCTGGAGCAGAAGCAGGTGAATCTACGAGTGAAGGTACAGGTGCAGGTGTTGGGAACGGGCGTGGAGTGTGGATACAGGCGCGGGTGCAGGAGCAGGTAGGCACAGGTGAGGCTGCAGGTGCAGGTACAGGTGTGGGTGCAGGCGTGAGCATAGATACAGGTGTGAGGACAGGTGAAAATGTAGGTGCAGGTACAGGTGCAAGCGTGGGAGTTACGCACATACACATGTGTGCAGGTGTGGGTGTAGGTGCAGGTGACGGTGTGGGTGCAGGTGCAGGTGCAGGTGTGAGTAGGTGAAGGTGTAGGTGCAGGTACAGGTGCAAGCGTGGGAGTTACGCACATACACGTGTGTGCAGGTGTGGGTGTAGGTGCAGGTACAGGTGTGGGTGCAGGTGCAGGTACAGGTGTGGGTGCAGGTGCAGGTACAGGTGTGAGTAGGTGAAGGTGTAGGTGCAGGTGTGGAAGTGGGAGCAGGTGAGGGTGTAGGTACAGGCACAGGTGTGGGTGCAGGTGAGGGTGTGGGTGCAGGTACAGGTACAGGTGCAGGTACAGGTGTGGGTGCAGGTGCAGGTACCAGTGTGGATACAGGTGCGGCTGAGGGTGAAGATGCAGTACAGGGGCAGTGTGGGGAAAGGTGCAGGTGTGGGTGCCGATGCAGGTACAGGTGTGAGTAGGTGAAGGTGCAGGTGCAGGTGTGGAAGTGGGAGCAGGTGAGGGTGGAGGTGCAGGGCGGGAGCAGGTAGGTGTGTGCTGGGCTGTTGGCGGCAGGGTGGGTGTGGGGAGCTGGGAATGGCGGCAGAGGCGTGTGGGGGCAGGGCTGTGGCACTGACGGCTGACGGATGGGTGCCCCGTGACAAAAGGGGCCGGGAGGGCCCCTCCTGGGAAACTAATTGCTCCCAATTGTGCCGGCAACATTATTTTTCTGGCGATCATTTCCTTTGAATGCCCCAAACGAGCATGAGGCAAGTCTTTTGACCGGACATAAAAGTTAAATGTCCCAATGTTGATCAAATTAACTTCGAGCTGTGACAATGGTCAGTGTTTGTGAGGGGATGACAAGGACAAAGGGGTGCTTTGTGCTCGGATTTCACAGTTGTGATGTAGAATGTCTCTGTTGAACTAGCCAGGCCACATTTCAAAGGGAGACAGAAGCGCCTGTCAACTGTGGAAAAACGCCGTTCACAGCAGATCTGGAGGGAGACCTCACAGCTCCAGGCCGCCGGCCGGAGGGACAGGGGTGCAAGGGACGGTGGTGGGTGGGGGAGGGGGCCTGGCGGGGTGGGGGGCCGGAGGGGTGGGGGGCTGGCCGGCGGGGTGTGGAGGGACGAGCACAGGCGCGGCCCCGGGGTGAGTTCTGCAGGTCTGGGTGCCCCAGGGCCGGGGCCCCACCAGGCCACCTCCCCTCCTCACCTGGAGGCGGCCCTCGGGGTGTGGCTGCGGTGGCCTGGGGGGGTTCGCGTGGCACGTGCAGGCCCCTCCCCACAGAGAAGGCCGCTCAGGTTCCCGGGGGCGGAGGCCGGGCTGGCGCCCCTTCCCCGGGGGGCTGCACAGCCCAGCCGAGACAAAGCTGTGGAGGTTCCCAATGGCCTGAATGGGCACTGTTGGTGGCAGCGCCATTCACAGCCCCGAGCATTGTCCCCCGGCGGGAGAATGCGGCCGCTGATGGCTGCCAAAAGGTTAGCAGCCCCGTGAAAGGCGGCCGCGCATTCTCCGCGCCCACAGAGCCGCCTTTTGTGTGCCCGCACGGCCGGAGGTCCGGATCTGCGGCTGGCTGGGTGCCCCCGCGCCCTGGGAATGTGGGGCTGAATGGGGCCCCGGCCCCAGCTCCGCGGGAGGTCCCAGCACGACCCCCAGGCCCCCCCAACGCGGGCAGCACTGCTCACCCCCTGGAGGCGCTGGCGGGGAAGGGTGGGTCCACGGAGGCAGAAGGCGGGCAGGGCGGGCAGCGCCTACCTGTCGAGAACGTAGCCCAGGGCCCTGTGCCGGATGCCGGCATACACTGAGGGGCTGCTCTCCCAGGCCACCAGGTTGGACGCGTCATGGAAGAGGTGGATGTTCACCAGGTCGAAGGCGCTGCAGGAGAAGGGACAGTGAGCCGGGAGGGACAGGGACCCGGGGAGAGGGGACAGGGAGCCGGCTGGAGAAGCCCCCTGCCCTCCAGGGAGAAGCTCTGCTGCTGTGCCATGCCGTCCCTCACCTGCCCCCTAGGTCCTGGGGCCCGGCTCCCTCGGGGCCCCTCTCCCAGGAAGCTACAGGGCTGGGAGCTCGGCTCCCTGAGGGAGGTGGTCCCAGGTGGGTTGGGCTCTCTGGGGACCCAGAAGAACAACTGGCCTGAGACAGGGGACAACACCATTCCCCCCCCCCCACCGCCCACCTCACACAGAAGGGAAAGGTCCCGCCTAGCAGTGGGGGGCACCTACCAGTCAGCGATGCACCACCTCGTCCGGATGAAGCCTTTCCTGGACCATTTGCACTAAAAAGCAAGCAGGGGCCTGTGAGCCTCGAGCGTGGGTACACTGGGACCCGGCCTGCCAGCCACGCCACGGGGCACAGACAGACACGTCCCCGGCAGCCACAGGGCAGGAACAGACACACCCCCACCAGCCGAGGGGCACGGACAGACACACCCCCGGCAGTGGCGGGAGCCACGGGAGCCACAGCCGCGGCCCCACTTCCCAGCACATTGTGAGGGACTCGGGCTGCAGTGGAGGATGTACAGGGATCCCCCAGACCACCTTCCACTGGGGACAAGAGGAATGCAGAACACCAGCTCCAGGAAGCCACACACCTTCAGACTGGATTGCTCTGCAGGGAGCCCCAGGGCCCAGCCTCTGAGCAGGGTGTGCAGGTGGGGCCGGCTTGGAGGGGTGGTCTGATTTAGGACCCCCAAGGACACACCCAGAGGGGAAAGTCCCAGTGTGGGGCCAAACAGGAAGTGAAGCTTCTGCCTGGCCCTCCTTGGGGGCTGTCCCAGGAGTCAGGGGGATGGGTGGCAGCGGTCTGCTCCCACCCCGACGCCAGTGCCCTCATCGGTGTTCTCTGAGACAAGCGTAGAAGCCAGATGGCCTGGTGGGCGCTCCAAGTCCCCACCCAGAGCCCGAGACCCCAGTGCCCGCAGCCTGGCCACTGCCACCTGCAGGACCTGGGCCGACACCTCCCACGGGGAGCCCCAGGGGCCCCATGCTGGCCACCCTCATAGGAGGGCGCCTGCCGGACCCCTTCTTGTCTGTGGTGAACAGGGGTGTCTGCCCCCAAGTTTGTCCTGGTGGACAGGACATGCTCACACGCACATGGACACCAGCCTGCGGAACTGCACGCCCACCTGCCAGTGGTCTGGGGGTGCTTTCCCCCGTCTCCCTGCGAATGATCTTTCCCGGCTCCCAGGAATAAGCTGCCAAGGGCCTAAGTCGGGGATTCCGGTGCAAGGATTTTCACTCAATGGCAATGGGCCCCAGAGAAAAGGCTCCCTTGGAGAGCGGGCCATGGCAACCCCGGGCTTGACTGAGGGGACCAACAGGCCCTCGGGCTGGAGGCTGCCAGCTAGGACCACACCTCCCGGGAGAAAGTGTCCCTGATGGGCCTGCCAGGGTCCCTCACAGCCTGGACTGTCCCTCTGCAGGCAGGGGCACCTGGATGCTTCACGGGTGCACACCTGCACACGCAGCACACAGAGGCATCTCCAGCAATGGTGCAAGATACACACACGTGTGCACACGTGTGGAGCGCAAACCACTTGTGTGCACACAAGTGCCGCACACATACAGCACACGTGTACACACATGTGCTACGCACATGGATGGCCCGTGTGCACATGGGTGCCACACATGGACAGCGGACACGTGCGCACAGGTGCAGCGCAGACACAGACGCAGGTAGCACGTGTGCAAAGCACGACCCCAGGCAGCAGTACAGAAACAGGCCTGCACACGTGGCCGCCCACCGGCCCCTGGGACACACCCGTGCCGTGCAGCCGAGTCGGGACAGCGCGCCTGCCCCGGGGACGGCTGGGCGGGGAGCCTCCTCGGGGCTCACCCCCTCGGCTCCGGCCTCGCCGCCCACAGCCCCGAGCCCGGCCGGACCCCGCACGAGCTGCCCACCGCGGGCAGCGGGCGGCGGGCACGGCTCCCCTCGCGTCCCGAGGCCCGCTCCGTCCCCCTGATGGGATTCCTTAGCAGCAGATGGATTGCGAGCGCGGGCGGCTTCATCTCCTAAGGGCCGGCATAAATCACGGCGGGACGAGCCGCGCTGCGGGAAGGCTCCCGCCACACCGCGCGCCGTGAAAGGCCCGCTTCGGAGCATTAGTGGAATTAATTCATCTTTCATAAGAGCTCGGAGGGACCGTGATCTATGGGAACAACCAATTTCTCACTACGGCCGGGAGGAAAAAAGTGCCTCACCCCGATCGACTACACAAATCTGCCTTTTAAAAATGGCCTCACTTGTCTGAGCGCGGCTCCCCGCGGCGCGCCGAGATCCGTCCCGCGCCCGGAGCAGCCATAAATCAACAGAGCGAGTTTTGTTAGTTCTGTGCGCCGCGGCTGTAATTATTAGGGCTTGCATTACGTCTCCATCATGGTAATTACATTTAGATTAGACTCCAGCGACGCAATGAAACGAGGAGAAATCAGCCCGGAACGAGTCCCCCCAAACATGTCCACCTCGGTGAGGACGGGCTGCAGCCGTGGGCCGTGGGAGACCACCCCCCCCTCCCCGGCTGGGACCCGTGTGTGGGGAGGGGCCTGGGCAGGAAGCAGGAACCCGAGCCAGGTGACTGGACGCGGGACGTGGCTTCCAGCACTGTCAGAGAGCGGCGCCAGGCGGGGACAGGGTGACCCCGGGACAAGGACACACTGTCCCGATCAGGGCCCATCCTGGACCCCCACCCCAGTTGCCCCTGCCAAGGTGACTTGGTCCCTGGCTCTTGTCCAAGGGCTGGTCACTGCCCGTCCCTCCAGAGCCTCGGGAGATGTGCTCTGAGGGCCAGTGGGGGCAGGGGAGGGGGGCACTCACCCCGCGTGCCCTCCTCACCGCGCCCTGGCGCACAGCCCTGCAGCTGCAGGCGGCCTCTCTGGGCTGCGTCCTGGCAGCCCTCGGGGCCTCCCGGGAGCAGGCAGAGGCAGACAGCGTGGGGCTGAGCAGGGCGTGCTGGGACGGGACCAGGCCGGGGCCCACGGGGGTCTCAGACCCCGCTCGCGGGGGCGCCACAGACGTCCAGGCCTTTCTGGGCTGCGGGGGACGGAGGTGCCTCCAGAGCACTGTGGGGCAGGACCTGCAGCTGGGAGTGGGCCAGAGACACGGGCCGCAGTGTGTGCCCGGGGGCGTGAGTGTCCGGGCTGGGGGTTGTGCGAGTGTCCAGTCTTAAGGGCTGCGAGTGTCCGGTCTCAGGGTCCGCATGACCACCCAGTGCCTGAAGCACAGTGTTTTGACAGCCCTGGGCTGGTACCCTCAGAACCAAGATGTGTGCGGGGCCCCGGGGCTTCTGCAGTGGCCCCCTCCTGCCCCCAGACCACCGCACCCTGTGGGAGCCAGTGGCCGGGCCTGACCACCGCAGACCTCCCGGAACGCCCAGCCTGGGGGTGCAGGACGGCGTGTGGGGGGCACGTACCTCGGGGAAGTAGCACTGCGGGAACTTCTCCTTCTCCAGCATGGCCGTGCTCTCCAGCGTGTCCGAGTAGATCTCCTTGCCCGTGACCTTCTTGTACTTCTTGGCTGGACGAGAAAGGACCATGTGTGGACATGTCACAGCGGGGGACGGGAAGGGCAGCACCCAGGCAGGCCCACTGCTCCGTCTGGCCATGTTCTGCGGCCCTTACCTTCTGGTCCTTCCCTTCCCCCTGCCCATCAGCTGGGCTGATCTGTGCCCTCTGACCCGTGCACTCGCCGCTCATCAGACCTTACATGACTCTGTCATGTCATCGACACCCCCGTGTCATGCTCGTGTCCAGGAGGGGGAGTCCTGGGGCGAGGGAGGCCCACAGCTGCCTGCCCAGCACCTCCTGAAAGCCCCGGGTGGGGGCTCCCCAGGTCCTCACCCCCACCACCCCCACAGGGGCCGGAGCCGGCACAGGACAGTCAGGTTGGTCCGGCTCATTCCCGGAAGGTCCCTCCCACACCTGAGCCCTCGGGAGTGAGCCCTGGGGTGTGGGCAGCCCACAGCAGCCCCCACGGCCAGTGCTGCTGGGCTCCGAACTGTGGACTGTGTGGTTCTCGGCCCTGACCACCATGGGTCCTGGAGACGGCCAGAGGTCTCGGTGACCAGGCACCAGCAGGGGCTCCCAGTACGGGGGGCAGGTGGTCACCTCCCAGGCTGGTGCCTCTGACCCAGCTCAGGGGAAGGGTGGAGGCCCCACAGAGAGGGGTGTCCCGGCCAACACAGGGTCTCGGGGACAGAGACGGAGCCTGGACAGAGGAAAGGAGTCGGCCCATGGTCACTGGGACATGTGCCGTGAATGTGTCTGGGGGGCGGGGGTGGGGGGAGGGGACCTGCAGGTCCACAGCCGCGGCCCCAGAGGGAGACCCTGCTGGCCATGTACACTCGGTGTCCCGGCCCCACTTCCTCACATCCGGGACTCCCGGGCCGGGAGCAGGGGGACGTGCCGGCCCAGAGGACTCAGACACGCGGCCACAGGCGCTCACGGTGCTCAGGGCCCGGCGGAGGGCCAAGAGCCAGCTCTTACCTTTGAAGTCGAACTGGTAAATGTTTTTTAGGGATTCGTGGAGGAAATAGAAGCTTCCCAGAGCCTGCAGAGCCGAGAGAACAAGTGGGAGGATGAGAACAGCCCCACAGAGGCCTGGGACCCCCACACCCACCCGCTACCTCCCTTGGGAACTCCCCGGCCCTGCGTTCCTGGCGAGTGCCCCTTACGCTCCGGGCCCTGTGGCAGGAACCCTGAGACCTGGCTCCTGGGCGGCCCTTCCACAGAACAGGGCAGAGGGGGCCAGCCGAGAGGGTGTGGGAGGGGTCGGCCCTGGGCCCCTGTGGTCCCAGCCAAGCCTTTGGGGAGCAACGGCTGCCCCTGGGACCCTCACCGCTGCATCTGCGGCCAGACAGAGGCCACCATCGGTCACTGCAGAGGCCCAGCCCTGGCTCAGACGCAGGGGCTCTGGCCTTGGCACGCAGAGCTGCTTGACACGGGTGGGCACAGGGCACCGGAGCCCACATGACTTGCACCAGCCTCACCCGCTGCTGCAGCCCCTCTCAGAGCCACCAGAGCGGCCACCTGCCAGGCAGGACCAGCCCCCGGTGGGGGTGGGCAGGGGAGCGGATAGCAGGAGCGGGGGAAAGCAGGAGGTGGGGAGCGGTTAGGCAGGCCCAGGAGGGTGTCCCACAGGGGGAGGACCCACGGGGGCACGGTGCACCCGCGCTTACTAAGGCAGCCTCACGCATGCACACTCTGATGTGAAGCCGGAGCCTGGCTGAGGCCCTGGGCAGTGACCGGCCCCGCCGCTGCCTCCGGCCGGAGCACACACATGGGCGGACGGACAGACGGACGGATGAACAGGGACGTGCTTGGGGCTGCAGGTTGTATGGGGTGTGGGGGCCCCTGGGACCTGCTCAGATGCTGACAGAGGGGCCAGTGGCTGTGACGATGCCAGAGGCGCCCCTGAGAGTCAGGCGAGGCCTCTGGGCTCAGCGGCGAGGGGCAAGGCAGTGGCCCCCACTGATCCCACGACCTCAGGGCATGTCAGTGGACCCTGGGGCAGGAGGCCCTGCCCGCTACCCGGCCCGTGGTTCCTGCCGGGTGCATGGCAGACACCAGTGCCTCACGCATGAGCCCAGGCCTGCCCGTGCGGTCGGTCTCGCCTCCAGCTTCTCACGGGACCCTTTGCGAGGGCCAAGCAGCCCTTTGGACTGCTCCGCAGAGCACAGCCCCCAGGACTCTGAGCGGGTCGCCTGGGCCCAGCACGGAGGCCTCACCGGGGACGTGGCACCGAACGAAGCCCCGGTAGTGAGGACTGGCTGGTGCCCCATGCTCCTGCACAGTGCTCCCGAGAACAGAACAGGAAAAGCACCTGTGCCCCCAGGGAGGGGCCAGATCGCTGGCAAAGCCGCCCTGAGGTTCCTGGCTTTAAGACAATTTAGGAGAGTGAGTAATAAATCAAAGCAAAGTGACTCTAACATTCATTAGATTACAAACAATAACAGATGAAACCGAGCTTTTGTTTCAATCAATGGAGGCTTCATTGATCTTCTCCTGGAAAGCAACCTCCTGGCCCACAGGCTAATTGGATGAGGCTGGGAGCCGGGCAGGCCCCAGGCCGCGGCCGTCCGGCCCTCCGAGCACTGGGCAGGAGCCTCTCCAACAAGCGCCGACTGCTCCTCAAGGTCCTGCCGCCCGGTGCAGCTTCAGGAGCTCAGCAGCGGCCCCCAGGGGTCCACCCCCCCACCCCCCGCCCCGTCTGACCCTTGGGGCAGCCCCTTCCACCCACACTGATGCACGTAATTTCATTTGGTCTGTGGCCGACAGCGGCCCTGAGCAGTTAATGGAATTGCCTGTCCATCGTCCTCATCTACTTAGGAGCTAACGGCATCCCCCGAGCGGGCGGCTTTATGAAGCGTGCGCCAGGGGGCCTGCGGGCTCTACATGGGGGCTGCGCCCTGTCGCGGCCCCGTCGCGTGTCCCCAATTAGGCGGCCCCGCCAAGGTCACTCAGCTGCCAGCTCAAAGCGCAAGTCATCACGACAGGGAGGCAGATCAGGCCACGGCCACCTCGTGCCTCTGGTGGCCCCATAAATCCCAGCAGATTAATCCACCGGTGACCATTTCTCATCACATAGGACAGGCAACAAGACGCCTTGAGGCGCCTCCCGGGGGCCAAAGGCAGACTGTCGGGAAGGGCTGCGCGGCCGGACGCTCCTCGCACGAGGGGTGCCCACGGCACCTGTCCAGTTGGCAGATGGTGGAACGGGACCAGCCACGCTGGGTGGCTGCAGGGGTGGCGGGGGGGGGGGGGGCTGGGAAGGGGCTGGGCCTCCCGGGGAGTGTCCAGGAGAAAAGTCAGCACGCAGCCAAGCTCCACCCAGTACAGTGCTCCCAGGAGGGGCAGGGCAGGTGGCGAACACTGCTGGTTGTGGGGACAATGAGTGGGCACAGTCGGTGTGGGCAGGCGATGGGGGCAGGTGGTGGGCACAGTGTGGGCAGGCGGTGTGGGCACAGAGTGGCACGCCCCACAGCCCCGGGCAGGGCGGTTCTGGTGCTCCGGGCCTGAGGCCAGCGCAGGCGGGAGGGAGATGCATGTGGCGGGCAGGGTCGCTGTGAGCACGGAGTCTGCGTGGCCGTGTTTCCCCGCGTCTAAACTGTTGCAAAAGTAAATCAATAAACTTTTATGCCGATTAAATTATGTGGAGAGTTTGCATCATAATTAAAGCAGCCCTGACTTCTACCTTTTGTCTTGTAAAAATCATTAGCTTTTCAATTACGATTTCATCCTCGCAAATGTGCCTGGCACCAGGCCGTGCATCCCGGGCGGGGTGATTAGCGGAAGGAGCATCTGAGAGGACGCAGCACCGACACGGGCTGTTTACAAACTACCCTCCGTTAGGGGGGCAGGCGAGCACAACGCCGAAGGAGCTTAATTGATTTTTAGATTCCGATTAGACTGGGAGCATGCCATGTCCCCCGCTCCCGCCCCCGGCCTGCGGGTGCCACCTCCCGGGCCCTCTCTGTTCTCTGCCCGAACTGGGGTCCCTCTACCAGCTTTAAAGATCTGCCAAGCCCACCGCCCCAGCCTGCCTCCTTCCCGCCTCTCCTGCATGCTGAGGGCCACTCTGGTGGCAACCGGTGCCCTCTCCTGCCACACCTTTGCTGGACCGCAGCCCCGATGGAGACCGTCCCGAGGAGCTGCCACGGTGGCCTGTCCTGGGGCGCTGGAGGACGCTGTCCCCTCAAGCTCCCTCCTGCTGTGCAAGGCTGTGTCTGGAGGGGCCTCTGGAACCAGTGCTGGGCACACGTGGCCCTTCCCCGGCCTGGGGCCTCAGGGGCTGCCACAACCCCCTCCACCCCATTCCCCAGGGAGACTGTGCTGGGGCACCCACGTTGGGCGGGCGAGGTGGAGCACTGCCTGGCCCGGCCTTCGAGGGGCCCCTGCCCCCAAGTGCCCCCACAGCTGGTGCCTCTGAGGAGCCCACCCTTGCCACTGGCCCCCTCTTCTGCGCGACCTGCACACGCAGCCCTGAGCCTGGTCGTGGAGCCAGCAGACACCCAGATGGCACGGGCAGCCTGGAGTTCTGGGCTGTGGCCAGGCTGAGGGGGGACCACCTGGGTTGGGGGGGGCATGTGGGCTGGCCTCACGGCTGCACTCCAGACCCTGCACCCTGGACGCTGCCGGTCAAGGCTGTGGCCAGGGTGGAGGCGCAGAGGAGCAGACGAGCCGTGGCACAGACCTGCCAGTCCAGCTCTGCTCGAGCCCCCGTGCCGAGCGCTCCCTGGGCCAGGGGCTGAGAGAGCAGGAGACGTGGGCACGTCTACCGGCCACATCACTACCATGCACCTTTGGGGGGTACCCCAGGAAGCTCCTGGGTCTCAGGTCACCAGGCCAGCCACACGTGGGACGGGAGGGGCCCTCAGGCTCGTGGACAGAGGGGGCTCGCCCCAGGACCCTGCTGGTCAAGGAGCCAGCAGGACTCGGGATCTGAGCAGACGAGGCGAGACCCAGAAGGGATGGGCAGGGCTGGCCTGGACACCGCGAGGGCTGTGAGGCTGTCCGCTGCAGTGCAGCCCGCACGTGATGAGTCTGCAAGGGTGTGTGCACACGTGAGGTATGCACATGCATGTATACTCGGGGGACATGTACAGGCTGTGATTCGTATCAGGCACGCACACATATGTGAGAAATATGGATGTGACGCATGTCTGAGGCCTATGCATGCGTGTGGCGTGTATGCTGTGGGGTGTGCATGTGTGAGGCATATGCACGTGTATGAGGAGTGTACCGTGAGGTGTGTACATGTGTGTGGCGTGTGTGCTGTGGGGTGTGCATGTGTGGGATGTGTGCGTGCATGTGGGTTTATGCGTGGGGTGTGCATGCTATAAGGTTGGCACAGTTATGTACGTGTGCGCACGTGTCAGATCAGGCATGTGCATTCACGCATACAAGGTACACACAGGCGGTGTACGTGTGTTAGGTGTGCGGATGCATGCTGTTAGGGGTGTGTGTTCAGCTGAGTCCACCCAATCCTGCTGTGGGCAGGAGCCAGTGGCAGGGTTGGGGAGGGCTGGCGTGTACCGTGGGGGGGGGGGGGCAGCCTCACTCGCTCTGGGCTGCCAGCCTGCCTTTTCTCGGCCGTTGGAGACCTCAATTTTCCAAGCTGCAAGACAGGAGCTGCCTTGGCTGCCAGTGCCCAGGGCCATGAGGGGTGCAATGCAGCCCTTGGGGGCTGCAAACCCCACGAAGCCCCACGGAGGTCTTGGCTGCGGGCAGGCCACGGACAGAGTCAAGGCTCAGCCTGAGCTTCCCCACCAGCAGCCGGGGCTGGGGACGGGGGTCCAGGAGTGCCCATGCATTGGACAGGACCTCAGGGAAGGAGAAAGTCAGCAAGGGACTTGGTGAGCGGCTGGCCCTGGGGCTCCGTGCCAGAATGCAGGTGTGGTGACAGCCGTGGGCATGTGTGGTGGCCCAGCTGTGTCACTGTTGGCAGGTCCCACCCATCCTCCGCTCCACCTCCCGAGCCCACCGGCTGGATCTGATCCTCAGGGAAACTACCTGTCCTTGGTGTTACCTAGAAACGGGGGGGAAATAACA